GACATTACACGACGAAACATAAACACATCGATAAGTTCGAAACGAATTACAAGCAAATCCACATGCCGACATAGAACATAAGAACTACACCACGTAGCCAGACGTGGCACGACGACGCCTAGGATGTGGTCGAGTGGAGGTAGTGCTTTCACCCGTAGGGCGAGCTCCATCTGCTGCTGATCCTGATAGTCCTGCCTCCGCCGCACTTGATTTCTCCTTGTCTTTAGGACAATGCTTGTAGGTGTGCCCATGTTCATCGCATTTGCTGCAACGCTTCACCCTGCCAGCCTCCGACTCGTCCATATCGTTGCGGATGCGACGAGTCCTCCTCCTTCCAGCCTTGCCTCGGAGCTTCGATGGGTCAGGAATATTGAGTACTTCATCGTTAGTCTCTGTGAACTCCCCAGCTATGCCGAACCCATAAATCTCGCCGCTCCATGTATGATATATTGCTTGCTTACTGAAGTACTATGACACATATATTGTATCTGGTATGCCACACTCCACAGCGGCAGCAATGACATGGGTGCATGGCCTGTGGAGCAGCTTCGGCTTTGCACAAGAGCAATGACATGTGCCGTCGTCTTTGAGAACACACTCCTGCTTCACTCTCTTGCAGTAGATACCCCTGACTGCCTTATCTTGACATAGTATCTCAAACCTGTGCTGTTGGGTACCTTGCACTAGAGCTCGATGTTTCATGGCCTTTTTACGCAACTCCTCTAGCTTTTTCTGCATGAAAGCTCCAAACAAAATGCTGTTGTTCGGCATAGAGGGAAGAACTGCCTGGAACCGATCCCTAAAATACCTGCATGTCCCATGTAAAATGAACTCCACTATGCCAACTAGTGGCAGTCCACGGACACCGCGCATCACCCAGTTGTAAACTTCTGCCAAATTTGTTGTCATTATTCCATATCTAGCACCACCTGTGTCATACGCCTTGGCCCATTTCTCTTTTGGTTCATGCAGAATCCACTGAGAAAATTTCCGAATCTCCAATCTAGTTCTTCTAACCAATGTTGGACTATCCGTTGGGAGAGGTCCAAGAGCTTGAGGAGGGTCAGCAACGGCGGTCGATGGAGCCGCTGCACGCTGATCACTGCATTTGGCTGTCAACTCATCTAATCTCTTCCAAAGCTCATTGAATTTTTTCTCCTGGTTCTGATTGCACAGCCTCTTGAACATGTTCATGAGCTCCTTGTTCTTGAATTGCTTGAAGAAATTAGCTCCTATATGACGCATGCACCACCTACTCTGTACATCTTCCCAAACACCGGGGTATCCTCGTTCCATACTCCCAAACTGCAACTCTCCTATCGCTCGCAGAATGCCAGCGTGCCTATCATGTATCAGGCATACATTTGGCCTCATACCAACAACTTTTGTTTTAACCAATTTCAGGAACCAGTACCAGCTATCGGTATTCTCACTCTCAACAAAAGCAAATGCCAAGGGCAATACCTGATTGTTTCCATCTACCCCTATTGCTGTTAGTATCTGGCCCCGATACTTTCCTGTCAAGAATGTCCCATCAATGCAGAGAACAGGACGACAGTTCACGAATGCCATCTTGCATGCATGTAGAGCTAAGAACGCCCTTTGCAGCACACTCTTGCCAGGATGTTCAATTGAGGGGAATTTCTTCACTTCGTAAGAGCTCCCAGGGTTTCTTTCCTCGATAACACCAAGCAGGCGTGGCAAATTGTCATACGAGGCTTCGTAAGTTCCAAATCTCATCTCTATTATTTTCTGTTTGGCCCTCCAGGCCTTGGCATAGCTAATAGTATACTTGTATGTCTCTTCAATGTGTCGGATTATTGACCTTGGTTCATATGTGAGATTATCGATGACATGCGCATACATCTTAGATGCAACAAATGCACATGTAATGTTCCTATGGTATTTCTGAACACCAGGTAGAAAACATGTATGCTTGGTAACAACTGACACTGTCCAATAATCCTTCCATTTCCCCTTATATGCGTGCACTCTCCAGGGACAACCATCTTTTTCCTTAACACACCGAACTTCATATTGCGACCGGTTCGACTTGGCAACCCAAAACTCTCTATGAAGTGACACTGCAAAATGTTTTACCGCCTCCTTCATATCTTCTGCTCTACTATAAATCGCTCCCTGAATAACCTCATTTTCTTTGTACTCCCATCTCACACTATCCTCTTCAGAGACGATCAGCCCAGAAAAATCCTCACTAGCCCATTCTGCTGGATTAATATCCGTCTCATCATCTGACGAATCACCTTCCTCTACACGCTCGTTGTCAGAATCCTCCCTCTCCATTTCATCCACAATGGCACCGACAGTCTCCCCCTCGTCAGCCACTCCACCTGGTTGAATGCCCACTGGAGCTACTACGCCCCCGTCCTCTCGTGCGTTGACCTCCTCCACAGAAGTCTCGTTTACTTCAGCACTTGGTCCCTCGCCATCATCCATGTTCGTCTGCACACCTGGATCCTTCGGGTGAACAAACGGAACCAAAGCTAGAGGCCACCCGCGTTGCAATGCATTTTCCAAATACCATCTCCACACTCGAGAGTTTTGAACTGGCATTAGTTCCCAATAAAAACCCTCAGTTGCCCGACTTACTATAACATTGATTGTTATGTCACTTGTCTGTGGATCAACTCTCAAGCCCCTCATTAACCATCCTTTTATAGAAGGTACACTCCTCTCAGCCGGTCTCTCAATTCCCCTTTCTGATACAATAAAATCTGACAGATCTACCCCAGTTGGCCCGTAACGGACGTTTCCTGGTCCATGGTAAACTTGGAATATTTGTTTGTTCGACATATCTGTCAACGAAATAACTAGATCATATTACTCTTTCATGCAATAAACATCTACAACGTAATATCTTCTTGTGTAAGCCAATGCAACGGTAATGTATTAATTCCAAACTAGCAGATCTACGTAGTTACCGATATCTACAATACGCACTTCTAGATTAGTACAACTAAAACCCTAAAAATATAATGCATTTATTCAAACAAATTTTTAAAGAATACACACTATTTAACTCAATAGTCACATATAGGATCTATGAATATTACCTGAAATCGGCGTCTGAATCCGGCAGGGCTTCGCCCCTTCTTCTCTTCTCCTCTCCTCTCTTCTTTTTTTTTTCACTGGAATTGAGGAGAGAAGAATGAGGGCAGGGGCTGGGCAGCAGGCCTTTTATAGGCAGCGAGGCCTGCCGCCCGGCCAGAGGGCGGCAAGGGGCCGCCTGCAAAATAGCCGGCCCCGACTGGCTTTTTTGCATTCGGGCCCCTTGCCGCCCCACCAGGGTTTTCCTGCAAAAAACCCTCCCTCCGTCACCACCCGTTCCTCCCCCGTTTGCCACGTCAGCTTGCCGCCCCAGAGGTGGGCGGCAGGGGCTATTTCTGCAATTTTTTTGGTCGATAGATTATTTCTGTAAATATTTAAAAAAAATCTAAATCCGAAAAAAATTCTGCTACTGCGTCAGAACACGGCATTTGCTGGGCACAGCTAATCAGCGCGTACGCGTTGCTGGCGCAGACACCGCCAAGGCCCACCCACGGGCTAGCCCAGGTACGATGCCGCAAGGCCCACCCACGGGCTAGCCCAGGTACGATGCCGCAAGGCCCACGCACACGCAGACGCACTAAGCCCCGATAGTTTTTTCCTTTTTTCGCCTTTTTTCGGTTTTCGCTTTTTTTTCTTGAATCGCTTCCTTATTTTCTTCACGTGGTGGCGCGATTTTTTTTTCTGCTATATTTTATAAATTGAATTTTTCACCTTCAATTTCAGTTGAAAGTTTTTAAAATTTAAGTTGAATGCTTTGAAATTTGAGATGAAAGTTTTCAAATCTTGATTTGATTTTTTTTAAATTTGAGTTGAAAGTTTCAAATTTTCAACTGAAAATTTTCAAATCCGAGTTGAAAGTTTTTAAGTCTGAGTTGAAAGTTCGTTTTCAAATCTTGATTTGAAAGTTTTTCAAATCTAAGTTGAAAAATTAAAAAAATCTTGAGTTGAAAGTTTTTAAGTCTGAGTTGAAAGTTTCCAAATCTTGACTTGAAAGTTTTCAAGTTCGAGTTAAAAATTTTCAAATCTAAGTTGAAAAATTAAAAAAATCTTAAGTTGAAAGTTTTTAAGTCCGAGTTGAAAGTTTTCAAATCTTGACTTGAAAGTTTTCAAGTTCGAGTTAAAAGTTTTCAAATCTTGATTTGAAAGTTTTTCAAATCTAATTTGAAAAATTAAAAAAATTTCTTGAGGTGAAAGTTTTTAAGTCTGAGTTGAAAGTTTTCAAATCTTGACTTGAAAGTTTTCAAGCCCGAGTTAAAAGTTTTCAAATCTTGATTTGAAAGTTTACAAATCTAAGTTGAAAAATTTTAAAAATTCTTGAGTTGAAAGTTTTAAATCTTTATGCGTGCGGTAGTCAAATGCGAAAAAAAAAAGTGACAGCGTCGTGTAGTCCACGGCAAAAAAAAAAAATAAAAAAAGAAACGTCACAGCGCCAAAAAATGAAAAAAAAAAGAAAAAGAAACGTCGCGCTGCGTGTACCTCCGCGGGACATCACGTGGGCCTCGTGGGCCTGCCCTGCAGCAGCGCGCGACTTCGCTACCTCGCGCGTACGCGCCAACTAGTGTTTCTGGCATTTGCTACCGGTGTATAGGTTAGGTATAGATTCTCATTGTTGATTTTTTACTCTCCTAAGGGAAAAGTGAAAAGTGGTCAGTGGTAAAATGCATCACGCCGATCGACATTCACGGTACCGAGACGTGCCAGAAATGATATGCCTATGCAAGAGAGCATCGATCTCTTCTTCTTTTTTATGTATCTCATTAACAAGCTAGAGAATCGAATTAGAATCCAATGTTGTTGTCACGAATGCATCGATCGATAGACGGCCGGGAGGCTCCTGGAAGAATATTGCAATGGCGGCAGTGCAATGCAGGGCAGGTGTGCAGATTCGATCGGCCGACGTGGCCTCGCCGGAGACGGTTGATGCGAGACACGTCGAAGGCCGCCGGAGAGGCGAAAGACGCGGCCGCGCGGGTATAAATTGCGACGTCGCCACAGCTCGTAATGTACAGCACCGATCACACCGATACATCGTCGAGACCAACACATAGAGAGATCGACATCGATCGCCTTCTAACTTCTAAGTTGTGGTAAGTTAAAGGGGCCTGTTTAGTAGTTAAGGGCCTGTTTGGTATAGCTCTAACTCCTAAATATAACTCCAGGAGTTGAGTCTGGAGTGGAGTTGTGGAGCTGCCTAAACCCAGCTCCATAACTCTAGTATATTTTGTATTTTTGTGAGAGAGCTCCACCCAACTCCATTCCCAGTTTTGGTGGAACTGAAACTGTTTGGCTGAGCTCTAGCTCCAGGAGGGGTGGAGTTGGAGCTGGAGCTGTGCCAAACAGGCCCTGAGTCTGGGGTGGAGTTGTGGAGCTGCCTAAACCCAGCTACACAACTCTAGTACATTTTGTGAGAGAGCTCCACCCAGCTCCTCTCCCAGTTTTAGTGGAGGTGAAACTGTTTGGCTAAGCTCCAGCTCCAGGAGGGGTGGAGCTGGAGCTGGAGCTGTGCCAAACATGCCCTAAGTGTTCGATTATAATTAACTCCACTTGATCGTGAGCTTGATCTGATCAAGTGATAATTACCTTCTTTTTTTTCTCATGGATTATGCGCATGAATAATGATGAACAGATTGAGATTTAAAACCGAGAACCATGGGAGGCGGGCATGACATGCACGGCGGCGGCCAGAACGGCGGCGTGAAGGGGCTGGTCTCCAAGCTCGTCGGCGGCGGTGGCCATGGCGGCGGACACGGCGGCGGACACGGGTACGAGCAAGGCTACGGCGGGCACGGTTACCCTCCCCACGCCGGCGCCGCCCACGGCGCGTACCCTCCTCAGCACGGCGCGTATCCTCCACAGCACGGCGCCTACCCCGGGCACGGTTACGTGCCGGGAGCCTACCCTTCGAACGCCGCGCCACATGGAGGTAATTTAGCTTTAACTGAACAGTTTACAGTGAGTTTTAACTTAGAGAGCTTTAGCTCCAATTCCACGTCTCATAAAACTGAAACCCAACAAAACGGTTTTAATTTTACCCGAAACAAGAGAGGAGCTAGCTAGAGCTCTCATAAACTTAAGTATTCTCACAAAATAAATTAGGGATGTGGAGCTAGATCTTGAATGCTCCGATCCACAACTTCATTCCAAGAAGTTTTAAAGTTAAATTTAGGAGTTATAGGTAGTGCCTAAAAGACCCTTAAATTTTGCACTTGATTTCTGTGGATTTAAACGGGGAATGGTATATATATATATATATATATGCAGGGCACATGGGATCGTACCACACCGGCCATGGCGGCGGCGGCGGGCGTCACTACGGCGGCAAGCACAAGGGCGGCATGTTCGGCGGCGGAAAGTGGAAGTGAAGCGGCTAGCTAGCTCTACGTACACTATACGTGCCCACCAGCTTTCTGCCCTGCTACACCTACGTATAATATCTGCACGAGTATGAGTATCAACCATGTGGCGTACGCGTATATATACATACCTAATTAAGAAATAAATAAAGTGCATGCAGGCAGACAGATCTGTGTGTATACATGAGCTTAATGATCAGCTGATGAGTTGTGCAAATTAAGCATGTGGTGACGTATATATACTTTGTGTGTACTGATATACGTACACTTTGCATAATACTACTTATATACTAGCCTCTGTTACGTGTGAAATTCAACGGTTTTCCGGTTCATTAAGATATAAGGCCGCGATTTGGGCCAAATTAACCTACCGATGATTTTGCTATATATTTGTCGACAAATTTTTTCCCCAAAATTTGACAGATGTTGTCGGTGACATGGGACCGGGAGTATCATGACTTAGAGACTTGAGGCAGACACGATCACCCACGTGGCCGGGTCGGGCCCGAGGGTGATACGGCCGCCCTTCTCTTTGTCTCCCCGAGGGGTCGGACCGCTCCCGTCTCGGCCCCGAGGGCCGAGGCGCCCCGACCCCTTGTGGGTTTTGCGCCGCGTATATGGGGTAGGTGAGCATAGCGGGGCTCACCTAACCACATTTATTGCGGTTTGGACGAGCGCGTCACGCCGCATGTAACGCAGTGCAGCGCGCTCATTTATCCGGTCAGTGACCAGTCACAGACCGATCAGATCGTGGGTTAGGTGACGACAGGCGGTCTGACGCACGCCTCGCCCCATCCCGTCAGGACGAGAGCCTCCAAGCACTCATCCCTAGCCGGAGCCGGCGTGTTAGCTTCTGGAGATGGCACGTTGGTTCCGGTCAGATATATGCCAGGCTTCATCCTAACCATTACAGGCAAGATATTGTATGAAGAAGGGTGAACATGCAGATTGTTGAACTGACACGTGGTGGACAAGAATGACCGATTTGTGACCAGTCTGACACTGGTCATGTCGTCAGCAGACAGCCATGTTCCCACGACGCGCCTGCTTCCGGCGGAAGTGGAGGTAGGTATGGGCCGTCCCATCAGAAGGTCATTCGGACGGCAATCATACAAATCTTCGTCCATTTATGAAAAGATAGGATAAGTCCCCACACAAAAAAGAGAGATGGTGCATGTGGTATCCCCTTGAGATATAAAAGGAGGACCTTGCCCACTTAGAGAAAAGGAGGACGATCCCAGAACGATCGGGGACTGGCTCGCACTTTGTAGCTTCTTCATACACAGATCTACCAAAACACAGGAGTAGGGTATTACGCTTCTCAGCGGCCCGAACATGTATACATCGCCCGTGTCTTGTGTGTTTCCACTCTCGCGAACTTTCCTCAAACCAAGAGCTTAGAACCTCACCCAGGGCCCCCGGCCGAACCGGCAAAGGGGGGCCTGCACGGTCTCCCGGTGAGGAGCCCCAAGCTCCGTCAGATGTAATTACAGTACAATCGTAGTGTAATTACACTGTAACTTGCATATAATTACACTGTATATGTAACTTTCAAAAATCTCTCCGTAACATGTTATTTCGGTAAAATGGAGGTCATAGAAACAAATTCTTTCATATATGTGTGTGCTATGATTTGTTTTTTTTCTCACCAAAACAAATCTTGTAATAGATCTAATGATTCAAAATTATGTGAAACTTACGTAAGTTACACTATAGTTACATGCAAGTTACAGTGTAATTACATATAAGTTACAGTGTAATTACACTACGATTGTACTATAATTACATCTGTCAAATTTTTGAGGAAAAATTTGTCGACAGATGTATAGGCAGTCCCCTACCAAATTTACCTGAAAAATTAATCCATCAAATTATACACTTCGGCAAAAGGAAAAAAAAAAAAAAGAACGCAGAGCCCAGCCCTGGTCCAGATCTTTTTCACGTTGGCGATCTGGGCATTCGGTCGTGAGGGAAACGAATTCTGACTTAGATATATAAACACGTACGCACGTTTTCTCGTACACCTAATCTAAACCGTATACAGAATATAGATTGTATCTATGGCCTTTTTCATGGAAAGTTGGAAACCATCATGGTTGAGCACGAGGCAAACCATCGCCGGCGAGATCCATCTGATCACGGCGGCGGCGGCGGCGGTAACGACCTGATCGGCTACCTCTGTGACGACGTCCTTGTACATGTCCTCAGCTCCCTGCCCACCATCACCGTATCACCAGGTACATCGTCAGCCGTTCGATGACGCCTAATGGACGGTTGAGATTTAAATCCTATACTTTTCGGGTAATTTATCCTTGAGAAGGTATCTTGTACCATATTTTCTAAGAAATTTTAAAGTTCTTGATAAAGCACCTTAATATACCTAAAATTTACACTAATTTTTTTATACCTTAAGATACTTATTAGAACCTATAGATACCAAATTTTTACACCAAAATTTTACACTAAAATAAGTACTACTAAAATTTATAGTATGAAATCTTCGTACCTCCAGGTACTCTAAAGCACTATAAAAAAAAACCAGGTGTTCCATGATGAAATCGTGCGCAAATTGGTTACTTTTGTTGTGGTCTCGTGGACTCATGGATTCGTGGCACATGTTCTTAGGCCTAACATTGAACTCTTGAAACTTGCGGTATGCTTGTTCTGCAAATGTAGTGAGTCGCCGCAGCCGCCTTCCTCATTTGGCCGCCCCATTTGCAAATTTATAATTTTCTGATAAACAAGTAGCTTATGAACTGTTTTATCTAATTTTTCAGCATTCAATTGTCATGCATGATGGTCCTGAGATTGAGATGGATTAATTCAATTGAGGCTCAGATCCTTGCCAAATAGAATCAAATATATTTTTTTAGATAATAAATAGAATCAAATAATGTCCTGGACAGTTTTTATGTTACAACCAATCGGCGAAATGAAAAAAAAAACTATAGTATTTGAGACTCTGAACATGTTCCAAGTAGGCCCTTTACAAACAATCATCGATCTATGTCTAGCTCTTCAAAGAATCATAAGGCTATATATGTCAACCAGGCAAAACTCTGGTCGGACATATTTTGTTTCCAGCTTCTAATCAATTCTTCAGACATACAGATACAGGTACACTTGAACTTCCTATCCGTGTGTTAGTTGCAGTTTCCAGGCTATAAACTCTACAAATGGCCAGACAGTCCTCGGTTCGGATCATACGTCGACAGCAACCTTCTCTGTAGAAAGATCATTACCAGATAAATTAGGCAAGGTAAATTCAGAAACTGCGAAGGAAAAAAAAAAGATGAAAAGTTCAGAGAATGCTACTTACAATAGGCTCAAACTGAGGGGATAACAGGTTGTCTTCGAGATTTCTTAGCACCAACAGTATCTGCATTAAGTAACTGTATTACTTAGAAGGATTCATTTTTAATCATAGAAAATTATGACAGTACTTATCTCCAGTCAAAAAATCGGGAGAAAACTTTGTTCAGAAAGCTAGTATTGCTGTACTTACCGTCTTCACGATGATATCATCCATGCTCTTCAGTTTCTGAAGGTGTGTTTCCACTGGACACGGCGAGTCTGGATCGAAAATGTCGCCGATGAACCTGTATACTTGTGCAAATTGCAGATCATCTGAAAACAGTGAAAAAAAATCATTCAGCTTACAGTTTTTCAGCAGCAATGCATTGTTAATCCCTGATTCCCTGAGAATAATTTTGATCTTTCAAGAGACGACGTAGAATTATTACCAGGTGATAGTGGAAGCTCGATCGTTTCATCCTGCACAATGCTGGCTGTTGCCATTTCACTTGTGGTGCCAGTCCAGTCCATGCTCGTATTACTGAAACTTGCTGCCCCCATGAATGAACTTTCACCTGAATCATCGTAAAGAAAAAGTTATTTCTCATGGCATTTTGGTTGCAGCTCCGTGACTAAGATCGAAAGGCGATTTGTTGACCGGCATAATTACCAGGAAATGAAACAAATGCTGCTGGTGGTTCAATCAGGCCGTGATGGTTCCCCCAGGCTGCAGTGCCTGAAGTACTTGCCCATTCCAAGTTCTGCATGTCTGAAAAAAGAATTACCACAAAACACTGTCAAATCACTAGTAATTAACTATCGAGTGCATCTTTGATGATGACATCACCGATCGCAATTTGAATCTAGATCAACTGACAATTGCTAATGGTGATTTGGATATGTGCACTTGCCATTGGTTGCAGGAGGAAGAACTCCGGGACACTCCCAACCGATGGAGCTCTGAACAGCGACGTTGTGATGCGGCGGCAAGCACTGCGGCTGCCCGTGGAGGATCGCCGTCGCCGCCACCGAGCTGCTCACCGCCGGCGAGCTCTGCTGCTGCTGCTGCTGCATGACGAGCCTCCGCCTCGGGTACTGCGGCGGCAGCCCGGCGGCGAGCCCCATCTTCTGCACCTTGAGGAAGTACTTCTGCGCGTGGCTGCGGATCTGCACACACATCGATCAATCGCACATTGTTTCAATCAGCATTGCAATCTTCATCAGAAACCAAATCGAGTAGTAGCTTAATTTGAGCACGATTGTGTCCAGCTACGTACGTACCTGTATGGTGGTCTTGGTGCCGACGTGCTCCTCGATCTTCTTCCAGTCGCGGCCGTACATGATGAGCGCGTCGAGGAACCTCTCGTGCTCCTCCTCGCTCCATCTCTCCCGTGGCTTCGTGATGGTGTACGGCTTCCTGGCCTTCTTCCCCGGCATCTCGCTGCTGCTGCTGCTGTTGCTGTTGTTGTTCGTGTTCCTATCCATCAACACAACTCCAGTCCCCAAATCGAATCGAGCAGACGCACACATGGCACATATATATACCTATGCAAAGCCAAGAAAGAAACCGAAGATCCCTTTGTGGGTTTGGAGGTTGACGACGATCGAAGATGAGGAGGAGGAGGAGGAGGGCTGGAGTGGCCTAAGAATTAGGCGCGGTTTAGCGCGTACAGTTGGCGAGGTTGCATGGAGACGGCAATGCGCGCGTAGTAGCTTTGGGTGGAGGAGGACATCGCCGGGTTGGTGCAAGCGACTACTCCTAGCTAGCTTAGCTCTCGCTTGCTGCGACGGATCGCGACGTCTCGTCTCGGCGAGGGGGCAAAGCAGCATGTGCGCGCGCGCGCCCCGTCGCCGTGTATGGCAACGCTTATCTGCTGGGCGCTTTCCGTTTCCGGAAAGTCGGCAAGGCCCGGACCCTAGCTTGGGAACGATTGCTAGTGGTAACAGATTAACAGATTAGTACGGAGTACAAATTTTTGTGCACGCTAACCTGGGTTTGTTCTGAGTAATTTTTAACCTCGCAATTTGCAAAACTACGAAAAAAAATGAATCTCGAGTTATTTGAGAATCTTGTTCTTTTAGTGTTTTTTAGCCATATAGTTCTCATGATATGTACCCTCTCCATTTCATATTATAAATCGTTTTATATTTTTTCAAGTTTATAGAAAATTTAACAAAATCTAAAATATCATATTAGTTTTATCAAATCTAACATTGAATATATTTTGATAATATATTTGTTTTGTGTTAAAAATATCACTATATTCTTTTATAAACTTGATTAAACTTAAAGAAATAGTTTGATTAGAAAAAAGTCATACGATTTATATTATAAAATGGAGAGAGTATGAATTATCAAAATGGATACGTTGGTAGGGGTATATCTTTCTTATAGACGTATAGGTAAGCCTTACATTTCCACGCGTCGAATTGTGTGGTTAGGCTTGAGGAGTTAATTAATTGCTTCGTTCTTGGGAAAAAGTTGTATGCCAAAATAGGAAATTTTCGGTACCGCATCGGAATTGCCAATGTAATGGCACACTTCACTGTACGGCAAGGCAAGTCTTGATCACCCCAGCCAGCCTCAGCCTGGATGGAACAGCACGTGTTATACGTGGCCAAACTCGGCCAACGAAATAGCGCATATGTTTGTTGTGACTTGTGAAAAATCCATGGATGAACATGAGTTTTAAGGACACGCTTCTCTAATGAAATAACAGAGGAAATGGAGAACAAAATCAGGACGGCCACATGTTCCTGGTGCTGTATGGTGTAACCTTTGCGTGTGTGTGTGTGTGTGTAGAGAGGGCTAAAAGTATATGCATGGAGTCAAAATAACTCTGATTAAATATAGCACACGTTAATTCAAAAAAAAACTCGAAACTATTTTGTTTTTTTTACTTTGCACGTTCAGAAATTTTTAATCAAAATGAATTGCCTAAAAAATAAAAAATAGTTTTTTTTTTTACTGACGTTGTCTATTACTTATGGTCAGGATGAATCCATGCTTACTGCGAGCCCATTTAAGAGCCCAAATACTCGAATTGGTATGAACTAGCTAACGGCCCATTTCTGGCCATGGTTGGGTTCCATGATTTGCTACCCACTCACTTAATCTCTGGGTGCCCAGACCACAAATGGCTCTTAACGGTATGCATCCATGCTAAGTTGCTAACCTTGCAAAAAGAGCCCAAATAACTAGAATATTAGGGAAGGACCTAATATCAAATAATTAGGAGGGGTGAGGCTTTGAACCCAGGTCGTCTAGCCCACCACCTTGTGGAGCTAGCCGGAAGACCCCTGGGCAAAAAGAGCCCAAATAAATTGATTCATTACTTTTTTTGTTTGAAGGAAAATGATTATGCACATTGGCTGGCTATGTACACACAATTGACCTGTTATGAACATGAGGTCTTGTCACACCCCAATCTGATACCGCCGTACAACGGCACCTGACAGGAGCGTGTCGTAGGGAAAACGGCGTGAACCGCTTCCTATGAAACCGCGATCTCGGTACCAGTCCCAGGACATAGTGCTGGTACCCACGGTGACAAATATGAATCATAGCAATCCTTAAAATATATAGAGGACTTATTTACCTTAACTTAGGTTGCAGCTCGGACAGCCCGAGAATACAACCGACGACGCGGACGAGAAAACACCAACAGCAGCAGCAGCAGCGGAACCAACGGTCTAACACCCAACACCACAGGCGACGGCTGGGGACCAGGACGAAACCCTAATCTTCACTTCACTTCATCTTCAACTTCAGGGCGGAGAAACTATATATATATTTATATAGAGCAAGGGTGAGTACTTCCGTACTCAGCAAGTCACGGGAACTTAGGTGTTTAATGCAAGCTTGTAAGAGAGGCAAGGTTGTTTTGCAAATCTTTTATTTGAAGACATTTTGAAATCACTAAGTGATTTATTTCTTTCTAAGTTTGGGCCAAAAAGAGACTTGCGTCTCGATTCGACTTTAAGAGATGTTTTTCAACAGCTCAGTTAGTAATGTACCGACCTCCCGGGTCAGATCATTACTTCTCGGCTCCCAGAGCCATTCCACTTGATTAATCGGCTCCCAGAGCCTTTTTCATTTTCTCGGACTCCAAGAGTCCAGCTGCCCAGCAGCAAAGCAATCCGCTTCCACTCGGGAAGCCTAGTCTATGATGCCCGCAGACATCCCGAATCACACAGATTCGTTTCTGACCACTCAGGTCATCCATCTGCCACATAGGCTGATTCTGGTTACGATTCCCACACCACAACAACTTTTCACAAAGCACAGGCAAACAAATCTACGCAACGGGAACCACCTCACATCCGCCCATGACCGTGGGCACGGCTGTTCGAACAGTTAGTTAACCTCTGCTGAGGGTTACACTTTACCCACAAGACACGAACTTACTCTAGACACTGGCCGGTGTCAGAGGTTCGCGACAAAGCCTTTCCCAAGCCGACCCAGGGTTACCTCATGCCACATAGAAGGATCAAATCCTCACATAAACATAGGCCTTTTTAGGCGTGCACAAATCAAACTCCAACCACCTTGATCGGTAAGTGAGCAAGCTTCTCGTCCTTGCCTTATCAAGAACCCGGTTTGTCCGACCCCGCCCCGGCGTTCCCAACTATTGGCATGCGAGGTTTCCCTGAACCGTCTAGTTACTTAGCCAGGGTGTCCCATTCCACCTTGTGGTTGCACTTTGATTATGTTCGATGAGTTTCCCACAGGAATCGGTCCTTATATGCGAATACGGGACAGTGCCACATAGGCACAACCCCCGCATCGCGAGTTTTCACAATTCATTTTATTTTCAAACACACCGACACCACATGTCGGGTTTTGAAGGCTTCACAAACCCATTTCCCAAGTTTTCGACAAACAACGGTGTATGTGGGATATTTGGTATACGCGCTCAGAGAGCACGAATACCGAGGTACCACAAGGGTGGAGCGACAAGGAATCAGGGTAGTACGACCTACGGAAATTAGTGTGACTACTGGGTAGGTCCGTCGGTTTGGCACGCAAACCGAGGCCAAGCAAGTTAAGTGTGTGATTCTAATAATGCAAGTTGCAAACAAAATAATAATGACTTTTCAATTATAGGGGCAATTGATCAAAGGGTGACTTGCCTTGCTCAAGGTCTTCCCGAAGCTTCACGAATCTTCGAGAAAACCCGCGATCGACGAAAATCCGATAACCGCAACTATACGCAAACAATCGAAAACCCTAACAAAAGACCAAAGAAAGATCCTATTTAGACTAATTAGTAGTGCCATTAAATAGATCTCAATTTTACGGAATTACTGGAAGTTGAACGGAGTCAATCGGATGAGCGGTTGAGAAGATATGGATTTTCTAAGGGTTAAGGAATTTCTGATCAAAGGAGAAAGGATTTAATAATTTATTAAACCCTTTTTGGAAAGAAAATGGACGAGGGAGAGAAATCAGACTTTCCCGAGTGGCTTGGCGCGGCCCGAGAGGATTTGCGCGGCTCGGACGAGCTTATTGGGCCGGCGCGGGCTACGGGGAGGCGGCCCAAGAGAGGGGCGCGGGGCGAGAGAGGGGGAAGGGGAGCCGGGTGGACCGGGCTCACCTCACGCGAGGTGCACGCGAGAGCGGCGGAGCAGATCGGTGGATGCGGCTCACGCGGGGGGGGGGGGGCACCGGGTGGACGGGAGAGCGACAGGCCCACGTGCAGCCGCTCGGCTCACAGTGGACCACGCGCACGGGGAGGAGGGGATGGCTGACCGGCTTGACCGGGTCAAGCCGACGTGGCGCCTATGTGGCGGCCACGTGGGCGGCGAGAGGAGGAAGAAGGCCAGCCGAAGGACGAACGGCTGGCGGCGGCGGCTTCACCGGGACATGGTGCGGCGACTACAGCTCAAGGGGAGCACACCAGATCGATGGTAGGGACAAGAGGGAGCGATTCGTCGGCTTGGATTCACCGGGAGGAGCCCGTCGGCGGCGGATTTTGACGGTGGCCATCGGCGGCGAGCAAAAGGGGACAACACGATGAGACGACGAGGGTTTGATTCAAAGGGGTAGGAGCATCTCTAGGGCTCAGGGAACCCGTTTGTGGCGTCGGATGGGGTGGGGAGGCGCCGTGGAGGTCCGGCGACGAGAGGCGGCCTCCGGGAGCGAGTGGCAATGGCGGCGAGGCCGTGCCGGGCGGTGACGGTGCTAGGGAATGGTTTGGGGAGGTCCTAGGGAGCTCAAGGACGGTGGTGGCGCGAGGGATTGGCGAGAAGGCCCACGGCGGCGCACAGGCGGGCGCGGCGGCGGCGAAGCAGAGCAATGGTGGGGCGGCACGTTTAGGGGGACGAGTGAGCAACCAAACGGCTCGGGGCTTATCCAGGATGATGCAAATGGCAAGAATTTGGGCGAGGAGCTCACCGGGGTGCGGAAACGATATCGGCGGCGATTTGAGGATGGAAAGGGATGGAAGGCCGATGGCGGCACGCGACCGAGCGGCGGTGCACGGCGGATGACGCCGAGGCGGCGCGGCGTCGGGGCGAGTGCGTCGGGGAAGATGAGAGGGAGTGCGAAGATGGGGCGGACCGGAGCTCCTCTTTGGCTCCCCGCGCTCGCCGGCTCCCACGGCAGCGCGACAACGACAATGGCAGTCAAGGCGGCAATGGTGTGGTGGGGAGAGGAGGCGAGACAACGGGGGAGATGGGAGGGCTCGGGTTTTTATAGTGGAGCGAGGTCGGTTTGGGAGGCATGGGCGAGCTGGTTGGCGCTCGGCTGGCGAGCGGCAAAGGCAGTTTGTGGGCGGTGCGAACATGGCGATGGCGTGGATGCAAGGGCGCGGTGAAGGCGGTGGATCGGACGGCGAGAATCAAACCGCGAGCGTGGGCTAGCGCGGTCAAGGCGGAGGCGGCGAGCTGGCATGGTCGTGGTGGTGGCGTGGGCGCGACAGGGCGCAAAGGCGGCGTCAGCGGCGCCCTGTGCCCGCTCCCGCACCAGGACAAGGGAGAGAGCGAGGCGGCCTTGCCCGCAAGGGAAAAGCGAAAGGAGGAGGAGGAAAGGGAGCCTTGCTCCTTCCGTTTTTGGGCGGCGAGGCTGGAGAGGCGCGTGGGATTGGCGTCGCCGCGTTGGCGGCTTGTGGCATGCGGAGGCGGGGCCATGGTGACGCAGCGGATGACAGCGAAAAGGGAGGAGGGCTGGTTTGGCGGCGAGCGCGGACCAAGGCGGTCGACGCGGCAGAGGTGACGGTGGCGCGGCCACAGCGGTCGGCCTTGAGCGGCGCCGCGCCCGGGAGCATCGGCGTGGCGCGGTCAAGGTGGGGGCACAGGCGCGGCAGGACGTTGTCGGCGTCCTCTGCCTCCGCGCGCAAGAAGACAAGGGCGAGAGGAGAGAGGTCGGGTTTAGAAGGGAAAAGTGAGGGAGGACGGTGGAAAGGGAAGCCTCTCCCTTCCGTTTTGGGCGGCGGGCAGGCGAGGCGCGCGCGGGAAGGGCTGCCGGCGAATTCAAACGGCGGCGGCGGGAATCGGCGCCGAGGTGAGGAGTTCGACGAGAGAGAGAGAGGAAGAAGACGAGAGAGCGAGAGAAACAGAGAGAGAGCGAGCGCACACGCGCAACGCACGTGCGAGGGGGAGGAGGAGGAGCGGCTGAGAGGAGATGGGCCGAGGAGAAAACGGCCCACAAAAATCCGAGGGAGGCAAAATAGACTTTTTCGGAGGAGATTGATTTGGAGAGAAATGGAGAGATTTAGGGTTTGGATTCGAATTCAAATTTGATATTCAAACTCGAGGGTTTAGGGATGTATCAAGGGAATTCAAGGAGAAGTCATGGGATAGATTCAAAAGGAATACTTGGGTATTTGTTCTCGGGAACATAGGGTGGAGTCAAGGAGGGAAACAAAACGGGGGTTTGGACATTTTGGGATTTGGAAATGTATTTGGCGAGGATTCAAAGGAAGGGATTGACTTTCGGATTTAGATTTCGGAGACTTGAATTGGAAGAGGAAATTTGAGGCGGAGGATTTTGATTTCGATGAGAGGGAACAACGGGATTTGAATTGAGATCTTGGCACAACTTAGACTCGCACACAAAGAACGAAAATTTTCGCAATTAGGATTTTGCCGAATTAGTTTTTAACGACTCACGAAAAGCGGAGCGTTACAGGTCTCTGTTATACGTCATATGCCATCACATTTATCATTTACAACAGTACCAGAAAAGATCTTCATACAGATTAAGAGTTCTGAATCTTTAGAGAGTGCTTAAAATGAATCGTTCAGGAAAGGGGAAAAAAACTGCAATCAGATGAACCAACATACTGCAATGCAAATTCAGTGTAAACAAACTCCTAGCACACTCAATCCCTTATTCAACATGCTACATGCAGATGTTCACTTGTTTCGCGTTTATTTTCTGAACCAAACTGATACACACTACCTGTGTTTCATACTTGCAGTAGTGGTCTTGTGCCATTGTGCAACAACATAGACATACTAAATCATATCAACTTCTAAGTCTACATGATATCCCCCACCCCACGCCCCCCCCCCCCCCAAAAAAAAAAAAAAATCAAAGTGCCCGTATTAACCACCCACAACTAAACTTACTGTTAAATCTCAATCTCCAAACATGAAAGAAAAAACAAGCTCTCCAAGATGTTCTATGCCAACTATCCATGTTGCATCAGCCAACAGGTGAATCTTTGGAATTGAACAATTAACAATGAGAAAAAAGACACGAATATTAGAAAGGTACCTAATATCAAATAATTAGAATGATGTCGTCTACCCCACCAACTTGTGGAGCTAGCCGGAAGACCCTAGGTGTTTTTCCAATTAACAAGGAGAAGCTAGCAATCCATGTAGAAAATCTCAGATCATTGGATTAAGAAGGCGTGCATATATCCAAATACTGCATTATCAAAAGTTCACATAATCCAAATGTTACCACAAAGCAAAAGAGGCTTTTACTGACATGCAGACAGAGAGATTGCTAACCTTAAGCAGAAAGTGCCCAAAAAATCTAGGGAAACTATACTCCATACTGGTTGTTTACACACACAAATACTACAGAATTGACCTGTTATACCTATGAGATTAAGAAAATTGAGGAGCAAGGAACAGAGTAGCTGCAAGCATAAACATGAAGATAAAACAGAACTTGATCACTCCATGTTCAGTTAAATAATGTCCAAAGGAGCTCTGAATATGCAGTAGCACTTAAAATGTCAGAGGTCAGAACTAGCTTGCTAATACCAACAGGAAGAACCGATCATACATAATGCAGGCAGAATTTTCATTGGGGGAAAGGAAAACCTGAATGCAGATGATGCAACATACAGCAACATCAGTGTAAACAAACTCCTATAACCCTACATTCAGATGCTTTTGTCCCTCGAAATTAAATACAGATACAAAATGACACTATACAGCCACTGAACTACAAACTCAATCAGATAAAATTCCAGTGCTCTAATTCATGAGTAAAATAATCTCAGTTTATTACTTGAATCCTTAAAGGATAAAGAACAAACTACCCGTATTAACCATCCGTGGCTAAACTTATTCTTAAATCTGAATCCCCAAACATGACAGAAAAAATATTTAAGAACATATTGACAACTGAACAATTAACAGGTGCTAGAATTCGAGGTAGAAAATCAAGCATCATCAGATTAAGAAGGCATGGTCGCATCGCATGGATATATCTGAGAAAACACTACTTCATTATAAAAAAATCCACAGAATCCAGGTGAGGATCGATATAGAGGTAGCACAACTGCACAAAATCAACCAATATGTTCAACCAATGTTTCAGAATTCATCGATCAGACGTCACGAACAGGTCATAAAGCAGGAACAGGTGGAATGGCAAACACGAGAAAGAGATCGACAGACCAACGAGGAATCCAGCATATGAAGTCTCGACGGAATCAGTTGGCGCCGGATACATCCTGCCGGGCGCCGACGGCCCTCTCGGTGCCCAACTTCGCATTCCCGATCGCGCCCTGGAGGTTATCGCCGGCGACGAAGAGCTCCTCCTCGATGAAGTCGTCGACGCAAGGGACACGAGGATGGTCCAGCAGGAGGAGGATCGCATCCAGGTTGCCGCGGCACCCGTCAACACTGATGTACGCTTTTCGGGCGTCCTTGCCGGCTTCAAGGAGCTTGATTCCAGCGTTCCGCTCCGCGAGGTACTGGTCGCCAAGGAGGCTGATCTCGCCCAGATGCGTCGACGGGTTGACGCTGCCGCCGTGGAGCGCGAGGAGCTCGGCCACCTTCATGAGGGACATCGCGGAGGCGAGATTTCTGGACGCGTCCACGAGCTCTCCCATCGCGAGCTGGATCCTGGTGCGCGCGGCGGCCGCCTCCTCCTCGTCGCCCGCGTGCATCGGCGACTTCAGGTGCGTCAGCGCCGTGGCGAGGCTCTCGCCCACGCTCTCCCAGCGCTCCGCCGCCTCCACCACACGCTCCCGGAACCGCGATCTCCACGCCTCCGCCGCCATGTCGCTCTCGCTCGCTCGCTCGGTGGGTGTTCGACACTTCGACTTAGACAGTTTGTTTCTGGAATGCTTCGCTTCGCGGAGTAGTACTTTAGCATCAGCCAGCCTGGAAGAGACGTGTGGCCCACGGTTGTAAACAGATTATTCACCTCGGGGCCGAGTGAAAAATGTGCATACTCGCGGTTAAAAAAATTTGAAACTGCGGGTACGCAAGTTGTCAGTGACACAGAGGGCCGGTAATTTCCCGTGTCTTCACCGGCAAGACACATTTCTCCTCCTCCAGCAGCGCTTGTCTAGAAGGGCCTGTTTAAATATCCTAACAAGTTTTTTCAATATGTTACATCAAAAGTTTGGACACATGTATGAAGTATTAAATATAAAAAAAAACTAATTACACAGATTGTGTGTAAATTGCGAGACGAATCTTTTAAGCCTAATTGCTTTATGATATGATAATATAGTGTTACGGTAAACATTTGTTAATGACGGATTAATTAGGTTTAATAAATTTATTTCGCAGTTTACAGCGGATTATGTAATTTGTTTTTGTTATTAGACTAAGTTTAATAATTTAAATGTGTGTCCGTATATCTGATGTGACACGGCAAAAATTTTCACCTCTATATCTAAACACAGCTTAGATTGTGCCATCCTCATCTTCGTCTCCATCCAAACCGCCGCGCTCACGAAACAGCGAGATGGAGAAGGAGAGCTCAATCAATCGGTGGCAATGCGCCTCCAACAAGCCCGCAGGTTACCGATCGAGCTAGCTTGGTAATGGTAATCGATCGATAGGTGGACTCGAAACTCCTGATCGGTTTGAAAATAACCGCTTACATTACATGTTTCTGCTTGTCCTAGAGTTCTGCTCCGTACCAATCTGTTTCAGAGTTCATTCCAATCCCATGTAAAAAATTCAGAGTTGTGATGCATTTATACTAGTGTGGTTGATCAAATTTGGAACAGAATCCAGGTGAGGATCGAGTCGTACAGCTAGCATAAGTGCACAAATGCAACCAAAATGTTCAACCAATGTTTCGGAATTCATCGATCAGACGGCATGAACAGCTACCAAAGCAGGAGCAGGTCGAATGGCAAACGCAAAAAAGAGATCGACAGAACAACGAGGTATCAAGCATACGAAGTCTCGACGGAATCAGTTGGCGCCGGATACGTCCTGCCGGGCGTCGACGGCCCTCTCGTTGCCCAACTCCGCTCTCCCTATCGCGGCCTGGAGGAAACCATCGGCGGCGGCGCGATCCTCCTCGATCAAGCCGTCGACGCTGGGGAGATGCGGATGGTCCAGCATGAGGAGGATCGCATCCAGGTGGCTGCGGCACCATTCAACATTGGTGTACGCGTCCCGGGCGTCCTCCCAGGCTTCACGGAGCTTGGTCACAGCGATCCGCTCCGCGAGGTACTGGGCGCCAAGGTGGCCGATCCCGCCGAGAAACGTCGACGGGTTGACGCTGTCGCCGTGGAGCGCGAGGAGATCGGCCGCCTTCATGAGGGACATCGCGGAGGCGAGATCTCTGGACGCGTCCTCGAGCTGTCCCATCGCGAGCTGGATCCTGGTGCGCGCGGCGGCCGCCGCCTCCTCGTCGGCCGCGAGCATCGGCGACGTCACGTGCGCCAGCGCCGTGGCGAGGCCCTCGCGCACGCGCTCCCAGCGTCCCGCCGCCTCCACCACACGCTCCCGGAAGCGCGCCCTCCACGCCTCCGCCGCCATGTCGCTCTCGCTCTCGCTCGCTCGGTGGGTGTTCGGCAATTTGCTTCTGGAAGGCTTCGCCTCTCGCGGCGTGAAATGAAATAGTAGCAGCAGCCAGCCTGGAGGAGACTTGGGGCCCACGGTTGTAACGGAATGATTCACCTCGGGGACCAAGTGGAAAATGTAAATACTCGCAGTTAAAAAAAATTGAAGCTGCGTGTGCAGGAGTTGTCAGTGACACAGAGACGGTAATTTTCCGTGTCTTCACGAGCAACAGCAAGCCACATTTCTCATCCTCCAGCAGCGCCTGTCTATAAATTGCGTCCCCATCTTCGTCTCCATCCAAACCGCCCAAACCGAAGCGAGAAAGAGCGAGAGGGAGAGGGAAAGCTCGATCGGCGGCACTAGACGAGTGGGAGGAGCTTGCTTGGAGAGTGCCGGAGACACTCATGCTAGTCAGCTCCGAGATGGAAGCCGTTGTCAGGTTGATCGACGTCGCCCATAGCAAGCTTCAAGTGCTCGGAACTTTGTTTCGACGGATACACTTGGGCATGCCGGCGGCCATCGCAATGGACCTCTTCGGCGACCCGGCCACCGTAGGAGTCAGCCCCACCGAGATCCTCGAGGAGGCCCGCCGCGAGATCTCACTGAGCGGCGCTCGCCACGGGAAGACCATGCACGTCTTCGCTCGCTACGTCGTCGCGCACCTCCACGTCCAGCAAGATGACCCGGGCACCCACTACCAGGACGCCATCCGCTTCATCGATAAAGGCGCTGGAGAAGGTTAGCGAAGCCGCGTGGCATGCCGAGGTGGCCAAGGACGCCGTCGACATCGCCGAGACCCTCCTCTTGGACGTCGGCGGTCGAGAAGCTCGTGGACCAGGCTGCTATGGAGGCAACCTGGCGCTGGCCGTACGAGGTGCCCGGGCGCGCCAAGCCGTGGTGGCAGAGCAATCTGGCCGCGAGGCCGTCCGCCACGCCGCGCTGCGCTGCATAGTGTGCGCTTCACGCTGTCGTCCGGATTTGCACCGCAATCCGCATCCACCCGAAGCCAAAACCTCTCCCCGCCGCCGCGGATTCGCTCGCCGCCGGCGACCTAATGTCGCACGGCATCGGACCACATCCACCTCTCGCAGCCGGCCGTCTCCAGCGACCCAGGGCCCAATCCGAGCCGTCCATTCTCTTCAGCATCTATCACTCGTTCCATTACCGTGCTCCGTTCCCCCCTCTTGCGCCGCCGTTCGCCGGATTGCCTCGGCCGTTGATCCCGGCCGGGGTCAACCCCCTGGTCCAAGACTACGTGGTAGCGTCATGTGGCTGCCACGTCGGACGGGTGGGCCGGCCTAGGCAGCCAAGGCCCCAACGGCCTCGGTTCATCCCATAACAGCCCAAAATCCCATGATCCTTAGGCCACCAGCCTCCTTCCCTCATGATAGGCCTACTAAATTATTTCGGCCCAAAACAAAGAGCGCAGAGTCCAGATCTAGACGAAAACGCCTAGTACGTACTATTAATAATCCTCCTGCATCTATATAGATAGAAGCATTACTGAACCAACCACGCAACCGAATTCATTGCTTTTTTTTTCTTTTCCCATGGATTTCATCACGGTTGAGCGTGAGGCGAAACTTCGGCGGCCGCGAGATCCATCTGACCATAGTACCAGTTGTGGCGGCGACGACGACAGCCCAATCAGCCATCTCAGCGACGATGTTCTCGTCCACGTCCTCGGCTTCCTGCCCACAGCCACCGATCTGATGCGCGCATGCGCGGTCTCGCGGTGGTGGTGCCGCCTCGGGGCGCGTGTCCCTCTCCTCCGCTTCCTCTGCATCGACCGTGCGTTTGATCGGCAGGAGACACTCGATCGGTTCGTCGCTTTCATCAACAATGTTCTTACCCGGCGTGCAGCTGGCCAATCTGATGCCGGTGTCGAGGAGCTGACCATCTCCCTAAAATCTGGCATGTCGTCCGTCGACGTCGCCGAAGTCGATGCTTGGATTCGGTATGGTATGCAGCATGTGTCGAACACTTTCACCTTGGAACTTAATATTCCATTGAGGTCAGGCAACAACAGCAACCACCGCTACCTCGACGACGACGAGGACGACGACGACGACAACAACGGCATGATCTTGGCTGAGCTTCCTAGCTCACCAAGATTGAAGAGCGTGATGTTGTCGTTAAGCAATGCTCGTCTCCGGCTCCCCACCGCCGCAGCGTTTGATTCTCTCGTGGATCTCTCGCTCGAGAATGTGCGGCTTGAGGACAACAGCATCCACCTCCTGAATCGCCTCTTGTCACCAGCATGCTGCCCGCGTTTGCAGAGGCTACGCTTCAATAAACTGACAGTGGGTCGACAGGTAGAAGAGTTGCATCTTGAGTCCGACGAGCTCTTGGAGTTGTCGTTGAATTGCATCAGCAGATGTATAACTTTGTCGCTGCAGATCAAGACTCCCAGGCTCCGTGTTTTCCACATGAGATACACCTCGCTCATAGGGAAGTTGACAATCTCCGCGCCGAGGCTAGAGGAGTTCATACTCCCCTACACGGGGAGGGTTTCCGTAATCAACGTCGAGGATATGCCGTGTGTCCGGGTCCTCGAGATTGATCTGTGGTTACTAGGAGGATCTCAATATGGTGGCTACATAAACAAAGATAGGATTCGACTTCTACAGTGTTGCAGATTCCTTCAATTTCTCACTATACGCCTGGTTAAGTACCTCTGTTTATATACTACCTCCATCCTAAAATGTTTGACGCCGTTGACTTTTTTAAAAATGTTTGACCGTTCGTCTTATTCAAAAAATTTAAGTAATTGTTAATTCTTTTTCTATCATTTGATTTATTGTTATATATACTTTTATGTATACATATAGTTTTACACATATCACAAAAGTTTTTAAATAAAACAAACGGTCAAACATGTTTGAAAAAGTCAACGGTGTCAAACATTTAGGGAATGAGGGAGTACTATATAGTGAGAAATGCATTGCAAGTGCTATACAGTACAAATCATTTTCATGTTAATGCTTTATTGGTGTTACTCGCATACATATGATTTCACTTTCCCACATATATAACTGTGATTTTCCGGCTAACATACTGTAGGTGCATGCATGTGAGATTTATTTGATACCAAAGTTCGTGATGTTTTCAACTCCAGGCTTAACACAAGCTGGAGAGGTTGTGCAGAAAGACAACGGCAATGCAGAGGTTGAGTTGATGAAAGATGTACCGGAACTTCCTCACGTTACATCTCTATCATTACGAGTTATTGAAATGAACGAGATGTATGACATTGCTAGCGTGTTATGTGTTATTGGTCGGTGCAAATTTCTCAAACATCTCGAGCTTGACATCAAGATGGTAAGCGGTTAGCTACTCAATACTCCATTTCATATTACGAGTCATTTTGACTCTTTTTTTTAAGGTCATTTATAAAAAATATATCAATATTTTAATACTGAAGAAGCATACTACAAATATATATATTAAATGTTAGTTTTAATGTTATACGTATTAAATGTTAGTTTTAATGTTATACGTTCGTTAGTTTAATGTTACTAATAGTGTTGTAGATGTTGCTAAATTTTCATATTAATATGATCAAACCTAAATAAAATTGACTAGAAAAAAAATTCAAAGTAACTTATAATATAAAACGGAAGGAGTAGCTTATTAATAACCCACCATCAATTCTTTTAAATAAAAGTTCCGTTAAATATTATATATGATTATGCTCCACAGGCACATTGTGAAGGACCTACAGAGGTCAGCAATCAAAATCAGAAGGATTACCATATCATCTCGTTAGAGCATCTTCAGGAGATAAAGATCACCTGCTCTTACATGCGAAACCATGAAGTTGGACTGATCAAATTCTTACATACAAGCGCACCGGCCTTGAAGAAGATGAGGATAGCGTTCATATCGGGCTTTATGTGTTCCCAAAGCTTAGACATCTTCTTTATGCGTTCTCGAAGCTTAGAAATCCTGAAAGAACTCCTCATCAGCAGGATCTGCTTCATCTTCTTCAGCAACTGGGGGGGGGATTATTTATATAGAGCAAGGATGAGTACGGGAGTACTCAGCAAGCCAAGGGAAAATAGGTGTTTAATGCAGGCTTCAAGGAAAGGCTGTTGTTTTTGCAGTTGATTTTATTTGAACTCTTTTTCTAAAAACAACTAAGTGAGTGCTTCTCGAACGACACGGTTGAGGCAGTGCGTCTCGTCCGGTCGGAGTATGTGCAATGTATCAGTCTTTAAAATTGAAAACAAGGTTGGCACCCGGCCAATAGCTTTTTAAACGGCCACCCGGGCCAACAACTTTCAAACGGCCACCCGGGCCTAGCTGATCCCTTCAGCTGCAGATTTTTCAATCAGCGAACCCCTTTCCACAACAGCAATTTCGCGAGCAGTAGTCAAACAAAACTACGCTAGGAATCACCTCACATCCGCCCATGACCGTGGGCATGGCTGTTCGAACAGTTTGTTAACCTCTGCAGAGGGGGTACACTTTACCCACACGACATTACTAACCCGGATCACCCAGCCCGTGGGGATCAGCCACGTCAGGAGACCTCCAAACTTTCATGACAAGGCATTTCCAAAGCCGACACAGGTTTACCATATGCCGACGAGAGGGGTCCTAGACCAACAACAGGTTAGGTCTCAGACCATACTGTGCCAGGAAGCCCAGGGGTCCTCCCCGACACCACCCCGGCGAATGCACATGTCTCTCGGCATCAAGGCTCCCCTGATAAGCTAGTTACTCAGCCAGGGGTGTCCCATTCCACCCATGTGGTCGTACTTGTCTTATGTTTGGATGAAATTCCAAGGAAACGGTCCTTAAGTGCAAGAGCGGGAAACCGTACACCCGGTACGTTCCCCGGTCCGCGGTTTTGGAAATTCATTTAGTTCGCAAGCACCGACCCAGGTGTCGGGTTTTCCAAGTCTTTTGTAAAACTGCAGTTTTACCCAAGTTGTTACTCAGATTTTAAGTTTGAAGGCGACCGTCGATACTCGCACAGAGTGCACGAATATCGAGGCGCAACTGGATGGTTACAAGGGGACATGGTATAGCAATTAACAATGGAAGGATCAAATGCAACAAGTTAGGTAGGTCCGCCAATCTGCCTTGCACACAGGATAACAGATTAAGTGCGATCTTATCAATGCATAATATTTTGCAAGCAATATAATTAAATTTCAAATATAGGCTCAAGATGTTCAAAGGTGGCTTGCCTTGCTCGAGATCTGGAGCTTGATCCTCGAAATCCTCGCACTGCGGGTCTTCGGGCTCCGAAACTACACGCGAAACGGGACAACTCAACAAACGGCGAAAATAAAGCCCTATTAATGACCTCTAAGCGTGCCATTAGATAGATCTCGAGATTTGAGGAATTTTGGAAGTTGAACGGAGTCAAACGGATTTACGGTTGGGAAGATATTGAATTTCTAAGATTATTGGATTTTTGGTCTAAAGGAAAAAGGATTTAATTAAATCCTTTTTGAAAAAGAAAAGAAAAGAAAGAAAAGAGGGATGGAAATTAGACTTTTCCTCGGGCGGCTAGGGCGCGGCCCGAGAGAGATGGGGCGGTCCGGCCGAGCTAAATGGGCCGGCCGGCCCAAGACGGCCCAAGCGCGCGCGCGGGAGGGGAGGAGAGAGAGGGCCGGTGGACTGGGCTCACCACGCGCGGTCCCGGGTGGGACCCGCTTGTCAGCGGCTCGGCTCACCGTGCGGAGGGAGCACGCGGCGCGGCGCTAGGGTGGGGGAGGGACGCGGTGCACGCGCGCGGTTCGCGGTGGACGCGGATGCGGCGGGCCCACGCGCAGCCTCACGGCTCGCGGTGGAACGCGCGCACGGGAAGGGACTGACCGGGGTCGACTCGACCCGGCCTTGGCTGTGCTGGCGCCGACGTGGCGCCTACGTGGCTGCCACGCGGGCCGGCGGGAGGTAGACGACGACGCCGGCCGGAACAGACGGCGGTCGACAGCGGCGAGCGACGGAGCAAACCACGGCGATACAGGCAAAAGCGAGCACACCGGGTGTTTGCACGTGACGAGGGGAGACGAGCCAACGGCTCGGATTCGCCGGAGGGAGCTTGACGGCGGCGAATCGCGGCGGCGGCAACCGGCGGCGGGAAAAGGGGAAAACGGCGACGAGGTCACGAGGGGCCAATTCCCGGCGGCGAGAGCATCTACGAGGCTACGGGAATCCGATGCTAGCGTTGGATTGGGCGGAGCTACGCCGAGCGAGGCTGGCGACGAGCGGGTGCTACGGAGCTCGGGCGGCGACGGTGGCGAGCACATGGCGAGTGGCGGCAACGGTCGGGGCGGCGCCGGCTAGCTACGGGGAGGCTACTCGTGCTACCACCGAAAGCTAGGGGGGAAGGAGCGAGGAGGAAGAACGGAGGGAGACACTACCGCGATGAGGAGGGGCGCTGTGACGAGAGGCCGACGGCGCGGGAGTAATCTCTCCGGCCTCGGGCCGAGGAAGAGGAAGAAGAGGGCGCGCCCGGAGTCCCCTTCCGCATCCTAGTGTGCACCGGCTCCTCCGGCACACACGCGACGACGAACGGCGACGGCGAACAGGGGCGACGGTGGCGGCGGGAGACGAAAACGAGGGAGATTGGAGGGGGAGGGCTTGGGTTTAAATGGGCGGCAATGTCGGTTTGGGAGAGGGGAACCGACATTGGACGGTCAAGGCGCGAGCTGGCGCTCGGCGCTTGCGGCCAAAACGGCGTCAGGGCGGAGGGAGGATGACGCCGGCGGGGAGGGGAAAAGAAAAAGAGGGAGAGAAAAGGGGGCTTGCCCCCTTGCCTCTTTGGGGAAAAGGAGGAGGGAGCGGGGCGACGCGGCAGAGGGAGGGGGGAGGCTCTGCCTCCGTCCCTTGGCGGCTTGTGCGGGAGTGGCGGGGCCGAGGCGATGACGACGGCGATGACGGCGGGGCGGTTTGGAGCGGCGCGACGACACGGGCGACAGGCACGTGCAGGGGCTGACGGCGGCGGCGACCGGGTGGTCGGCCACCACGGCACGCGCGCGCGGGTCGCAACGGGAGGCGCGGCGGATGGAGTGGCGCGGCTCGGGCACGCGCACTGGCTGCGGGGCCGAGCGGCTGTGCGGCTGCAGGCGTGGCAGGGCAGCGGGGCCGGGCGGCGCAGACGCGACGCGGGCGAGGACCACGCGGGCGCGCGCGCGAACGACGCGCGGGGAGCAGCAGCGAGGGCTCGACTCGGCGCGGGCGGCTCACGCTCACGCGCGCGCGGCGCGCGGGCGGAGCGGAGGGGGAGGGAGGCGCTCGGCGCGGCGGCTCACGCGCACGCGCGCGCGGCGCGCGGGCGGAGCGGAGCGAAGGGAGAGAGAGGGCGAGAGAGAAAGGGAGAGAGAGCGAGCGCCGGGAGGGAGGGGAGAGGGCCGGGGGAGAGGGGGAGATGGGCCGAGAGAAATTCGGCCCATCGACCCCGGGGGAGGCAAAATAGACTTTTGCGGAGGAAATTGATTTGGAAGGATTTGGATTCGGAATTGAACTCGACGATAAATCGGGGATTTGAGATCTTGAGATGGCACGGACACTAGACGACAAGCGAAGAAACAAATTTCGCAATTAGGGTTTTTAAGAGATAATTTTCCCGCTAGGCGCCACGACGGAACGGGCGCTACATATAAGTGTGTCAGTGTTATAGGAGTTTGTTTAAACCGATGTTGCCGACATCGCTGCATGTTGTATTCCTGGCATTAGTGGCAATTCTCAGAGGGTAATCACAACCACGTTACCAGGGCCACTTACAAATCGAAAGTTGTTCCACTAAGTAGATCATAATTGTTTTAATAAGTAGATCGAAAATGTTTTAATCGTTTAAAAAGCTGAAACACAACCAAATCATCTCATAAAACATTTTGCTACAACGTATGAAACAACGGTTTTTGAAGCAGTTTCACCATATATAAAAATAATGTTTTAGCAAATAGCGAAATGGTTCAATTCATTGCAACATTTAATCTATACATAGTGAAACAACACGAGTATACTTGCTGAAACATTGTTGGTAGAACAAAAAATGAAACGGATTCTCAGCGTTTCCGTAATATGTGGGTGATTTATTGCAACGGCGCATGTGGTGGGGATGGCGTGGAGACGTGGCGCCCGATTTTTTCAGCGCCCGTCAGGCGCCCGACGCGGGGCATTTTCGACATTACCACCATTCAAAAATAGGGGGAATGTATAATCACGATCAGTTCATTATACGCGCATAAAATGAACTAATTAATAACCACAGCCACTATGAATGCGTTCACAACCACAATGAATAATCATGAAAATTTTTGAGGGGTAAAAAGAAAGAGCCGCAGGCTGTTGAAAGCATCCGACTCAACAAGAGCTCAGTTCAATTTCTATATGCCCTTAAAAAAAACAATTCTTAGTATCAAATACTGCCTACCGTAGCTGTTGAATAATCCACACACTACCTCTTCACTCTACCCTTTTATTGCGTCCACTCGAGCACTGGATAATTTTGCATACGAAAACTATGGTTGCAGAATTGTTTGGTCCATGTCCTGCTTCCGTTTCCCTTTTGTAATGTAGTTGTGAGCTCGGGATCTGTCCGTAGCCCAACATGACTGTATCTCTACTCTATAATAAAGAGACCGCTGTCGCTGTGATATTCTGTCTCCCTGTGATACCAGCACTGTTTCCTGGGACTGGTATCGATCAACAGGTTAATTTGGAGCGTCACGGGCTAGTTCCGGTCGGTACTAGCTCGGGGCGTGACATTATAATTCAAAACCTACATGCAGATGCTCCTTCTTTTCTTTCTTTCGAAATTAACCAAACAGATATATACAATGAGTCTATCTGTTCATTGAGCGATTGTGCATTTGTGCAGCATAGCAACAAGCTAATCCAGATCACGTTCCAGTTTTTTAATTCATGAAAATAATGATAAATCAATATGTCAGTTGATCAAACCCCCAAAAGATACAGACCAAAGTATATTAACAACCCCCAGAAAAAATATATCAATCCCCAAACTTGACAGAAAAAAAAAAGCTCCACGATGTTCTATTCCTGAATTACCACGTTGCAACCTGTGCATATTAATAATTGAACAATCAACAAGCTATCAATCCAGGGTAGAAATTAGACATCACATCATCAACAAGCTATCAATCCAGCGTAGAAATTAAACATCACATCACCGGATGAAGAAGTAATGCGGACATCATGGAAAAAACACTGGATTGAAAAAAAAAATTCCACAGAATTCAAGCGCACAAACGCAACCAAAATGGCAAAATGTCCAAACAATGTTTCAGAATTCATCGATCAGACAACATGAACAAGTAACAAGGCAGGAACATGTCGAGTGGCAAACACGAACAAAACTATCGACAGAGCAACGAGGGATCAAGCATACGAAGTCTCGACGGAATCAGTTGGCGCCGGATACATCCTGCCGGGCGCCGACGGCCAACTCGGTGCCCAACTCCGCGTTCCCTATCGCGGCCTGGAGGTCACCATCGGCGGCGGCGAGCTCCTCCTGGATCAAGCCGTCGACGCCAGGGAGACGCGGATGGTCCAGCAGGAGGAGGACCGCATCCAGGTGACTGCGGCAGCTGTCTACCATGGCGAACGCTTCCTCCACGTCCTCCACGGAGTCATGGAGCACGACCCCGGCGTTGCCCTCCGGGAAGTATTGGTCGCCCAGCTGTTCGATCCCGATCACATCGCTGAACACGAGGAGCTTGGCCCCGTTCATGACGGACATCGCGAAGGCGAGATCGCTGGACGCTTCCCCGAGCGCGCCCAGCACGCGCTGGATCCTGTCGCGCGCGGCCGCCGCCGCCGCGTTGTCCGCGAGCAACGGCGCCGCCAGCGCCAGGTGCCCCTGCGCGGCGGCGAGATGCCCCTGCACGCGCTCCATGCGGGCCATGCGGCTCGCCGCCTCCACCACACGCTCCCGGAACCGCGCCCTCCACGCCTCCGCCGCCATCTCGCTCCCGCTCTCGCTCGATCGCTGGGTGTTCGGCAGTTTGTTTCTGGAAGGCTTCGCTTCGCGGTGTGATATGAAATACTAGTACTAGTACGAGTAGGTAGATAGCAGCAGCCAGCCTGGAAGATACGTGGGGCCCACGGTTGTAACGGATTATTCACCTCGGGGCCGAGTGAAAAAACACCCAAAATGTAGGTTTAAAAGGTAAATTACTCACGGTTAAAAACGCGGGCGCACGATCTGTCAGTGACACAGAGAGACGGTAATTTCCAGTGTCTTCTCCGGCAAGCCACATTTCTCCTCCTCCCGCAGCGCTCATCTATAAATTGCGTCCTCGTCTTCGTCTTCGTCTGCATCATACCACCAGTCACCACACGCACGAAACCGAAGGGAGAAGGGCACAGCTCGATCGATCGGCGGCGATGGACGAGTGGGAAGAACTGGCGTGGAGATTGCCTGTGACGCTCATGCGCGTCAGCTCCGGGATGGAAGACGTCAAGCTGATTGAAGTCGCCCTCGGGAAGTTCCAGAAGCGCGCTGCTATGATGGGCAGAATCCTTGACGGGACACCGGCGGCCATTGCCGAGCAAGAGTTCGATGATCCTGCACCAGTAGGAGAATGCCCCAAAGTGAGCCTCGAGAAAGCCCACCGCGAGATCTCGCACAGCGCCGCTAGCCACGCCATGGCCCGCGGCGTCTTCTTCCTCTGCGCCGTCCACCTCCGCACGCAAGACGAGCCGCCATTTCTGCATTGGGACGCGCGGCATCAGGTCGCCATCGGACACTTCGAGCGGGCGATGCGAAGTATTACGGATGCCATGGGGCATTACGCGGCAGCCAAGGACGTCGTCGTCGTCAACGAGGCCTTCCTTCCGCAGGAGGACGTGTGGCGACGGTGGGCATCGGCGGCCAAGCTCCTCATCGACCGCGCCGCCTCCCTCACCACCCAGGCTCTGGACGAGGCGCGCCAGGCGCACCATGTCGTTGCTCTGGGGTACTCTGAGGCATGGTAGATTCTGCATCAATGGGGCGCTCGATCAGCGGCGATGGACGAGTGGGAAGAACTGGCGCGGAGATTGCCGGTGGCGCTCATGCGCGTCAGCTCTGGGATGGAAGACGTCAAGCTGATCGAAGTCGCCCTCGCGAAGTTCCAGAAGCGCTCTGCTATGATGGGCAGAATCCTTGACGGGACACCGGCGGCCATTGCCGAGCAAGAGCTCGATGATCCTGCACCGGTAGGAGAACGCCCCACCGTGAGCCTTGAGAAAGCGTACCGCGAGATCTCGTACAGCGCCGCTCGCCACGCCATGGCCCGCGGCGTCTTCTTCCTCTGCGCCGTCCACCACCGCACGCAAGACGAGCCGCCATTCCTGCACTGGGACGCGCGGCATCAGGTCGCCATCGGACACTTCGAGCGGGCGATGCAAAGTATTACGGATGCCATGGGGCATTACGCGGCTGCCAAGGACGTCGTCATCGTCAACGAGACCTTCCTTCCGCAGGAGGACGTGTGGCGACGGTGGGCATCGGCGGCCAAGCTCCTCGTCGACCGCGCCGCCTCCCTCACCACCCTGGCTCTGGACGAGGCGCGCCAGGTGCACCATGTCGTTGCTCTGGAGTTATCCGAGGCATCGTCGATTCTGCGTCAATGGAGGGCTCGATTGGTTCAAATTGTTTCCGGTTCCATGTAAAAGTTTCAGAATTGTGACGCATTTTGATCAAATTTGGGACACGGCCGCCGCTGTTAGGAAACGATAGGCCAACAAACGATAAAAAATAATAGATCAATCACAAAAGACACGAGATTTAACGTGGAAAACCCTCCCAAAATAGGAGAGAAAAAACCACGGGCGCCAGCCAGCAAAATATCTTCACTATATCTGAGGTGAGGTTACATCACCACACGACGGCTTACAAGAGGTATATATATAGTGGAACCCTAAAAGAGATAATGATCCGCTACGACAGAAGCTGGCTTTTATTAAGTAGAAATGAATTCAGATGACAACTCAGCAGCCGCTGCCGCTAGTGAATGGAATACGCGATGCATGTTGTGTCTTGAATCTGCTGCGGCTGATGTTAGTGATGATCATCAAATGTATGCGTTTGCACGCGAATGGGCATGATTGGTACGCGCGCGCGATGGCATCGACGTAGTCCGGATTTACACCGCATGGCGCATCCACCCGAACCCAAGCCAAAAACTCTACCCTCCGCCGCGGATTTGGTCGCCGTCGGCGACCTAATGTCACACGGCATTGGGCCGCCTCCACCGCTCGCAGCCAGCCGTCTCCAGCGACCCAGCTCCCAATCCGAGCCATCCAGTCTCTTCAGCATCTATCACTCGTTAACTGTGCTCCGTTCCCCCTCTTGCGCCGCCGTTCGCTGGGGTCAACCCCCTGGTCCAAGACTACGCGGTAGCGTCATACGTCGGACGGGTGGGCTGGCCTAGGTAGCCAAGGCCCCGACGGCCTCGGTCCATCCCATAACAGGCCAAAATCGCATGTTTGCATTTACGATTTTGCTATATATCTATCGATAAATTTTCTCTTAAAAAATTAACAGGTGTACTGTAATTACACTGTAACTTTCATGTAATTACAATTTAATTTGTACGTAAGTTTTAAAAAATTTTCAACCGTTAAATTTGTTTGAAGATTTGTGCAAGTGAGAAAGAAAAAAAATCACAACGTGTACAAATGTGAGGATTCGTTCCCACGATCTCCGTTTTTACCAAAACTAGCTAGGTGGCCCGCCCAATTGTGCGGCTAGCACCCAGTCAAAAATATCTATTTTTAAAATAATTTTACTTAAAGTTTATTAAATAGCTATCTCGTTGTTTTAAGAACTTAAAAAATCAAACCCTATCATCCCCCGTGTTTCTAATTTTATAGTTCAAAGTCATACCCGTTGTTACTCCTTACACTTTGTCACCCTCTTCCTTCTTTGTTTGCTCAATCTACCACTGCTTCTATTCTCTCTTTGGAACCTTTAAATCTTAGACATTGTAGTTTTTTGAGTTTATTATCATCGTTGGGTTTCATTTTTATAATTTTTTGAAGTCCCGTCAAACGTTGTCACTTGTGTTGTCACTATACTCCTCTACGACTCATCTGTTGCCTCATCTCTTAATTACATTGGGATTTTAAAAATCAAATATGATTATCATTTAGATTCATTTTTTACTTTCTAAAAGTTACGCCAAACCATCACTGGCTTTGCCACTGCACTTCTCTACGGCTCATCCGCTACCTACCATCTTTATTGTCTTTGGGATTTCAAAATCAAACATAATTATCATTGGGGTTTATTTTTTATTAGTTACATACAAGTTACATGTAATTACATCACGATTGTATTATAATTACATTGTCAAATTTTTGATTGAAAATTATACAGGTGATCCCGAAAAAATAGAAATTGAGCTGAGCGCTAGTTGAGGTTGCCGCTTTCCAAAGCCCGTGGATCTTTTTTTTATTTTACCCCTAAAAAGTACAGTACATGACTATTCATTGTCCTTTTTATTTTCGAAATTAATCGAACAGATATACAGAGTGAGACTATTCTGTTTCCTACTTTCAGTTGTTCATTGGGCAATTGTGCATTTGTGCAGCAAAGCCACAAGCTAAACCAGATCGTGTTCCAGCGCTCTAATTAGTGAATAAACGAATATCTCAGTTCATCACTTAATTCCCCAAAAGATACAGAGCAAAATGGCATCTTAACAACCGACAGCCAAGCTCTTTTCTTAAATCTCAATCCCCAAACATGACAGTATCCCCATGACGTTCTATTCTTGACTTAACACGTTGCAACCTGTGCATATTGATAATCGAACAATCAACAAGCTATCGATCCAGGTAGAAATTAGATATCACATCACCGGATTAAGAAGTCATGCAAATATCAAGGAAAAACCACTGCATTATCGAAAAAAAATCCACAGAATACAGGTGAGAATCAACGTACATCTAGCACAAGCGCACAAACGCAACCAAAATGTCCAACAAATGTTTCAGAATTCATCGATCAGACGACGACACAAACAGGTAACAAAGCATGAACATGTCCAACCAATGTTTCAGAATTCATCAATCAGACGACGACACAAACAGGTAACAAAGCATGAACAAGTCGAGTGAGAAACGCTCGCGAGTAAGCGACGGACCAACGAGGGATCAAGCATACGAAGTCTCGACGGAATCAGTTCGCGCCGACATCCAGCCGGGCGTCGTTGGCCATCTTCTTCCCCGACTCCACCTTCCCAATCGCCGCCAGGAGGTCATCAACAGCCGCATCCAGGCGCTCGTTCTCGATCAAGTCGTTGACGCCAGGGAGATTCTCATGGTCCAGCAGAAGGCTGATCGTCTCCAGGTGTCCGCTGCACATGCCAATACGGGCGCACGCTTCCTCGGCTTCCCTCTCGGCTCCACGGAGCTTGGCGCACGCGTTCTTCTCCGCGGCGTACTCGTCCCCAAGATGGCCGATGTCGTGGTAAGGCATCAGGGGGTCGTGGCTTCCTCCGCGGAGCACGAGTAGCTTGGCCCCTACCATGAGGGACATCGCCGAGGCGAGCTTGCCGGACGCGTCCTCGAGCGCGCCCTGCGCGAGCTGGATCCTGGCGCGCTCTGCCGCCGCCGCGTCGCCCACGAGCATCTGCGCCTCCAGGTGAATACGCGCGTTGTCGACGAGGAGCTCGAACGCCTCAACGAAGAGGTCGTCCACCTCCGCCACGCGCTGCCGGAACCGCTCCCTCCATGCCTCCTCCGCCATCTCTCTCTCTCTCTCGCTCACTCGACGCTCGGTGGGTGTTCGACGGTTTGTTTCTGGAAAGCTTCGCTTCGCGGCGTGATTTGAAATAGCCAGCAGCAGCAGACAGCCTGGAAGAGACGTGGGGCCCAAGGTTGTAACGGATTATTCACCTCGGAAGAATGTAAAATACTCGCGGTTAAAAAAATTAAACCGCGGGCGCACGAGTTGTCAGTGACACCGAGAGACGGTAATTTTCCGTGTCTTCACCGGCAAGCCACATTTCACCTCGTCCAGCAACCTTGTCTATAAATTGCGTCCTCGTCTTCATCTCCATCCAAACCGCCACACACACGCGCGCGGAAAACACTCCCAATCCCAAACCGAAGCGAGAAAGAGCTCGAGAGGGAGAGATCGATCGGCGGTGCCGGCCGCCGGCGATGGACGAGTGGGAGGAGCTGGCGCGGACAGTGCCGGCGACGCTCATGCAAGTCGGCTCCGGGATGGAAGCCGTCAGGAAGATCCAGGTCGCCCACAGGAAGATCCAAGGGCGCGCTGGTTTGATGCGCAACATACGCTTCGGGATGCCGGCGGCCATCGCCATGAGCCTCTTCGACGACCCGGCCCCCGTCGGAGTTTGCCCCACCGTGACCCTCGAGGAGGCCCGCTGCGAGATCTCGCGGGGCGCCGCTCGCCACGCGATGGCCGACCACGTCTTCGTTCGCTACGTCGAGCTCCTCGGCATCCAGCACGAGCCGCCGTGCACCAGCAGGGACACCCACCACCGGGAGGCCATCCGCTTCACCGCCATGGCCCTGGAGAAGGTCAGGGAAGCCGCGTCGCTTGCAGAGGCGGCCAAGGACGCCGTCGACATCGCCGAGACGCTCCTCCCGCAGCCCGAGCTGAAGACGGAGTGGGCGTTGGCGGCCCAGGACCTCGCGGAACGCGCCGACTACGAAGCCACCCAGGCGCTGGAGTTTGTGAAACGGGCGCGCGACGTCGTCGCTCTCGAGTTCTTCGACACCTGGAAGATTCTGCGTCGCGGGAGAGCTCGATCGGCGGAGATGAAGGAGTGGAGAGAGCTAGCGCTGAAAGTGCCGGGAACCATCATGCTCATCGGCGACGCCGAGCTGGAAACCCTCGAGTTGATCCAAGCCGCCGTCAGCAAGTTCCAGAAGCATGTCGAGTTGCTGCAAGAGGTACGCCATGGGACGGCGACGGCCACCGCCGTCGACAACTTCACCGACCCGGACCCCGAGGGAGCCTTGCCCACCGAGCTCCTCGAGAACGCACGCCGCGGGATGTCCAAGAGCGCCGTTCGCCATGCGAAGGCCCACCACATCTTCGCTCGCTACGCCGCGTTCCTCGGCATCCAAGGCGACGAGGAGTACCGCAGCTGGGACAACAAGCACCAGGAAGCCGCCGGCAGCATGGTCGCGGCGCTGAAGAAAGTCATCGACGCCGTCTCGGATGCTGAGGCAGCCAAGGACGCCGTCGCCATGGTCGGGATCCTCCCCTACCAGTGCCCGCTGTGGGAATTGTGGGCGTTGAGGGCGCAGAACCAGACCTCCTTGTCCTCCTTCAACGCCACCCTCGCGATACTAGACGTGCGACAGGCGCGCGAGGCCTTTTTTGTGGAGGTCTTACGCGCCTGGTTGATTCTGCGTCGCTATGGATCTCTTCAACTCCTGGATGATTCTGCATCGCTCTGGAGTTCCTCGACGCCTGCATGATACGTTGACACCGCGTCGCGAAGCACGCAGGTTACCCGATCGAGCTAGCTTGGTAATCGATCGATTGGTGGACTCGAAATTCTTGATCAGTTTGAAAACAACCACTTGGATGTTTCTGTTTCTTCTGGAGTTCTACTACCAATTTGTTTCATAGTTCATTCCAATTCCATGTAAAATTCAGAGTTCAGAGACGCATTTACTAGTGTGATTGATCAAATTTGGAACACCGCCGACGCCGCTGCTAGCAAATAGAAATGATGCGAATCTGCCGCTGAATCTCAGGTTATGATGTACATCATCTAGTTATGTGTTTGCACACGAATCCGCATGATTGGTACTAGTTTGGTACGCGGTGCAGTGTTGTCTCCGGCCGCGTCGTCTCGTCCGCGCGCGGTGGCACCCGTGGTGCCAGAGCTTTCTGGGAGGGACACCATGCCGAGGCCGTCCGCCACGCCGGTCCGCTCTGTCGCTTGCCTACGCGGGCATCGGCGTCGTCCGGCGCGGCCCGATCACGATCAGATCGCGAGCCGCACCGCCACGCCGTTGTCCTCGAGTTTTGAATCGTTATCCCGAGCGCATTACACATATATGCAATCATTTCAAAGCATCGACTTAGCACTTTAGCAGTAGCAACAAGTGGTTCAAATGTTCAGCCGGCTTCAACTCTCAAAATACATGCCAACAGTTTGCAGGGAGACACGTGCAATCCCACGTAACAGTTTGCTAGTATATTTTTTTCCTCCGTCTCCGGTAGGGTCGCCGGCGGCGACCGGCACAGTACAAATGGATTTAACCGGCGGCCGTCTCTCTCTAGATCTCTCCCGCTTGCCAATGCCCGGCCGTGGTGGTGACGTGGTGTACTGTGTACTGTGTACACGGGCCCAGACTACTAGTCGCTCCTTGCGTTACGCGGCTGACAATTGGGTCCCACGTATGTGGCCCCATCTCGTCAGTGGTTCAGAAACAAAGGAAGGCCCCACGAACGTAACGGTTCATTTACCTCATTCGCCTCCGGGACCGGGATGTTCATCGCCGGCGGCCGCCGCACTATAAATGGGATTAACCGGCGACAAATTCCTGCGACTTTGCCAAGCAAGCAACCAGAACATGAACTACTATTTGCCTCATTCTATCTTGGATTCTCAAAAGGATCATTTCATTGCAAACTGATCACTGTTTTTTTTTTTTTTTTTTTTTTTTTTTTTTGCGGGGAAAACTGATCACTGGATTTAACTGGTCTAAGAAGAGTATCTCTTGCATTTGGTACCAATTTGCAACCCATATGATTGCACAATGACAAAATCGAACTAAAAGCTGAGACAACATTACACCAAAAGTAACATTTAGGTATCTATCTAATCGACGTCTGATCGGTCGCCGAGGGCGGCGCTGATGAACGCGTCGGTGTCCACCATCAGTTGCCGTGCGGCCTCGAGGTCACCGACGGCGGAGGCACGCTCACCGTCGACGTGATCGGCTACGCCAGCCGGGGCTTCCCTGCGGCGCAGCAGCATCTTGACGGCCCCGAGGTGGCCGCGGCAGCGATCCAGGGCGTCGCACGCCTCCTCGGCTCGGGCTTTGGCTAGGCGAAGGTAGAACAGAGCGCGGCGCACCGCGAGGTCGTCGTCGTGGACGCGGCCGTGTCGACTGGGAATCCGCCCCTGCGCGATGAGGCCGCCGCGGTGGCGCGCGAGGAGCCGGGCCGCCTCCATGTAGCACACGGCGAGGCCGAGCGCCCTGGACGCCTCCATGAGCAGCTTGTCCCCCGCGCACGACGCAACGGAGAGCTTGTCCACCCGCGACGCCAGTTGCTGCTCCACGGCGGCGAGATCTTCGCGAACGACACGGACTCTCTGGTTGATGGCGTCCACCCGCCACCAGAACAGTGGCTTCCATGGGTTCTCCTCCTCCGCCATCTCTCCCCCTCTCGCTCGCCTCGCTCGTTGGGTGCTCGACGATTTGTTTCTGGAGGAGGCTTCGCTTTCGCGGCGTGTTCTGAAATACTAATAGCCTTCCCGACGAAGTGAACCCCACATGCAGCGCAGTATAAATGGAGAAGCGGGCCCACGCTGTCATTGAGAGATCGGTACAACGTGGACTCCTGTGGCTTGTCGAGCAAGCAACCTTCCTCGAACAGCCGCCGCAACAAATATCCTAACCGTGTCACGCTTCCGGCGAGCGCAGCCATGGCGCGCGCTTGCGCATACAACCCGCGGAAGAGAGAGCGGGAGAGGTCGCTGGGAGAGGAGGAGCGGTGGATGAAGCTGGCGAGGACGGTGCCAGCGATCCTCATGCGCATCGGCACCTCTCGGAAAGCGATCAAATCCACCATGAAGGGCATGAAGGCCATGAAGGCCGCCAAGAGAGGCGATGGCGGAGTGTTCTCCGACCAGATGCGCCACGCTTCCGAGCACCTCGATGGCGCCCACGGCAGGATCGCGCGGCTCATCGCGACGCACGCGGAGGCCGGCCACTTGTTCGTCCACTGCGCCGCGCACATAGGCGGCCTCAAGGGCGGCGGCGGCGGCGCGCCGGCGTGGCAGGCGTGGGAAGGCCACCGCGCCGACGCCGTCCTCCACGCCAGGGACGCGCGGTGGTGGCTGTGCCGCGCCGGGGGGGCTGTCGAGGCGGCGCTGGACGTGTTCCGAGTCGTCGAGGGGAGGAGCGGGAGCGGGAGCCACCGGCCTCGGGAGGCCAAGCGCCTCCGCCGCCGCGCCCGCGACGACGTCTCCAAAGCGCTACACGCTTTGACGGATATGCGCCACGCTATTGTTCTGGAGTTCTTCGACGCCTGGATGGTTCTGAATCAGAATCGCTAAGAGCGCGCGCGCGTGGCGTCTCCCCAATTCGAAGCAGCCATCGTCAGTCTCTGTTCATCTCTGCAGGTTACGCGTTTTGTCAGATTGCTGAGCTCGCCATTATCGATTGAGAGTTTCAGCTTGTAGATAAACGTGAGATCGGTTGATCCGTCGTGATGATCAAATCATGAAATAAAGAAGTCAAGTGCAGGTCTCTTCCCCCTGATAACATTTTGAATTGTGTGAAATTCAGAGACGATCCTGAATGCTCAATCCAAACAATTTCAGTTCGATTCCTTTGACGAACGACCCAGGCAGGTCTCAGCCAATGTTTGATTGCGTTCTAAAAGGCAATTTCGCCAACTCTCCCATAAACTTTCTCGAAAAAAACTCTCCCGTATTTGTTGCTCTGACGCAGAATTCAGAAACAGAGAGCGTTCTCGTAGGCCGGCCGGTTCTCTGACGCTGTTAATTTTGGGCAGTTTTGATGATTTTGGTCCAATCAGGTTGGGACTTAGATGGATTCCGTGCATTAAAAAATCATCCAATTTTCATGGCAATCATAAGAATGCTGTAGCATAGTAACAGCATGCTGTTACAGTTATTCTGTTGTCAACGGGATGCGATTTCAAGCGTTTTTACACTATGCAAATCCATTCACCAGGAAGGCAAAGTAACAAAACAAACAAGGGCTAAACAAAGGGTACTGGGTACTCGAGCAGATCGATTATGCACATTGACGAGACAATCAAAATCGATCGAACATTTTGAATGATCGCACTAACAGCAAGGAGGTCAATCTCATGTCAGGTTCGAATCATCAAATTGATCAGAAGTTTCAGAAGCACAAGGGCCTCAGGCTGTCAGGCAGCCGAGATCACAGCTACAGGAAACGAAAGAAAAACCGACACCAACCGACCAACTAGTGATGAAGCGATCAAGCGAACAATCCAATCCTGCAGCAGACAGATTGACCAGATCGATCACCGGAGATCTCAATTCAATTGACGCCGCCCTAATCAGAACACCTCCTCCCGCGCCATGGCGGTCATGGCAACGAGGTCCACCGCCAGGTTGAGCGTCTCTCTGAGTTCCATGAGGCCGTCGATTTGCTCGGAGGCGGAGAGGCCATGCATCCACGGAGCCATATCGTCATCGCCGCCGTCGTCGTCCTCTTCCAGCGCCACCAGGTGCTCGGCGGCGCACACGTGGACGCGGGTGGCCTCCAACCGGTCGTGCAAACGCCTGGCGGTCTCGGCGGCCACCTGGAGCCGGAAGTGGACGAGCCACACGCGGGGGACGTCGATGCCGCCGTCGTCGACGGAGCGGAGCGGCACCGCCGGCGCCCACGCTCTGGGCGCTTCGCCGCCGGGCGCGAGGAGGGTGGCCGCGCCCATGTTGGCGATGGCGAGGCCGAGCTCCGTCGAGGCGGACTCCAGCATGCGCCGCGTCTCCTCCGCCACGGCCACCATCTCGCGCCACGCCTGCCCGTCGAGGACACCGAACAGCCCGCGCAGAAGCCCGTGGAGTTTGTGGCAGTGCGCGTCCGCCATGACCACTCGCCGCTGGAACAGCGCCATCCAGGTGAGCTCCACCTCCACCTCCATCTCCATCTCCATCTCTCTCTCTCTCTCTCTCTCTCTCTCTCTCTCTCTCTCTGCTTCCGCGAGTGCTCGTTTTTTCCGAGGCTTCGAATGATCCGAGTTTAAAAGAGAGCGTATCTCCATGCGGGGCCCACATGGCAGTACTTGCGTCTACCCAATGACAGGTGGGCCCATGTCTCATCCCCTCCGTCTCCGTCCGAACTAGCTCGCCGCCTCGCCGGCATAAGTAACAGGGGGTAAATCAATTTCCTGCGGCTTCTCACGCAAGGAACCCAAATTACTATCCACTGTAATTAATATCCTCGCAAAAATCCGCCGCCGCCGCCGCATCCATACAAGTAGCCTCTTTCTTCCACACGCGGAGGCGGTGCGTCCACCGCCATTACACAAAGGGAGAGAGCTCGGGGGGTCGTTGGAATGGAGAAACCGCAGCGCGAGCAGATGGCGCTGATGGTGCCGGAACTTCTCCTGGTCGTCGCCACCTCGGAAGGAGCCCTCGCCAGCATCGAGCTCGCCTGCAACCTGCTTGACAGCATCGAGTTCGATGTCCTCGTCGACATCGCGCATGGCGTCCCCTTCAACACCACCGGCGGCGGCGAGCAGCCGTTGTACATGGGTGGCGGGTGCGGCGGCGGCGGTGGCGGCTGGCGCGGCGCCAGCCGTAGCTTCGGTGTCCCCATGGATAGCACTGGTGGTGGCGAGGGCAGCTTCAGCGTGGACGCCCTCGCTTACGAGCCGTTCACCTTCGGCGTCCCCATGGACACCAGCGGCGGCGGCGTCGAACACACCGGCGGCGACGGGGCGGCCACCAATGTCGCCGCTGACCACAAGGGGCGCAAGGCCGGCATCGACTACTGGGCCAACACCCTCGCCAGCGCGTTCGCCACCGACGGGCCGCTCAACGCCGCCCACCGCGAGATCACGCGCCTCATCACGCTCCACGGCGTGGCCGCCCACTTGCTGATCCGATGCCTCGAACTCCACGACTTCCCGCACGGCGACGAGGCGGCGTGGCAGAGGTGGTGGGAGCACCACGACGCCTTCGTCCCCCGCGCCCACGACGCGCTCCTGAGGCTGAGCTCCGCCACGTCGGCCTCCGCCGCGGCCGAGGACTTCCTCCGCTTGAGATCCGCCTTGTCCCCTGGCCGGAACGATTGGCCGTCGGAGGCGAAGCAGCTCGTGCGCGACGCCAGGCGCGACATCGGCGAGGCGCGGGACGCGGTGATCCTGATGCGCGACGACGCTGTGCGCGAGTTCTTCGAGACCTGGATGATCCTGAAACGATCGCAGGCCAGCCGCTAACCCAATCGCCTCTGTTAGTTTTTTTTTTCTGCTTGTTCAATCCCCCAGAACATTCAGAATCTTACTTTGGACAATTTTAGGGAGGAATTCGTCCTAGCTTCTCTGTAAACATGATCATTTGATTCACTGATCAGTGGAAGTGAACTGGTCAACTTTTGCTTGAATAAACCTTTGTTGGAATAGATCAATTCAGTCACATTGGTTTTCTGAAACTTTGCCTGTTGAGTTTGATGTTCGCTTCTGATGCAACTGCGTTCTTCACATTTTATTTCTCGAATTGCCATAATGTTCAGTAATGCTCGATGAGTATAGCATAGCAATCCAAGCCTACAGTTTGTGCCCTTGACTTGATCACTTGAACATTTCGGCGACTCGGCCTGACCAGTTAATTGGACTGGAGATGGCGGCAACGACAAATGTTGCATCCAATCGATTCTCCCTGATTAAAAAACACAGCTCATTCGATCCGACAGTGATGCACCGACATCCAACCGTAGGGTTGACATTCTCCAGTTCGTCAACGACAGTCGTGGTAGCCACGAAGTTGTAGGCAAGTCAACCATTTCGCTGCTGGATCTTGGACTCGCTATATATATCAAACGTGTAGTCTTCCCAGTTCAAACAAATTCAATCCAAATCTCGAGCTCCCACGCTTCCATTTGAAAAATTCAGGATTGATTGTTTAGCACTAGAGAAAAGAATTTGTTGAATGTTTCTGGGAATGGACTCGGAAGAGAGGTCCAAGAAGAGGCTGCGGCTATGGAGCAGAGCCGTCGTCCACTTCTCCCTCTGCTTCGCCATCGGCGTCTTCGCCGCGCTCTTGCCGCTCGCCGCCACCGGCGCCACGTCGATCGACAGCATCCGCGCCTCGTTCCGGCCAACGGTGGCGGCGACGCCTCCCGTTCCGGAGCTCGACCTCTTGCTGATCGTCACCGTCACGCGGCCGGACGACGACGACGACGACGGCATGTCCCAGGAGGCGTCGCTGACGAGGCTCGGCCACACGCTGCGTCTCGTCGAGCCGCCGCTGCTGTGGATCGTCGTCGGAGCCGAGAACACGACGGCGACGGCGAGGGCGGTCAACGCGCTGCGTGGCACCAGAGTCATGTTCCGGCATCTCACCTACGCCGCCGAGAACTTCACCGGCCCCGCCGGCGACGAGGTAGACTACCAGATGAACGTGGCGCTGTCTCACATCCAGCTGCACCGGCTGCCCGGCGTCGTGCACTTCGCCGCCGCTTCCAGCGTCTACGACCTTCGCTTCTTCCAACAGCTCAGGCAAACTCGGTGTGTTATATTTCTATACTTTATCTTGCAGCTTTCAATATATTCCTTTCATTGCACTGAATATTTTCAACAGAAACAAAACACAAAATATTTGGACAAATTCTGCTGTGTTATGCATTAGTTTCGTGTAGATTAGTTCAGAAAATATTCAAAATGCAGCACATTGACATCTGTTGTCCGATCCATGATACAGGGGCATTGCAGCATGGCCAATAGCTACTGTGTCATCAGCAGATCAGACAGTAAAATTAGAGGGACCGACCTGTAACTCATCTCAAATCACAGGTTGGTACTCAAAGGACTCAAGCAGCAATATAACAGAGACAACCTGGGACTCAAGTAGCAACACAACACAGACAACCTGGGACTCAAGCAGCAACAAAACACAGACAACCACTCTGGCTGCACTAGATACCAATGCAAGCAAGCAAAACTCAAGCTCTGGACCTCCTGAAATAAACATGCACGCAGTCGGATTTAAGAGCTCAATGCTATGGGATTCAGAGAGGTTCACCCGCAGGGATAACTCATCAACAGGCATAAATCAGGTTTGTCAGTCTAAGTTCCAGCAAAAATAGCATACACACAATTGAAACCAGAACTTGATAACTTACCTGACCATGGTTTTTGGTGATACCAGGATTTAATCCAAGCTGTACGACAAATGATGATCAATGATGAGGACAAGAAAAGGGGAATCCCTTCTGATTGTTCTGATTCACAGATAATGCTGTGGCACCTTGACATGCCAAGGCATACCCCAAAAATTGAACAGGCGACTCCAGAGAAGGAAAGTCTAACGAAGGGTGATGAAGAGGAATCCCATGACATGACACTAGACAATGTTGTGCCAAAAACTGAAGAACATGAGACTTTAGAGAAGGAAAATCTAATGAAGGGTGATGAAAAGGGATCCCATGACATGATGCTAGACAATGTTGTGGCAAAAATTGAAGAACAAGAGACTCCAGAGAAGGAAAATCTAACGAAGGGTGAGGAGAAGGAATCCCATGACATGATGCTAGACAATGTTGTGGCAAAAATTGAAGAACAAGAGACTCCAGAGAAGGAAAATCTAACGAAGGGTGACGAAAAGGAATCCCATGACATGATGCTAGACAATGTTGTGGCAAAAATTGACGAACAGGAGACTACAGAGAAGGAAAGTCTAACAAAGGGTGACGAAAAGGAATCCCATGACATGATGCTAGACAACGTTGTGGCGAAAATTGAAGAACAAGAGACTCCAGAGAAGGAAAGTCTAACGAAGGGTGATGAAAAGGAAACTCATGACATGATGTTAGACAATGTTGTGGCGAAAATTGAAGAACAGGAGACTCCAGAGGAAGGCAAGACTAAGGAAGGGTGACGAAAAGGAACCCATGGCGTGATGTTATTAGTTACATCGTAGAGCATCACCATGTAATAGATAGAAGAAAGACTAATTCTACCTTCATGTATATTAGTGATCCCATAACCATGTGGCACATAACTGCCCAAAGTGTCAAAACAGTGAAAAACCTGATCTGAAAAGGTCAAATATACTGTCCTTTTCTTTTTGTAACACATCAAAATTTCGGTTTATCATCTAAGTGCTGGAACTAGAGATAGGAACAAAGAACAAAGACTAATTCTACCTTCATGTATATCAAAATTTCGGTTTATCATCTCCCTTTTAGGTTTTCCTTGTTGCTTTTCTTCTTTGTTTCCCCTGTTCTATCTCTTTCACCTTTCTTGGTGATATTGTAAATACTTTCTATTCTCCTTAATATAACTCCAGCTTAGCCTGGCTTTGGTTTCAAAAAAAAAAAAAGGAACGAACAGTGCATATTATATACTCAAAAGACTGATCCACCTCCTTTTGTTTTACCTAGCAAAACATCTTTGGCCTCATTAATCTTCGAAGCAAGGTAATGACTGCCCCCTGCATCCGGATGATTGGCAACCATGACCTTTTTGTGTGCCTCTTTAACCTTCTCAGGATGGACATTTTCTCTGGAGGCATCAAAAGAAAAAAGAGACCAATGAACAATAGCAAGAATCATAGTGTGCCTCAAATTGAATATTAACAATGACAAGTTGAAACATCACCAACAAATATACTTCTACAGATGCAGCAATGACTGGACAGACATGTCCACATGCCTTCTGCTCAAAGCTAGAACGGACAACTCAATACCTAATCCAACATGCTAGTACTGATTACACCAGAAATTGAAAAATAAGAAACTTTCCATACCTCAAGAGTTAACAAGTCTGACTCCAGCAGTACATTTTTTCAAGAAAACAAAGATATTTTCAGCGCAAAGTAAAAAAAAAAAAGTAAATCGTGACTAATGTCGTCACATATTCAGAGACATGGAAAATTTAACCGACATTACATTCAGAGACAGGGGAAATTTAACCGAATTACATCCAAAGTGACCCATGGATGTCTGGATGATGAAAGCAAAAAATACAACACTGATATAACAGCATTTCAACTAGGTATCTGGCACATTGCACATTTGTTGTCATTGTGGCTGATTGAAGATGGAAATATGATACCAGCTTGAGATGATAGTTCTACTCTTCTACATATACTGTCTATTTGCTCACATCAATGTTTAGAAGGACCAAGGGAGTACATGGCAATTCAGTACTTATTTGACACTTAATGCAAAGTAATGCAAAAATTAAGAAAATGCATTATGCATGTGGTGGTTGAGAAAGGTTCATTCAGCCCTATTCCATAAATCTATATACAATTCTAAGAGGGTTTTCCTATAGAGGGGATTACTCTGAATTTTTTTAAGATTTTGTTTAAATATGAACTAAAATATAAGGATTTTGACCCTAAACCTAACCCCATCTATGGCTTTATCTGAAGTCCAAACAGGTTAATGGTCAAATTTTACAATCTGATTTGTAAATGTTAAAAGCTAGCTGTTCCATACACTCCTAGGAGGCTCTCTTATCAAAAGCATTTTCTGGTGGAAGGGCAGAGTATCCTTTGCCTTATTTATAACCTGTTCATCTGTAGAAGAGAAATAGCTTTTATTGAAGTTATTGGGACCGATTGTTTTAAGTTGATTGCAGTTAATCAGTCATCATCAAGTGTGTGCTCTGTGTCTTTCGTGTCCAATATTTCAAAAAAAAAAAACACATCCCCAGTATACATATGAATAGCTGTATGCTAAGAGTAACATAAATAATAATCAAATGTGGTGCACATATTATGCTTTTATATGATATGTACCTGACACCCAGGATTAAACCAGCTTCCCTTCGGGCCATTTCAGGTTGAAAACCACCTTCATAGAATTTGCGCATCCTGGGAACTATAGGCCTTGCTTTATAAGCATGCCAAGCTTGGATGCTATATCTACTGGCAAGAGCAGCGGCTGCCACCGCAAGTCCTGCTATAAGTGGTGCAGCCTGCATAAGTTGAATATATATTCATGATTGAAAATGAAAATCGAACAACAGGATAACATATAATCCAGAAGTTAGATAAATTAAATAGCATGAGAAGACAATAGGAATTGCTCACATATTATGAAGTAACAGGCCATCACAGTTACCACTTACCAGATTAACTATTGCTGCAATAAATGGCAATGGCTAGCGAAATGGTCTATCACTATCAAGTTGGCTTCATTCTAATATTTACTCTATGCAAGACTTGACAATAGGCAGTGTATGTACAAAATTAGAACACCATTTAATATGAATACCATGCGAAAGATAAGGAGGAGACAGAAATTTGCTTTAACTTCTAAGAGAATGGGAAATTTAGAGATTTATTAGTCTGGTTATCTGTTCCACTTGTTAGAATCAAATAAAGCAGGTAGCGAGACACAACTGTTTGGCAGGCAGCACAGATGGGACAATTACTTACACTGAAACAACTACCCAGAAACTTAATTTCCCCACTCTAGTTCTACTCAACATGGATGAACAAACTCACAAGTAGGTTATTCACACTACGGCTCAACAAATCTGCAGGGCAGGGAAACTTGGTCACAAAATGCAGCAAAAATCACCACTACCAAAGGATCTAAAACACCATCACAATACAAATGTAGAACTTGAAGCATCGACAAGTTGAACTCTTCTACCTAGTTCTCCCTTAGCCCTTGTCTATACGCATCCCTTCGGATTGCCAAATAAACCGAACTAAAAAATCCCACGAACTGAAGGGATTGGGGGTTAAAGCTAAACTCATCCCATCCAAACATGCCACTATCGATGGAACTCTGCATTACTCCCAACTAAATTTATTCCCATACACATACAACCACAAGCAAATATGGAATAAACTTGTGTGCTGTAGCAAAGATGACTGCTCACCATCTCCCCCACCAATCAGAGCAGCCGCTGAACAAAAGAGGATCAGCGAAGAGGCGCAAGGGGATACACGCCTACTCGCAGAAGTCGGCGATCGCCGGAGAGGCGGCCGGAGGCGGTGGAGGTGGGAGAGATAGTAGGGAAGAACAACCCTACTTGGGCTGGGCCGGCTGGGCCTTTCAAAACCAACTCACTGGAATACGTCTTCTTCCTAGAAAATACGCTTTCTAAAGCAGACGACGCTCTTTGGGAGTCGCACGCTTTCACCCTCTTCCACCTCTCGCCTCTCTCCCTTGATCTCTTCGCTGCGAAGCCATCTTCTTCTCGGTCTCCACGCGCTTTCACCTCCGTATTTTACTCGCGCCCTTCTCTCTCTCCTCGACCTCATTCGCCTCGCCTCGCGTCTCGTCTCGTTCGCCCCTCGCCACCACGCAACACGCCATGGGCGCGGCCGACGACGCCAACCACCGCCACGAGGAGGCCAGCCCCCTCCTGCCACCGGGCGGCGGCGGCGGCGGCGGCAAGAAGCTCCACCAGTCTCCGCCTCCATCGCCTCCGGAGGCAGCCAAGTGCTGCGCCGATGGAGTCCCCGTCGTTATGGGCGAGCCGCTCGGGGCACCCGCACCGCCGCGGGAGAGCTGGAACTCGGGGGTGCTCTCCTGCCTCGGCCGCAACGACGAGTTCTGCAGCAGCGACGTCGAAGTGTGTACGTGCATGTCGATCTCAGATCTCTCGGGTGTTGGGTTGGGGGGGGGGTTGCGTTTGCGTGCGTTTCTCGCTAGCGATTCTCGTGGTTTCGTTGTGGGGAGGATCTAAAAGAAGAACACGCGGTTTGGGTCGCGTCGATCGAGCATGATTTTAGGTGAAGCGATCAGATTATCTAGGGATTTCTCTGGCAATGAGAGGTCCATAAATTGTTGGAACTGATTGCGATTGTTATAAGATCTGTCTACTTCTTGTTCTTGGTCGATTCTTGGGCGTAAATACTTCAGAAGTTATTTGGGAATTTCTCACTATTTAATCATAATTGATTGAAATGTTAGAATTGATTCTAGCTTTGCAAATTTCTCCCTTTGGGGCGTTAAATACACTAATTTTGTATTAACCACTTCAAGATTAAGCTGATTTCTCCTGACTATGATACACATTTTCAACTCGTAAGAAACTTACAACATACTTCCTCCGTTTCACAATGTAAGTCATTCTAGCATTTCCCATATTCATATTGATGTCAATGGATATCTAGATTCATTAATATCAATATGAATGTGAGAAATGCTAGAATGACTTACATTGTGAAACGGAGGGAGTACTTGCTTTCTCAGAGTTGGTAGTCATAATTAGCATTTAAATTGCTGTAGTTGAATTGCAATCTTACTTCTAGTTATGGATCTGTGCAGCTAATGGACATGCTAAATTTATCTTGACAATGCTGTCCTATGTAGCCAACTATTACATTTTACACTAATGGTTGGAATGATTGTGGCCAGCTTGTTTTGATTCATTCGAAAGCATAAAACTTGAAAATTATCTTTTCCCCTTTATCAACCTACTTAATCTTTGGTATTTGTTTATTTCCCTTATTTTAATTGCTTTGGTTAATAATTTTAAGCTGAATTATAAACTTGACAAGCAGATATAGCCATGTGATGTTGTATGCCGGGTTTTCTCAGCATAAAGTTTTTGCATAGCACAAACTCTTGTACATAGACTGATCCTAGGTTGTCTTTGCACTTAAATGAATTCTCATCAAGTTACAATGGCCTGTTGAACTACTCAGTTGAAACATCACCTGAGGATCTTTTGTCACATATTCATGATGACCCCCATAGTGTACGCAATTCACAAATTGACAGGTTCTGCATATCTTGGCTACTGTGAATTAAGGTTAAGATGGGGACTCAAGGGTCATAAAAAACAACCTAAGGGTCATAACAAATGTTTTTTTTAAATGCTTGTGTAGTTGTATGTGTCCCTTTGAACTGATAATTGTGTTTCGATTTTATCAGGTCTTCTTGGAAGCATAGCACCATGTGTGCTGTATGGTAGTAATGTTGAGAGGTTTGCAGCCAGACCAGGAACTTTTGCAAACAGCTGCTTGCCTTACACTGGCCTCTATATGCTTGGGAATGCTCTCTTCGGGTGGAACTGCATAGCCCCATGGTTCTCTCATCACACTCGTACAGCTATTCGTCGACGATACAATCTTGAGGCAAGTTTTGTCTAGTTGCCTTTGTTTACTTTTGTGTATGATTTTCTCAACTAACAGTGAGATAATATTCGTTAATCGCCACTCCTGAAAGCTCTTAACAACGGTCCAAACTTGGAATTTCTGCCTTCTGCACCATGAACTTGTCTCTCTGGTGTCACTCTAAGCAATATTTTGACATGGGTTGCTTTGCGTGTTTGTCTTTCAGGGTAGCTTTGAGGCTTTCACTAAGCAATGTGGGTGCTGCCATGGCCTTGTTGAGGATGAGGGGAACCGTGAGCACCTGGAGGTTGCCTGCGACCTTGCAACTCACTACTTCTGTCACCCTTGTGCGCTCTGCCAGGAGGGACGCGAGCTGCGGCGCAGGGTCCCCCATCCTGGCTTCAACGGGCGATCTGTCTTGGTCATGACGCCACCAAAGGAGCAGACTATGGGTCGTGGCATGTGAACCGTGCCAAACATCTGCTCTGCTCTATTTGCACTTGAGCTATTATGTGATGAATGTTCTCTACTGCCTTGGTGAAACTCTGTATGTTCGTCGGTAAATATGAGTCTTGTGTGATATGGGATCATGATGGACAATGGAAACTCCAGCCTGTTTCTCTGAATTGTGTTGATCGTCTTCGGTCTTTCTGTTCCGTATGGACCGCTTGTGTATTCTGTCATTCTGAATAACATTGTAATACTGTATCACGTTTGTGTTGGCAATCCACTTTTAAACTTATCGATGTGAAGCAGATGTGTCAAATGGGCACCCTTGCGGCCTTGCCTATTTGAAACTGCCACTCAATGTGTTTATAAATCTGCTGGAAGTTGTGAATTTTTTAACGGTTTTGAATTCAGTGAATTCAAATAAACCGAGATAGAATGCGTGTGCCAGTTTAGTCGCGAAACATTCAGAATTCATCGAAAATTGCTAAAAATTTAAAATCAAACACGATGTACTCTACTTCAGTATCAAGTTGGGCCACACGGGTGAGGCCTACTCACTAGCCGCCTCAAATCCGGCCCAGTCTACCGCCTTGCGTGCTCGTTTACTCCTCCGTCGATTTCCACTTTCGCCAAACCTCGCGGCCGTCGAGCTCCGCCGCCGGAGAAAAAGATGGCCGACGACAGCGCCTCCCCGTCGCCGTCCTCGGCCTCGCCGCTCCAGCACCACCGCGAAGCCCTCAAGTCGTCAGGTCCGCGCTCTCCACCCAGTACCTCTTCCAGTTTCCTCTTCTCGCCCGTCCGCGGCCGCTCTGGAATTTCGTAGAACATTTGGCGCGCGCGGCCGCCTGCTGCTGCTGGAGGCTGGAGCCCGAGCCGCCCCCTTTGAGTGCGCGTGTGAGTTTCTTCGAGTGAAATTGCTCTTGCCTTCCTGGAGGAGAGAGCCGCTCAGACTCTTCTCCGGTCAGGTTTGAGTAGTTGCTAGGTTGGACCAACGAGGGGTTAAAAGCTTAAAATTAAGGTCAACAGTAGGTCGATATTATCTTATACTTCTAGATCGAATCATATGAGTGACTGTTCTTATGTGGTTGGAAATCTAGCTGGTTAGCATGGCTTAGCCAACAATTTGGCATGCACTGGACTGTGTCTGACTTGCTGAAACTTAGGTGCTGCGATTGACCTGTTTTTAAGTTTAAAAGTGCACTTCTTCTGTGATTTTAAAGAATTTAATCTGATGTCAGGAATAAACATCCCATAGTCGGTTAATTCTGTGTCCCCTAGCCCTACTGAACTAATCTCATGTGAAACTGCAACGGGTGAAAAAGACAAAATACAGAATAAGCATAATGCATTTTGGTTCATCATATTCATAGAAAGCTTTGTGCTAGAGCACTAGTTATTATAACCTTTAGTTGGTTGGGTTTCTGGTTGTAGTGCGCAACACGGCAGCTAGCCGGAGGCGGGAACAAGCTATTGCGATTGGGAAGGAAAGACGGGAAGCCTTGATCCGTGCAAAGCGTGTGTGTCGAGCTCCAATTTCTGGCAGTGATGAAGCTGAAATGGAAGAGGGTGATATGGTGGTCGATGAGGAGAAAGCATGTCTTGAGGCAAAGACTGCTCATGCTGTTGAAGAATTGAAATCTGCTTTGTCAATCCAGTATGGAACCGGCATATTTTTTATGTATTAATATAAACATCTGTCCGTACATTCTTAATTTAAATATTGCTGACTTGCCTCTTTTTTTCCTAATAAAAATACCTAGTTATGTAATTAATTAGGAGTATTTGGTTTATAATTTTTCTGTCATGTATTCCTTTTACAGATGATAAAAAAATATTCTATAATTCTGTTATGGTGCATGTGCTGAGTAATTTTCATTATGTTTTACACCTCACATTCTACCAACATTTCAAAACCCTATGCTGCTAACATGAACCAAATGCCCCCCTCTGCTGTCAGATATTCTATTTATTCACTTGTCTTTTAAAAGTATGTTGCTGAAGGTTTGGTTTGAACACTTATAAGTTCCAACTTAAAACTATGAAAATGTGCAAGCATGTACCGAAAGTACTCTGGTTCTGAAGTGTAATATATAACCATCAGTACATATCGTTGCTCTTAGGGGGAAAGGCGTTCAGAAGAAGAAGATAGAGGCGCTTCGTGATTTGAGACGCTTGTTGTCACAGCCTGAAGTACCTCTAGTTGATACTGCAATTAAAGCTGGAGCAGTCCCTCTTTTAGTGCAATATCTATCCTTTGGATCATCAGATGAGCAGGTTGATCATGCTGCACTAATTGTTTCGAAGCTATATCTTCATTAAATATTATAAAGCTGAGTTGAATGTGTTCAGCATTATAATTCTATATCTTTTGTTATTTGAAGTTTGTCTCTTATCAGGACCATTCATGATTTTAATGCAGTTGCTAGAGGCAGCTTGGTGCCTTACAAACATAGCAGCTGGGGAACCAGAAGAAACAAAATCCTTGCTGCCTGCTCTACCATTGCTTATTGCTCACCTTGGTGGTTAGTTTCATCTCTCTTGTTGGTTGAAATTAAATAATTTTCTTCAATGCTCATCTTCATTCCCATTAGGAAGATATTGCTATATGTTCCTGTATGCGTTTCTCAAGAATGATGTTTGTAGATATTTTTCTACTATTTAGTTTGAAATCAGAGCTTTGACTATGCTAAAAATTTAATTGAGCTACCTATGTTGGTTAGAAAAGAGCTCCACACTTGTTGCCGAGCAATGTGCATGGGCCATTGGTAATGTTGCTGGTGAAGGAGCAGAGCTGAGAAGCACATTACTTGCACAAGGTGCTTTGCGGCCTCTTACCCGTTTAATGTTCTCCAGTAAAGGTTCTACAGCAAGAACTGCTGCTTGGGCTATGTCAAATCTCATCAAGGTTGTACTGATAAACTCTCTCTTAATTTTCTAAGCTATCGTTGTAGGCAAGCACAAACTACATACACGTGCTCTCTGAACCGTGCTATTTTCTAAGCTATCATTGTTAGTTTTAGCATTCTTTTGTTATAGAAAACCTTAAGCCATGTTCCAAAACATAATTGGCTTGTAATACATGCTTATCTATTTGCAGAGCATCATTTCACTAACCCATTTGTTTCTCTTGTAATCTAGGGGCCTGATCCAAAGGCTGCAAATGAGCTTATTACCATTGATGGCGTGCTAAATGCAATTATAGCGAGCTTGGAAAAGGAGTATGTCTCTTTATTGACATCCTTTTATTTTGCATTGAACTTTGTATTGCTTTATGTTCACTATATGGGAGTATTGCAATTGGAATAATTCTTTCCTGTCAATCTTATTAGTTATAATTCTGTGCTATGTTGTATTTGTTGGGTACTTGGTACTATTTCCTTTTCCGGTGTTCTTTCCATCAGTTATAATTATGTGGTATGTTGTATTTGTTGGGGGTACTTGGTACTATCTCCTTATGTAGTTGATATAGTCTTGTTTAATGTTTGAGGTATTCGATAAAAGTTTTCAATGGCATAGATAATGAATTAACCAAACCATTATTGAACTAGCGTGGACCTTTTTAATCATTACTATTATTGAGTAACTTTTGGACTTATCAGGGACGAAGAGTTAGCAACTGAGGTGGCATGGGTTGTGGTCTATCTTTCAGCACTTTCAGACAGAGGTATTAGCTTAATAGTAAGAAGTTCTGTGCCTCAGCTGCTGATAGGACGACTGTTCTCATCTGAGAACTTGCAGTTGCTGATCCCAGTATGGTCCATTTATCTCTACCTCATAGTGTTTCTTCCTTTTGCTTATTCACACTTTTGATACTTTCCTTTAAATTAATTGAATACCTATTAGTTGAGCCCTATTTATTGTAGTTTATTAATGCCCACCAAACTGACTATGTCTCAAAAGAGAAATCTCTTTGTTCAAAACTATAACTTCTGGTGGCTAATGTGACAAGTAATATGCAATCAGTCCATGTCTCATTCGGAGGAATCTGTTTATTAATTTACTGTTTATATTGAATAAAGGTGGTGATAGTGATTTACCATTTTTGTGTAGTTACTCACTCATAAGGATATACAGTATATACTTTTACTCCCATTCATTAGGGTTCTGCAATTACTGCAAATGTGTATACTGAATGTGGATTTCACATTGCAATCACTTTGATACTTCTACTTTAAATTTAGGTGCTTCGTGGTTTGGGAAATCTTATTGCCGCTGATGACTACATGGTTGATTCAGTCCTAACTGTTGGACACAATATCATTGGTAAACTCCATGACCCTTTTCCTACCATATCTGTTTACAATGTTTATTCATCAGTTAACAGTTCCTTGTCTTTCTGGAAAATATATCTTGCAAATTGCAAGCACTAACTAAATGTTGTTATTAGATCAAGCATTGTCAGGTCTTATAAAATGTTTGAAGAGTGATAACAGGGTTCTCAGAAAGGTCTGCTTTCCATTGCTGGTTCAACTTTACTTGGTTATACTCGGAGAACTCCTGTGATTATTTGATTTACCCTATGAAATTTGCTGACTGCTTATGTAGGAGTCATCATGGGCATTGTCAAATATAGCAGCAGGCAGTTTTGAGCACAAGAAACTGATTTTTGCCAGTGAGGCCACGCCTGTGCTGATACGCCTTGTCACCAGCATGCAATTTGATATTCGCAGGGAAGCAGCATACACCCTAGGAAATCTGTGTGTTGTCCCTACTGGAAATTGCGAACTCCCAAAGATAATCGTGGAACATCTAGTCGCTATCGTAGATGGTGGAGCCCTTCCAGGATTTATACACTTGGTCAGGTCTGCTGATGTAGATACCGCAGGGCTTGGTCTTCAGTTCCTAGAACTGGTGAGGAAATCTTTACCATATTAGCTATCTCTGTTTCATTCCTCCAACGGTATTCACCTCACAAGCAGAGTTGCTGAACATGTTCTGTTTCTTTCTTGGATACATTTGGATCTCACTGGAAATTGAATACATTTTTGCAGGTGATGAGGGGGTATCCCAATAAGCAAGGCCCAAAGCTTGTGGAAATGGAGGACGGCATTGAGGCCATGGAGAGGTTTCAATTCCACGAGAACGAGCAGATGAGGAACATGGCCAATGGTTTGGTCGACGAATACTTCGGTGAGGATTATGGCCTCGACGAGTGACTCAACTAATTACCATTCGTACATCAGGTTAAATTGTAATGGCAGCAGCTGTTCATGTGTTCGTACTGTAAAAATGCATTCTCAGTTTCTAACAGCACTGGAACTTTAGAATGAGAAAATCATTTGCTTGTTACTGTTCGTCTTACTGCCACTTGTTGACGTAATTTGGAAAGAAAAAAAAGGTTGCATTAGCATCTTGTTATGTATAATTAGATTGTAACACAATGCTAGACATATTTGCTGGTTACAGTAGCAGAACACTTTACTTTCTTTGCAAAAATTGCAGTAAAAAAAAAAGAAGAGAAGCAGCTACGACTTTAATAATCCTCAGGTTTCTAAAACGATAATCAGATTTACAGTTAAGCCGCAGTTGTGCTGCTCCTCTCGCGCGCGCATTTCGTCGAGCACGTCTCTGGCCGGCGGCGAGATCCTGGCCTCCCACTCCCGGAGGTCCGCCTCCACCTCCGCCGCCTCCGCCTCGAAGCCCAGCCGCTTCATCCCCCTCGCCATCACCCTGTACATGTACTCGTCCACCTCGCAGCCTCCCATCCTCACCGCCGCCTCGTACACCCTCCACGCCGCGCGCGCCCTCCCCTTCGCCACCAGCGCGCGCACCAGCCGCGTCAGCTTGTACACGTCCTCCTCCCCATCCACGAACCCGCCGCCCCGCTCCTTCTCCTCCAGGAACGCCTCCACGAGCGCGTCCACGGCGGCGGCGCCGTCCTCGGTGGCCGGCGAGGAGGAGACGAACGTGGCGTAGAGGGCCGGGTCGGGGCGGTACCAGGGCTCGGCGCGGGCGACGTGGAGCGCGGCGAGGGCGAGGGACCAGTGGCCCTGGCGCTGGAGCTCGGCCATGGCGGCGAGGAGGTCGCCCTTGAGGAGGCGGCCGAGGGAGGTCGAGGCCGCGGCGGCGGCGGCGGCCGGGGAGCGGTCGGAGGAGGTGAGGCGCTTGAGGGATTGCACGGCGAGGATGGCCTCCGTGGAGAGGGAGCGGCCGCGCTGGAGCGGGCCGCGGTTGTCGCGCGGGCCGCAGGTGATGCTCGCCGGCGTGGGGCGGGCGCTGCGGCGGCCGGGGTTCGCGCGTGGGGTCGGGGTGAGAGTGAGACGCGGGAGGGAGAGGAGGGACGCCATGAGGTGCGGAGAAGAGAGCGGAAGCGGAAGCGGAAGCTGAGCTGCTTGGCGTGCGAAGGCTAGAGAGCGAGCTGATCTACCCGATTCGCCGTCGGATGAGCTGGGAGCCGTCTGATGCCATTGACTCCCTTTTCTTGTGTTTCTCCATATTCAAATGCGATTTCAAAGCCACAATTAAGGTGCAGGCCCTATGTTTTTCAGATAAAGGATTAAAAACCAAGTCTCTTTCATTCGAAAAGAAAATTCAGAAGACTGTTAAAATTTTAGTAAAAATGAAAAAAAAAATTCCCGCGTCAAAATACTATTGACTTAGTGTTGAAATATAGTAGGTTTTAACGGTGATCAATTTCAGCTTTAAATTTTAGAGTAAAGTGTATTGCCGGTCCCTACACTTATTCATATGTGTCACCGAAGAACCTAAACTATCAAAATGCATTTTCAAATCTTCAAACTTGTTAAATGTGTCATTCAAATCCTAAATTTTCACAGCCCCTCCAATATCCTACGTGACATTTACGTGTCATGTCATATGAATATTCCGGTTCCAAATTTTCTTTTTCTTCTTTTTTCGTCTCCTCTGTGTTTCCCTTCTTTTTTTCTCTTTTTTTTTCAAAAAAAAAGGAAGGAAGAACTGAAGAAAAAGGGTAGAAAGAAGATAAAGAAAATGAGTCAACTCCTATGTGGCATGTCACATGAGCACCATGCAGAATTCTGAAGTGGTTGTAGCAATTTAGGACCAAAATAACATATTTTGATAAGTTTGGTGACCTGGACGACACGGACGAACAAATTTAGAGACCAACAATACACTTTACTCTAAATTTTACTATGTAGTAAAAGCAATTTCACCAAAACATCTCAAAATCATTCAGAAACAAGAAAAGTCTACGAGTGAAAGTTGTATAATGTCAAAGATATAATTTCAACTCTTCATCTTTTACATTACCACATACTCCGTGTATCACAAATCGCATTTTTCGAGAACTACTAGCAGCTTGACTGGTAGAGCTACTAGAAGCAAAGCATCGGTCTGGATTCGAATCCTCTCGGACGCAGGTTATCTCACTATTTCATTTTTTTTATTAATAATGGATGTTAAATTCCTGGAACAAAAATGCATTTTCTCATTATATATAATCTAGCACATAATCTGGCCAAAAGGGCAAACAAATCGACATGAGAACTTTGAAAAGGGGAACACACAGTGAGCTGCCACTGCCAGGCCGGCGAGTGGCGACGCTGCAAGACCGCGAACCATTCAGCCAACAACCACCCCATGCGCTGCACGCGTCCCCAACGGAAATTCCGTATCAATCATCTCCCTCCCCAACCCTCCCCTTCTCCCTCGCGGAGTCGCACCACTGACTTCCCACACAGACTGCTCCGAGCTCTCCATTCCCGCGACCCATTGACCCATCGGGATCCTGGAGCGCGCCAATGGCGGCGGCCGCCGTGCTCCTGGCCGCCATCCTACTGGCGCTGTCCCCTCTCCCCATGTCCCTCTCCGCCGGCGGCGGCGGCGGAGGTGACACTGGCACGGCCGAGGCGGCCGCGGACCGAATCACGGCCCTGCCGGGGCAGCCACGGGTCAACTTCTCCATGTACTCCGGGTACGTCACCGTCGACGCGGCCGCCGGGCGCGCGCTCTTCTACTGGCTCATCGAGGCCGCCGACCCGGCGTCCGCGCCGCTCGTGCTCTGGCTCAACGGCGGGCCCGGGTGCTCCTCCGTTGGGTACGGCGCGTCCGAGGAGCTCGGCGCGTTCCGGATCAACCCCGACGGGAGGTCGCTCTACTTGAACCCCTACCCCTGGAACAGAGGTCTCGGTTTCTGTTCTTCCCGCAGCCGTCTCGTTTCAGTCGAGAAATGTGTGCTTCATTTTGATGAATTTTTTTCGTTGGGTTGCAGTGGCCAACATGCTGTTCTTGGACTCCCCCGCCGGCGTCGGCTACTCCTACTCCAACACCACCTCCGATCTGTTCACTGCTGGTGATAACAAGACAGGTGAACTGGAAGCAATTCAACTTCTTGTTTAGTGCTGCTAGGAGCATAGTGCCAATTTTTTTTCTTGCTCTGATGCTAATTGCTGGTGTGCAGCTCATGATTCATATGCTTTCTTGGTGAATTGGTTGGAACGGTTTCCGCAGTACAAGTACCGTGATTTCTACATCGCAGGCGAGAGCTATGGAGGTGAATTTCAATCATAATTGGTTAATTATGAGATAGGAGCTTTGCACTTTAGCAAATTGCAGATATGCTACTGTCTTTATGTTTCAGCATATTCATTCCTGCTGCAATGACTGCTTTTTCAGGGCACTATGTCCCTCAGTTGTCTCAGCTAGTGTACCGGAATAACAAAGACGTTGAAAAGCCTATCCTAAACTTTAAAGGCTTTATGGTGAGAACTTTGTGTGATCTCTTTTCCTCAAATGAACTGTGTGATCTCTGAAAATATAAATTTGTCTGGTCGCTTTCTACTTATGAATGATAAAATGGTACTCCAAATTTACTAGGTTGGAAATGCGGTAATCGATGATTACCATGACTACGTTGGCACATTTGAGTACTGGTGGACACACGGGCTGATATCTGATGATACATATCAGAAGCTGCAGGTGGCCTGTGATTTTGAATCATCTGCTCACGCATCAGAAGCATGTAACAAGATTTATGAAGTGGCTGAGGCTGAACAAGGGAACATTGATGCATACAGCATCTATACGCCTACCTGTAAAAAAACTTCATTTCTCAAACGCAGGTTAATAAGGGGTAACTCGGTAAGTCTGTCCACTCTAAACTAGAAGTTAATTGTTTTTTGGTAGTAGCATGGTATAATAGTTATTAGGATCAATGTGTGCAGCACTGCAACTGCTTATAGTGTTATTCAGATACCCTCTGAATATATGGTGAAACATGGCTCATGTATTGCTTCCTAACCAAAATTTTTCGAATGTAGCCATGGTTGCCTAGAGGATATGATCCCTGCACTGAAAAGTACTCTACGAAGTACTACAACCTACCAGAAGTGCAAAAAGCATTTCATGCCAATGTCACTGGAATACCGTATGCCTGGACCACCTGCAGGTCTGTCAATTGATTGCATCTTCCAATAATCACAACTAGTTCAACAAAGTTTTTTTTTTTTGGTAATGGTAATTTGTGCTGAGATTCTGTAACGATTTTCAGTGATGACTTGTTTTATTATTGGAAAGATTCACCAAGGTCCATGCTTCCTATTTACCGTGAGCTGATTGCGGCTGGTCTAAGAATATGGGTTTTCAGGTACACAGATTTCTTGATTTTGTAGAAAGATGGTTTGAAACTGCATCCTTATTCTTTGATGGTTGCATTATTGCTGATCTAATAGATTCATAAATCATAATCATAATACAATGCTGATACAGTAATATGAAACTGTCCATCAACGTGGACTTAATATTTGTATTGGACAATTTGGCAGCGGCGACGCTGATTCTGTAGTCCCCCTCACTGCGACAAGATACTCCATTGATGCACTCTATCTACCTACTGTCACTAACTGGTATCCTTGGTATGATGATGAGGAGGTTAGTCAGCAACAGTTACTACCACCCTGCCAGTTCTGTTCCCCATCCCTTTTCTATGCTTATTATTTGTTGATGGTGTGAATCATGCTTAGGTTGCTGGTTGGTGTCAAGTGTATCAAGGTTTGACACTGGTGACGATCCGAGGAGCAGGGCATGAAGTTCCTCTCCATCGTCCACGGCAAGCCTTAAAACTCTTTGAGCATTTCCTACAAGATAAGCCCATGCCTCAACCTGTACATAGCATTCAATCCTTTTAGAATTTTCTTCCATTTAAAGTGGAAGATCATGCCACGAGGCCATGATGTTGTATAATTTGAAGTCTGTCTCCCACATTTTCTGATGAACAGATGAAATCTGTTCAAATGACAGCTGGCCATCATTCTTAATTTATTCAACTATATGTTCCTAGTGACTTCAGAAATAATGCCCATCCTGTTGAATATTTCCTTTTCGGTTTATGTATACCACAAGACCAAGATGGAAATATAGTTTTTCATTTTATGAGCTTGCTTCTGTGACAAGTGATCACATGAATATCCATATATCATCGTACATTGACGTGTTTTTTATCCGTCTTTTGGGGCATCAACTCTGTTATTGGAGTACCATCCAGGTGGGTTTTGCTGGCGAAATTTCCACTTGCAGGACCATCCTATACCTACGTGTGAGGATTAATTGAAGTCTTTAACGATCGACAAAAATTTCAGGAGTATACGGCCGAGAACTTGACGAACGAGAGCTGCTACTGCTACTGCTTAGTGCTAGCTCTTGATCAGCCTGAACATTGAACTGGGAACTCTTCTGAACAACTGAAGTAAAAAAAAAAAAATAGCCGCAATTTTCGGCGCAGTGAATTTGCCTGCAAGCATAGTAAAAAAACCGGACCGGGTCAACCCGCTCTAGCCATCGGTTCATTGGGTGAACCACCGGTTTTTATTTATTAATATTATATTTGGTTTGCATTATTTTAATTATAGAACCATCACAAATTGGTGAAAATATGCATAAGTAAATCAGTATATCTATTATTATATGGCCACAACATAAAAAAATTAAATGGAGTATGGTAACATAATAAATTCATAATTCATAATCGTCGTGGATGTATAGGGGCAGCTGCGCCGTATGGTCTGTGGAGTCACAAGTCGATACGGGAAAGTCTTTTTAGCCACCACTGCATTGCTTTAAGATTCGGATGTAGTGAGCTTAATAGAATTAATAGAATATTCATATCAATAAGTTGCAACTTCTTTTTCGGAAGCCGATCTTGAAAGAATTCTAAGGTTAAATGTGCTTGGCTCTGAGCAATTTCGGGATGGGTGACCGATTGGGAAATTCTTCCCGAGTGCGCATAGGTGACTCTCGCGGTTTCATAGGCGGATCGTTACAGCTACACACGATACAGTAGGTCCACGTAACGCGTACGGAGATGGTACGCGCGGATACTAGTCATACTCATCTCCTTCTGGGTGGTCGACTCCGAGATCGCCTCGCTCGCCGCCACGGGAGCGGAGCTGCAGGTGGATGCGGAGATCGGCGAGGACGGCAGGATGCGGGTCATGCACTCATGCATGGTACGGGGCCGGGTACGCAAGTTGACAAGCTCGCAACTCCCGGAGGCTTTTTTTCTGCACCTAGCTGCAGTGGCTCACTCACTGCACCTAGCCCCATAGTCGTTGGATCTGTTTTAAGATTTGTGCTGTATTTATAGACTTCCTTTGCAATACGGGCTCGGTTATGTACAGCTAGTAGACACAAATGTACGTGAACACTTGAATCTGGGGTAGATTGAAGTGAAGAGAGTCTTGGATTTATTTTTTTAGTGCAAACAGCATTGCTGGTAGATGCATAAGTTCATTCAGAACACTTGAATTATGTAGCAGCAAGCACATTATTCTGATACTTTGTGTGGATCTTAACATAACTGACAAAATATAGCTAATGATCAATGATCATCGAAGAGTAACACATCATTGTTTTGGGAGAATCTTGATTCCCTTGATTAGTAGCCCTCTCTTCCACAGCCCACCATCATACTCAAACATGGATATCTCAATCTCTCCCTTCTGCCCCTGCTGGGTTTTCACCTCCCCGACCTTGAGCTCCAGCCATTTCATCCTGATCTTCTCCTCAAGATTCTCTTTACGCTGCTGGACTGTTCCATCAGGGAACTTGAGCTGAAGGTTCACTGGGACAGACCACCCGTATGCAGGATCAATAAGCATTACTTCAAAGAGAACCTCATAGGTGACTCCTGGTGTAAGATAGGACCGTTCAAGCTTCCCATGGATCTCTAACCAGCAGACGTTCTGCAGCGACGGCACTTCGATCTGGGTGTCAGTGTCAGCATCACTGCTGTTGATTAACATATCAGATTCAGAACAATGAAAGAAGTATGCCTAATTCCTGAAACAAAACCTAATCTGCCTTCTGTTATTCACAATAATGCTTCTTAAATAATAGTACCTTCCTTCTTTCAGAGGTTTCCAAGTCCAGAATCTGGGGTCTTCACTCCAAGTGATAGACAAGCCTCTGGGAAACAGCATGAAGCAGTTGTTCCTAGTTCTCTCATCCACCCAGTACTTCTGCATTGCAGCAAGTTTGCAACATAAACTATGTTCAGAGAACCAAAAACTTACAAGACCCCATATCATTTGTAATGTTCAGAAGCAAAATTTTTGCAACCTTTGTTTTCCCTGCCAAGAAGATGCCGGTGTAGATCTGATCTTCCAGTGAAGATGCAGTAAAATCCTTCTCGGCAACAATCTCTTGGAACATGTGAAGAGCTGGTGCTCTCTTTGATTGGGCCTGGTTGCTACCAGAACTGGAAGCGCTGCTTGCCACCGCCATGGCTTTGCCGTTCCCAGAGAAAGAAGAGTTGGAATGCGCCTCTTCTCGCGACGGCGATGCCCCCATTGTAAGTTTTCTCTGAACTTCTCCTGTAGTTCAAGAGCTGTTAAGACTTCAGACGACTGTGATATATGTTGAGGAAGAAGAGCTCAAGACCAGAACAGCTGAGCCAGTTTTTTTCTGAGCTGAAATGGAGAAAGAATTTACGCTTTTATTGGCCTTTTCGCCTGCCATGCCTGGAGTAGAAAATTTCATCAAGCAAGATGGCATCAAGATTAGCGGTGGAGAAAAGCAGGAGGAAATAAAAGCTCCTTTTCCAGCAAGCTTTTGAGCATGGAATCTGGTTCGAGATGATGAATTTGGTGTGCATCCAGAAGATGCCAGTTCTAGAGAATCTACCTTTCGGTTGAGGAAGGAACACGATATGGTATTCTGCTGAGGAGAGACACCAAACTATGAAGTTCGAATCAGGGGTTCAGTTTTTCTTTGCTCAGAAACAGTATACTGCTCCCTCTATCCTCTAAAATAAGCGTGCACATATTCCAAAACTCAAGTTTAAAAACATTTGACCAATAATTATTATAATATAAGTTAAATTTTATTTGTTAAAATTAATATCATTGGATTGACATTTAAATTTACTTTAAGATGATTATAATTTTGTTGTAATAAACTTTATAGTATATGAGATATTATAAGTCAAAGATAAGTTTTAAAGATTGTGCCAGATTTAACCATGAGCTTCTCCCGTCCCTACAAGACACATCATCCAAAGATCAGCCTTGGAGTTCAAGCTACTTGTGGAAGTGGATTTTTATCCCTCGAGGGGACATCCCCTTGTTTTATGCATGTTATTCAAAAAGTTATAAATTTTCTTTTAAAAAGATGTCAAGATAGATCAATATATGATATATCTTTTCGCAAACATATGAGTTAAAATTCGTTTTATACAATTTGAAAAAAAACAACAAATTTGACCGTGAATTACACGTTCTATTCATAGTCAAATTTGTTATTTTTGTTTCTAATTGTATACGTTGAATTTAAATTTGCATGTTTGTGAAGTGACGTATTACATATTGATCTATTTGACTAATTTTTTTCAATTTTTTTGATGATTTTTTAAATGACATGAAAAAATAGGGATGAATTGAGTTTTCCCCTACTTGTGTCAACTATCCATTCCAAGATTCTTGTTTTTGTTTCAAACACAAACTTGGAGTTCAAGTTAGTCAACTATCGATTCCAAAAATCCTTGTTTTTCTTTCAAACACGTGAGATTCTCACAGCCGTCGCTCAGGAATCGGACGGCTCTAGTTGAAACGGGGGAGGCAAGTCTCAACGTTCTCAACGTTGACCGTATAGCGATTCGTCAAACCTTCCAACGCGTGAAGAGTCCGCGTCCATACATAGCACTGGCCGCCGCCGCCGCCGCCGCCGACGACGACGATTCAGTGAACATGCCGTGCCGTGCCGCCGCTCGCCGCGCCGCCGTCTCCGCACTGCGATTAGGTCAGACTCGGTGCCTCTTCCCTTTCTTTTTTCTGAATTCCGAATCCCCAAATTTGTGCTTGTTCCGCGCTCCGATTCATGCGCTGTTTGTTCTAAATCGACATGCGGGGGCCCTTCTAGGCTTAAGAAACTGTAAGTTTTTGGTCGGACTGGAACGGAATAAACACGCATAGGATAGATTTTACGTTTTGAGGTTAGAATTTCACCTGTTTTGGATCAGTAGGGCGGTATAGGATCGAGCCGTTTTGGTGTGGGGATTCTCTTGTTTATAACGACTGATATATTTATTTATTTTTGAACTCTATAGGGAGGCGAATTCGATTCTCTCAAAAGTGGAGCAGCTTCTGCGATTCCAGTAACAAGAACCGACGGCCATGGCCGACGAGGCTGTAATAATCTGTTCATTCATGCATTCTTCCATATTAGAGTAATTGCACATTATCGTTAATTGTTGATTTCATTGATTAATAATCTGTTCCATTGTTTTTGTGCATCCGATTCCGCTGCATTACGACCTGCCTCGTGTAGATTTTCGTGCCTCTTTTACCTTTTCCCACTTTACTATGTTGGTAATATACTAATATGGCACTCTTAAATGATGATTAACGTGTACTGGTTTGAAGTGTCTGTGTGTATCTTTCCCCATGCTTGCTGGATCTGAAAGGATTCTTGACTTGCATCCTTAGGCTGAACACAGTGTACAGAGCGTCGAGCAACAACTCTGTACATTAATCACATCTTCCCTGCGTGCAACAGTACCTGACCTGGATGTGGAACCGATGCTTGAAGTCTCAAAACCAGGTTTTGGGGATTACCAGTGGTATGCTGTTGATCTACATGTGGCCTCTGGCTAATCAACAATCTGAGTACTGTGAATTTGATGAGATGAGGCTATCTATTAAATAAGAGACCGTTTGTTTATCATATGCAGCAACAATGCTATGAGTGTATTTTCAAGAATAAGAGGATCCGCAACAAACTTCCGTAACCCCATGGCAGTTGGGCAGGTACAACTTTCATAAGAACTGAACCTGAGTTTTCCTTATTACCTTATTGCTTCTCTTTTAGTATGTAAAACTCTAACATGTTTTCAGGCAATTGCAAATAACCTCCCCCAGTCAAATATTATCGAATCCATCTCTGTTGCTGGACCTGGTTACATTAACATAACGTTATCCAGCAATTGGATTGCACAGGTATGATTGAGATGTTTGATCATAGACTATGTTTGCGCTGCCGGCAATAAAATTATTCCATACTCTTCACAACTGTATTGCAGAGGATACAAGACATGCTTGTTTGTGGTATCAAAACATGGGCACCAATCTTACCTGTTAAGAGGGCAGTGCTGGATTTTTCATCCCCTAATATTGCAAAAGAGATGCATGTTGGACATATAAGGTCCACCATAATTGGAGATACTCTAGCTCACATGTTTGAGTTCACAAATGTTGAAGTTCTTCGACGTAACCATGTGGGAGACTGGGGTACACAGGTATTGAATTTGAATGTATTGATATTTAAACAATTTTGATCTATTTCTGAACTAATAATAATGTTTCTTCAGTTTGGGATGTTGATAGAGTTTCTGTTTGAGCAATTCCCAGATTGGGAGGATGTTGGGAACCAGGCTGTTGGAGATCTTCAGGTATGTGTAGATTGCTAGAAATTTATCAATAACACACCAATTGAAAAATGAGTGGTTGACCTGTCTCATTTCTCCATATAATACAATTAGACTGTTCAGTGGATCTTACAGCCCGTTTTTGTAATCCCAAGGATAGAATCAATGTACACATTGTGTTGTCTCTGTTTGTTCCAATTATAATTATCACTGTAATTCTACCTATTTCTTCCAAGCAATTTTCTTTTCTTCCCAAAGCTTAGAATCTGGGAAGGATAGAGTCCTCATATACCACTGAAATCTTATCTATTCCTTATTTGCCACTGACTGTTGCAACCCACATGTCAGGAAAAATTAGTAGTAGCAAGTAATGGATCAAGTGAATTATTTTTAGCGGCAATAAGAAATTGCCCCCATAACATTTGTACTGAATGACATACTTCTCTAGAGTATCTTCCTGTTCATTATATATATAAAAAAAGAGTATCTTTCTGTTATTTTGCACGACTCAGATATAAAGTTGGTTATATCTTCATACCTGTTCTAGAGCTTCTACAAGGCATCCAAGAAAAGATTTGACGATGATCCTGATTTTAAGGAGAGGGCTCGGCAAGCGGTAGTTCGACTGCAGGCGAGTGTTATTTTTTTTATCCTTGACGTTTATAGTTTATTGCTTTAACCTGGCACTTAGTCCCAAGCAATTCTGGAGCCTGTAGGGAGGAGAAGATAAATACCGAGCTGCTTGGAAAAAAATATGTCAAATCAGCCGAATGGAGTTTGATTTGGTATACAAACGCCTTAATGTGAAGCTTGAAGAAAAGGTAGTGCATTCTTTGGTTGTTTAACCCACATATTGATGTTAAATACCTAAAACGTTTTCACACAGTTGGAAGATGTTATATATTTTTAATGAAACGAAGTTTTTATTTATTTGGAAAGTACAAAGTTCTCTTAACCATTCGAATTCTGTAATCATGTTCTTGTATACTTAGCTGGGGCCTGGATTCTTATATTGAATAATGGTTGATGTCACATTGATAAATATGCACCTAACTTCAATGCTTCCATTTATTTGTACAAGGTGATGTGAGCTAACTAAGTTGTAAAATCTTGCCAGGGAGAGAGCTTTTACAACCCCTACATTCCACCTGTTTTGGAGGAATTGACTAACAAAGGTTTGATTGTGGAAAGTAAAGGCGCTCGAGTAATATTCGTTGAAGACCACCCTTTGATAGTGATTAAACAAGATGGCGGCTTCAACTATGCCTCCACAGACTTGGCAGCTCTTTGGTTAGTAATAAGGAATAACAGTTCCTTTCTCAGCTTCTCTCCTTGAGGATTTGATTTACTATTGCACCTGTTTTTATGTAAACATGCAACTTGTGCAATTCAATACAACTCGTATGTGGTTTATCCATTCATGAAGGTATCGGCTTAATGTGGAGAAGGCAGAATGGATAATATATGTAACGGATGTAGGTCAGCAACGACACTTTCATATGTTGTTCACTGTGAGTATCAATCATTATCTCCGAAGTAGAAACAATACGCCAAACAAACATTTTGGAATATAATACGGTTCTAGGCATGACTATGCTTTTTATTTAACCGACCATAGGCTGCAAAGATGGCTGGCTGGCTCCCAGAACAAAATGGAAAGAAATACCCGAAAGCAAGCCATGTTGGATTTGGCCTAGTTCTTGGTTCAGATGGCAAGCGCTTCCGGACTCGTTGTTCTGAAGTTGTTCGACTGGTTGATCTACTTGATGAGGCTAAAGCTCGGAGCAAAGCACAACTCATCAAACGTTTCACTGGAAATGGTTCTTGTTGTTTTTCTTTTGTTTCTTTTGTCTTATTTTTTATAGAAATTCTTGCCATGGATACAATTATGATGATTTTGTTCAGGTCAAATTGCTGACTGGACAGATGATGAGCTCGATAGGACTTCAGAGGCTATAGGATATGGTGCTGTTAAGTGAGTTCAAGTTCTCCTCTGATCATCTATATTGAACTGAAACTATAAAAAAAAACATATCCTATATTCTAATACTAGTGACACCAAATTGAATTCGATATAGTATTTTTCTCTGAGGTAAAGATCATCAGGCTTGTATTTAATAGCATTTGCTTGTATTTTACTTCAAAAATTAGCGTGTGCCTATGTATGTGTACAATATGTATATGTGACATGTGACTTATTTATGTTCCTTGTAGTGGATAGTAGTTGATTTCTGATTGTTGTACTGCTATGATGATGTTTCATTTTATAATTTCTTAAATTCAGGTATTCAGATCTTAAAAACAATCGGCTGACAGACTACACATTTAGTTTTGATCAAATGCTGAGTGACAAGGTACTCTAGCATCCACCTGAATAATCCTCTTGTATTTTGGTACTGAATAACTCTCTTAAAGCTCCTCCAATTTATAACTGTAATGATGGCCAAACCATGATTCAATGAGCAGGGAAATACTGCTGTCTACCTTCAGTATGCACATGCCCGTATCTGTTCCATTATCAGGAAAGCCAGCAAGGATGTAGAGAAGTTAAAAATGGTAAGCGTCTGTGTATTAGAACGAACATGTCATACCCTTCAAGTGGAACAGATATCACTGGTAGCCTTTTGATTTCTTCTTTTGGATTTTCAGACTGGAGCCATTACCCTTGGCCATCCATACGAGCGTTTCCTCGGATTACATCTCATCCAGTTTACCGAGGTATATATTCTTGGATTTGCTTATTAAAATTTATTCTATCAACTGTTATAGACATTTTAGCATGGCAATAAATGAAATCTTTTTACAATGTGTTTGATAACCCAAAATTACAGGTTCAGGAAAGCATCATCCTTTCAGATCTTATGTTATTAACTCCTCTACTGTGATTTTCTTAGGTTGTGGAGCAGGCTTGTGCCGATTTACAGCCCCATCGTTTGTGCGACTACTTGTATAGCTTATCCTTAACATTCTCCAAGTTTTACACAAACTGCCAGGTACCATTCTTCTTTGCAGCCTTCATCTCTCTTTCTCTCACACACACTGATTTCCAGATCACCTCGTCCTTCCGGAAATTTCATTTCTGCACCAGATTTAACTTTAACTGTTTTTTTCCCCTGGTGTGACGAATTGACGATTACAACAGGTGGTTGGTTCACCTGAAGAAACGAGCCGTCTGCTGCTATGTGAAGCAACAGGCATCATCATGAGGCAGTGTTTCCACCTGTTGGGCATAACACCAGTGCACAAGCTATGACAATCCACGCCCCAATACAATGCCATTTGGAAGAATTTCCAAGCTATAAATGTAAATAGTATATTACCTTAAAAGCTAATGTAAATATTGAGTGGTGGTAGTGTCTTGTAAATAGGCGGTGGCTGTAAGGCCTCGCCATCTCTGTACATTCTTCAATTTTTTAATATACTACGGTCGGCGTTCTTTGCCGTCCCTACGAAAATAAAAAAAAATAATGTAAATATTCTTTTTGTCAATCCATTTCTTGTACTAGTTTGACCATGAGAAAAATAGAAGAATTTCACTCCGTTTCTAGTAAGTTCCATACTTCCATTTCCCAGAGGAGAGAATGGAAGAAGCATCTCATATAACTAGTGTAAACATCATGCATGTATTATTTTTTTTTACGAGCTCACCAGGGATGTACTTAAACTCGTAAGCTACCGAGGATAGGGATAATCGTCCAGGACACCAGGTCTAAGCCTGTGTTTGAGAAGAGATGAATAGAAGCCTGTGTTTGAGAAGAGATGAATAGAGAACATTGAAAAGATAATCGTCCAGGACACCAGGTCTAACCCTGCGTTTGAGAAGAGATGAATAGAGAACATTGAAAAGATAAGCAAACTGAGGTAAGATATTAGTGCGTAACAAATTAATTATTAATTAGTTTAAACTTGAAAATGGATTATTATAATTTTCTAAAACAATTTTTCTATAGAAAGTTTATTCAAATAACACATAGTTTATCAGTTTTGGGAAACGTGCGCGCGAAAAACTATGCTCTTTTTTTGTTGTGCACTCTCAAACGCAGCAAAGAGCTCATGGATATGTGCTAGTTTTCGGATTGAAATCCTTCCGGATAAGCCCATTACACCAGTAAAGAAAAGGAGTAAGTCCATTTTGCCTTCCTAATCTCTTGCCACCCCTCGATCGTGAAACTGAGTCAGTTGAATTGTCCTCCTCAATCGTAAAACCGAGTATAACGTCTCTGAATGTTTTTCATTTTTAAATTTTTATTTTTTAATATTTACAGAAATATTATACCGGCGAAAATATTTACAGAAATAGACCCTGCCTCCCTCGGGCGCCCTCCCTGAGGGCGGCAGGGGGACGTGAGGGACAGCCGAGATGAAAAAAAAATAGCAAAATGCATTTTTAACAGGGCGAAAATCGCATTTAGACCTCAATGCAAAATGTGCACACCTTGCCGCCCTCTATTTGGGCGGCAGGGGCCATTTCTGTAAATATTTTGAATGATATAATATTTCTGTAAATATTAAAAAGTAAAAATTTAAAAATGAAAATAATTCTAACGTCTCTCCTATCGTTAAAACCCGGTGTAAATCGACTCCAGGTTTTGGAAAATCCGAAGTTGGGCTTCCTTCTGCGTCTTGGGTCTGGGCGAGGCGAGCTCTTCACTTCTTCTCCATCGCCTACAGCGACAGTGCTCTCCTTCTCCTCCCCTCGCTCCGCCTCCGCCGGCATCGCCCTCTACTCCGCCCCCACCGTCCCCGGCGCCGCTGAGCTCCCGCCTGCCGCCATCTCCACTGCGCCCTGTTCCACCCCGCGTCTCCAGCCTCGTTTTTGCGCCATCGCCGCCGAGACCCCCTTGGCCTCCAAGTGCATGGCTGCCGCCGTCTCAGCCTCGATCTGGTTGGCAAGGTCGCCGTCGTCTACTCATCTTCACGGCGCACTGGAGTAATGGCACTGGCTACCGGAGCACGCGGCAACCAGACGCTGGGAGCTGGACGAGCTCAGGACAATCCTATGCAAACAGGTAACTGAATTCCAACAACATGGCTCTAATTACAAACGTATTGCAAATTTGCAAGCGATCTTGGTAGAAGAAAATATTCAAAATACAATTTGTAGAAGCATGTAGTAGTTTGAACTCCCCGTGCCCCTAGCTACAATTTCAACCACAAATCCAACACAATCCCAATCCAAATAGGAATAGCATAATGTCTGCGTTGTTTCTTCTTGGAACGATGTGGCACCACATTCAGCGTTATCATGTTGTTACATCCTTTTGATACATAATAATTCGGACGCAATATTTTTTAATATCAGCTTGCGACAACAATAGCATGTTACATAGTTTAGATTACATATGTACTGCATGTCTGCAAGTGACCTTGGTACAGAAAAGTTTACTTCGATACATAATTCAGAGGGCTCTCTGCCTTACTCGAGACCGCTTTCTGATGGGAATTCCCCATATAACCACAATTGAAAGGGCAAATCCAAAGCCGAATCCCAATCCAGCAAAAAGGAATAGCAAAACGTCAAGTGAATTCTTCTTGGAAGGGATCACATTCAGAGATGTAATGTTGATGCATCCTTTCGACAGTGGACGACCGCACAAACCATCGTTCCCCAGAAATGAACTATTGGAGAATGTCAAGAAATGAGGCGATTCTGGTATTTCCCCCTCCAGCTTGTTGTAGGACAGGTTCAACACTGTGAGGAAGTCCAAGGATGCCAACTGCTGTGGGATTTCTCCTGAAAGCTCATTTGATGAGATGTCCAACGACTCAAGCTGGGTTAAACGACCAAGCTGAGGTGGAATCGGCCCCGTCAGTGAGTTGTGTGATATGTTGAGCACGTTTAGCAGAACAAGTTCACCTATAGCTTCAGGTAGGCTGCCATGGAATGCGTTATCTGATAAATCAATGAATACAAGGGTCCTCAAGATCTTAGTAAATGTGATGTCCATCCCTTTGTATGTGAGTGCAACAGTAAAATCATATTTCTCCATTCGTGGGAGATCATGGTCCATGACCAATGTCAAATTTGAATCTTTGATCATCATTGACTTTAACTTGTTAAACCACTCTTGCGGCAAGATGCCAGAGAACTTGTTGGATGCTAGATCAACAATTCTTGCGCTCTGAAATTCACATGTACCTTTTTCTTCCCCCAGAGACTGTGCTACATGCCCAAAAAACTTGTTTGATTTCAGCACAAGAACTTGAAGTTTACGAAGTGTGCCCATCCAACATGGAAAGGAATCATTAATCTGATTGCTTCCAATATTAAGGACCTCCAAGTTTTTGCAAACGGCCAGAGATCTTGGCAGTTTCCCTTCAATCAAATTGCCACTGAAATCCAGTGCCTCAAATGAGCAACTTTCCTTGATATTGTCCGGAAATTCCCCACGAAGCTTATTTTCTTTTAGATTTAATACTTCCAGTTTGTCAACATCCTCTATTAAACAAGAAGGAATTGAACCATCAAAGCTATTGTATGAGAGATCAAGGAGCTGTAAACTCATTGCACTACAAAAGGATGGAGGAATTCTTCCAGAGAAATTGTTTCTACCGGCCTTGAAAAACGAGACATCACTGAGATAATTGGTAAACTTAAATGGTATAGATGAGAACCTGTTTCCTGAGTAGTCAAGCACAGTTGCATATCCTCGAGGTATAGGTATGGGCCCCTCAAACATGTTCTCACTAAGATCAAGTGCTTTCATATCACTTAAAGGAAGAAAAGGGTCATGCCCAACACTTGTAAACTTATTGTTCTTCAAGGATAGTATGTCCATTTTGACCCAATTCTCCCATGCCCATTGGGGTATGGCTCCATCGATATGGTTATATGAAAGATCAAGATATTCGATTTCATCTTGGAACCTCAAGAAATTAGGGAATTTCGAAACATTGCAACCTGATAAACGTAACGCTCCTAGTTTGGGGATGGATGCCGTTGAAGAATTACCCTTTCCATCTACAACGACCAGATTATTATCTGAAAGATCCAAGACAAACAGGTCTAGTAGTTTCCACATCGAGGTAAGCTCTACTGTGCCAATGAAGTTGTTTGAATGAAGCGAGAGTATTTCTAGCTGTGTTAAGTTCAAGATTTGTGAAGGTATCTTTCCTGAAAAGCTGCAATTATACAATAGTAGTTTTCCCAAATTCCTAAGGTTACCGACAGAGGATGGTATTGATCCAGATAAGCCACAATTTGTGAACTGAAGCACAGTCAAAGAGGATAGGTTCGCAACCCATGATGGTATGGACCCTACTAGTCCAAAACCGGAAATCTCTAATGACTTCAAGGATCTGAGGTTTCCAATTGATGAGGGCAGTTCTCCAGAAAAGCCAGTTGCTCCTAGGCCTAGATTCTTCAAAGATTTGAGTTCAGCGATGGAACTTGGTATTATACCATTGAATTCAGTTCCACCAACATATATATTTTCCAAATGACTATCAGATGAAAAGTTTGGCAAAGTACCATATATTCCTGGATTATGGTAAAGATCAATAGTTACTAGTTTCTTGTGCTTAAAGATCAATGGAGAGACAAATCCTTCAAGGTCATTACGTCTAAGTTGGAGGGCAGTCAAATTAGGAAAGTTGGAGAAATCTGGAATTAGCCCGGGCAAACTATTAAACGATAGGTCAATAACAGAAAGTGAGTGCAAACGGGGAAGTGTTGCACATATTGGGCCAGAGAGAGCACAGCAAGACAAACGAAGAACCTGAAGTTTTGGGCAGGAATCGACTAGAGCGTTGCACCATCTGGCGCCATTTTCAGATAAGTTTACTAAGCCAAGGTTGAGCTCCCTTAAATTGCTAAGGTTTGCGACTAAGCTTTCCAGGTTTGGCACAGCGAGCTGTTGGGCATCGAGACTCGAATTCATTTTAAAAACATAGACATCATCAAATGTGTCGATTATCTCAAAGTCTGTGGAGAGATCAAGGGATACCAAATTCACCAAACGGCCGATTCCGGCTGGTACCACGCCTGTAATGTTGGTGCTGCGAAGGCTGAGATGGGTGAGCTCTGTGAGACGCTCAAAGCCGCTGGAAGGGAGAGGAGACCCGTTGAAGTCATTGTCGGCGAGGCTAAGATACTCGAGGGATGTGAGATGGAAGATTGCTGGGTCGAGGCCTCCTCTGCTCTCCAGCTGACGGCCGCCCAGGTCGAGGGAGGTCACGCGGCCGTCGCCGTGGCCACAGCGGACGCCGTCCCAGCGGCAGCAGTCCGTGCCGGGTCGCCATGACCGGAAAGCCGCCGTGGACATGTCGGTGGCGGAGAAGGAGCTCTTCAGCCGGAGCAGCGGTGACTCCTGGTCCGGACGGCATGGGAGAGCGGCCGGCGGTGGTGCTGATGCCGGCGGGAGAAGCGAGAGCGCGGCGACGAGCTGGATTTGTAGCAGGACAAGGAGCAGCATCCGCACTATCGGTGCAGATGCTGCTGCTGCTGGGTCGTGATGGGTGGTCATACTGCGGCGCAGCGGCAGTTTAATTAGCTTGGGATCGATGTGAGTTGCGTTTCTCTCTACTTGGAGGGAGATTTCAAGTTTATAGCAATAAAGCTTCCATTGGGATCGATGTGAGTTGCGGGGCAAACTTTTTATTGGTCGAGTGGATGTCCCTAGTTTCCTCCTAGCATTTTATTTAAATTAGTACAGATTACACGGCTAGCATTATTATATATATTTTTTCACATTATATCATACTCCCTCCATCTATTTTTGATAGTCATATTTTCAAATCTGAAAATTTTATTTTTGATAGGCATATTTCAATCCAACAACCTATCATCTTAATGATTTTCTCAAATTTAATGCGTGACTCTCCATTCAACCACACATAATTGGCTATATGGGCTTTGAGAAATGTAAATATTAATGAATCGCTTGTTTACGAGGAATGACTAGTAGTATGTTTAAATGGATGATAAGTAGAATTACTTATCCTTGGTCTGTGTGTCAAGATGAAATATGACTATCAAAAGTAGATGGAGGGAGTATATGTTTTCACATTTTATTATTAAAATATATTAAAAATGATAATATAATTTTAAATTATGTACTAACTCGACCAAACTAGCCAAAGTTGAATATTGATATTGTATTATAAATACATGATAGTTATTAATTATTTTGTAATTTTAAATTTTAGTTATTTCTAAATAATGTTCCCATATGGACTCTGGACTTCCAATTTTTCTTATTTATTAATTATAAAGTTTATCTATTTATAAATTTTATTTTATATGAACTCTAAACCCCTCTTTTAATATTTCTTATAAACCTAGAATTTCAATTATTTCTAAATTATATTCCGATATGGACTATAGACTCCTCTTTCAATATTCTTTATTTTAAATTTTGAATTTCTATTTTTTGTAAATTGTATTTTTTATATGGACTATATACTTCTCTTCTAATATTCAAATATTCCTTACTTTTTGTTTCTAAGTTTAAGTTATTTTCTAAATTGTATTCCTATATCGACTCCAAATTCTTCTTCTGATATTTTTTTTTTAATTCTGAATTTCAATTATTTCTAAATTACATTCATGTATGGACTTAGACTCATCTTCCAATCTCCTTATTTTTTTAAAAAAATTAATTTTTAGTTATTTCTAAATTGTATTTCTATATAGGCTCTAAACTCTACTTTTAATTTTTCTTGTTTTTCTAATTTCGATTCTCAATTAGTTCTAAATTCCTATATCCACTCTAGACTCTTCTTACAATATTATTTATTTATTTTAAATTTTCATTATTTCTAATTGTGTTTTTATATGGACCCTAGACTCATCTTTCAATAGTTCTTATTTTTTTAATTTAAATTTCAGTTATTTTAATTTATATTTTTATATGGACTCTGACTCTTCTTCCAATATTCTTTAATATTTAATTTTTACTTTTAGTTATTTCTAAACTGTATTTATATATGGACACTAAACTCTACTTTTATGTCTTTTTTAATTCTGAATTTTAGTTAGTTCTAAATTATATACTTGTATGAACTCTAGTCTCTTTTTAAGTATTCCTTATCTTTTAATTCTAAATTTCAGATATATTTAAATTTCATTACTATATGGACTCTATTTTTTTCTCCGATTAATATGAGAATTTTTAGACCATGAGAGCAAACTGGAAGGCTCTTTTTTTATTACTTTAATAAGTTAATAGATAGTTATATTTTTTAAAAGAACAACAAGAGATATTAATATATGATATATCATTTTACAGACATGCAAGTATATTGTTTAAAGTTTGATTTGTTATTTTTTACAACTTGTGAAGATCAAATTTAAACTTGTTATTATGTAGTGATATAGCACGTGTTAATCTATCTTATAATTATATTTATTTATTTATTTGGATGATACTTAACAACGAGGGACATCCACAGCAAGTCAGCAATACACTCTGTACCGTAGGTAGCAATTGCTGCTGGACGGCTGGACCAAACGACTTTCACAAGTCAATGTAGCTAGCTCATGGATTTTGCCAATAATCTGACCAATTCTGCATATAATCTGACCGAAAAACTTACTGTATGTTGTAAGTGACGGCCCTTTGTACATTACTGCCTATGGAGTATTAGTCACCATCGCCATCGGCTCAGTACTACTGTGTATTATTAACTTAGGACAGTGATGAAGACTGAAGACATATGGTCCCGTTCTTTTCTCCAACGAGAGTTGAATGAATATTAAAATTTTCGTGGCACGTTTTTCAAACAGCTAAACGGTACGTTTCGTGCGAAAACTTTCTATATAAAAGTTGCTCTAAAATATCATATTAATCTATTTTTTAAGGTTGTAATAATCATACGTTAATACCATCTTATTTCGTGTAAAAAACTTAATCTTCATCTCGGGATAAAAGAACACCACCTAGCTGATTATCGGCTTGCAAAACTCGGCCACTGCACTCTAAACTTCAGGAGTTCAGGTTGGCATGACCACAATGTAGGAGCCTAGGAGGGTTCTAGCTACGCACACACCAGTCATCAGCACACATAAGTTCAATTTTAAATTTTATACTTTGAACAAGCGGTTGTCCGAAAGCTTCAAAATTAAATTTTATGTATAAATTCATAAGCGTCCAGACGGTATCCACACACTAATCAAATCACATGGGAGATGATTTTAGGACGGTAGGTGCTTGGAAGGTACTCTAGTACTCCTTCTGTCAAAAAAAAAAAGATAAACCCTGGTTTTCGTGCCCAATGTTTGACCGTTCATCTTATTTGAAAAAATTATGAAAAAAATTAAAAAGACAAGTCACGCACAAAGTATTAATCATGTTTTATCATCTAACAACAATAAAAATACGAATTATAAAAAAATTTCATATAAGACGGACAGTCAAAGTTGGACACGCAAACCCAGGGTTTGCCTTTTTTTGGGACGGATGGAGTATACTAGTAGATCTAGGTAGCTCCTTCCTTTTTGGGTTAGATGACAGGGTTGGTTTTCGAGGATCATATGGTATTTGCGCACCCTCTCCAAACATGAATTCACCGTCACAAGATTTCAAATTTAAATTTGAACTTTGTAAGGAAAAAAGATGCGTCGATAGTACCTTCCTCTCCTCTCATGCTGCAGTAAATGTCACTGTCATTCTTTTTCTGAAAATGCACAATTGGCTATCATAGTCGTCCAAATCACTCGTAAGTCGAACTCATTGATTTTATTTTCACGAACGCATAAAAAAATTGCACGCCAAATATATTAGGTAAGTCGTAACTCATTGATGATGCATTCTTGAGTCTCGCCATGGATCAATTGACCTGCTAATGGAGATCTACCTGGTCAGCATCCATCGATTTTGAAATAGTCAATTATCGAAGTCATCTACTCCATCCGTTTTATATTATAAGTCGTTTTTTACTCTTTTTCTAGTTAAACTTGGTTAAGTTTAATTAAGTTTATAGAATAGTTTGTTACTCGTAATAGTTTGTTAATTAATACCACCTTGTTTTACGTAAAAAAACTTAATCTCATCTCCATCTCCATGAGAGCAGGTACAATAGCAGGCTATAAGCCAGCTGCAAATATATTTTAAGGAGATAAATGAGGAGAGAAAAGAGCAGCGGGCTACAGATTTGTAGCCAGCTGTAGCACGGACTCCAAGACACAGTGTGTGTATGATAGGTGGGACCGCGTATTAATAGTGTAGTATGTAACTATTATATGAATGAGCTATTAGATTAGCTATAGATAAATTGGAGCTAATAGTTAGCTATACTATTGAACGTGCTCTGAGAAAATCAAACCGAGTGGAGGTCGGAGCTCGTAAGCTGAGACCGACACGACCAAGAAAGGACAGTGAAAGCTCTATAGGATAGCTTATCAATGTAGTCCTTGTCCTGGGTACTCCGTAGTCCGTACTTTGGTAACCATCAGCGCATCAATACTCTGGCTACTTGTTTAATTATTACTCCTACAGGACAGGGAAGACCGAAGACGAATCAACAGGCCGAGCCTTTTTGTCCGCGAGGGTCTTGTAACCAGTACTAGTGGGGTAAGGGGGCAGGGTAGCATAATCATTTTCTGTCCGATGACATCTCACCTACTCCCTTCCTCCGTCAAAAAAAAAAAAAAAGGCAAACCGCGGGTTTACGTGTCAACGTTTGACTGTCCGTCTTATATGAAATTTTTTTATAATTAGTATTTTCATTGTTGTTAGATGATAAAACATGATGAATACTTTATGCGTGACTTATCTTTTTTATTTTTTTCATAATTTTTCAAATAAGACGGATGGTCAAACATTGGACACGGAAACTAGGGTTTGTCTTTTCTTGGGACGGAGAGAGTAGGTGATGTGTACTAGCATATTGTGTCCAAAATAACAAACGAACAATTGGTATGGGGAATAGATTGAAAAAGTTAAAGTTCGTAAAGAATATAATTTGAGTGCGTGCAATATAAATACATCCTCCATAAGAACAAGTACAATAACATGCTACAAATCAGCTATAAACACATATGGAGGTGATAAGAGAAGATAGAGAAGGAAAACAGGTTACAGATTTGTAGCTAGATGCAGCATGAACTACAAAACGTAGTGCAAAAGTAGGGCTAAAAAAGATCATTCCTAAGAGTATCCACAATGTAGTGCAAAAGTAGTCCACAAGTAATATTTTCTTCGTCCCATAATACTTATCATTTTAACATTCAAAAATATCTTAAAATAGTTGTCAATTTGAAGTACTACTTGTCACATCAACCACTTCCAATTCAAATTTTCTTCTCATTCTACACCCAACCACCATCCCACATCCAACTATACATTATTTATTAAGGGATATTATAGTCTTTTCTTCAAACCTTAGTAAATGCTAAACAATAACTTAGTAAATGCTAAACAACAACGACAAATATTTTGGGACAGGTAGTATAATATTTATTCACCCACCTATTACCATTATTCAAGTAGTCCATGTAGAGAAAATAATAAAAGATATCCATATGTATACAGACAACCCATATGAAATAAATAATACTTCCTCTATTTCACAATGTAAGTCATTCTAGCATTTCTCACATTCATATTAATACTAATGAATCTAGATATATATATATATATATATATATATCTATCTAGATTCATTAGTACCAATATAAATGTGGAAAATATTAGAATGACTTATATTATGAAACGGAGGAAGTATTATATATCTTTATTTCTCTCTTATCTCCTAATGTTAGTTTATATCTATGTAGAGATTTTAAAATTTATTTATGTGAGTTCCATCTATATAGATCACTTTAAAACATACCATGTACATTGGTGAGCCCTAACTACGAATAATCCTGGATTATGTTTTTATTGCGATAGGTGACAACTAGTCAAAAGTCTCCTGAATTTCAGTCCGACAGGGAGCTGCCGCGGGCCGGTGTCATTCACATCGATATCGTGCAACGGCGACGGGGTCTAATCATCAACAAAAATTACTACAGGTTACACGGCAGCTTGAAATCCATATGATGGTATCCACTAGGCCACTGGGGAATGCTTTCTCCGTCTCGTAAAAAGACAACATAAATCTCGAATTATCATATAGAAAGAAAGAAACTCTTGACGAGAGAATCGAGTCTATTCAGGAAGAATTTCAGCAACAAAAATGGATGCAATTGGACCGAAAAAAGCCATTCAGCTTCGTTATCGATTAAGTATAAGCGGGAACATCGAAATTCGTGAGTTAACTAAGTCGTAGTAAACCAGTAGTACGTTAGGCAGACGCCCCATTGTTCCTGGTGTTGCAACGTATCCAGTGGATCATCCTCATGGAGGAGGTGAGGGGTGCACGAAAGGAGGTAGACCTTCGGTGTCACCTTGGGGGAAGCCCACCAAAGCAGAATTTCGGGCAGGACCGCAGGAGTGGGGGTGTGTAAAGGCCTAATTTAGTGAATGAGCAGCTTAGAAATGAAATTTCTAAAATCGCTTTATGTAGACAAGCTGTGGAAAGTATTTATTTGTCTCCATCTCTTCTCATCTTTCTCTTTAATAATCTCTTTTTTTGGGAACCTCTTTTATTTGAATAAGGTCATAAAAATCAATGAAAACTCAGAGAGACCCATGATATTTGAATATGGCTGGACAGGGGTCTCTATGAGAGCACTGGAAGGTCAAAACAAAACATAGAAGGGAGGAGAAGGGTCATCCGTATATCTATATTCTTTATTTCAGGTGGTGCCAAATCTCCACCTATATTAGTTTTTTTAAGGACAGAGGGAGTAGTACCGACTATCGTCGCTCGCCCAAGTACCTGAGTTATGGCAAATCTATGCTATGTATTTACTCCCTCCGTCCCATAATATTGAAACCTAGGACTGGATGGGACGTTTCATAGTACAATGAATCTGTACATGATTTCATAGTACAATGAATCTGGACATGCATTATGTCCAGATTCATTGTACTATGAAACGTCACATCTAGTCCTAGGTTATAATATTATAGGACGGAGGGAGTACCTCCTAATTTCCGAGCGTTGGCACTGTAAACTACTGCCTCTGCCCCATGCATAAAAAAAATCAGCATAGACTGGATCTAACATATCCTATGTAGATTCGTGTACTGGAATATATCACGTTCAGTATTATGGTCATGTTCGTTTCCACTACAAGGAGTGGATAAAGTTATGGATTTTCGTGGCACGTTTTTCAAACTGCTAAATGGTGCGTTTCGTGCGAAAACTTTCTATATGAAAGTTGTTCTAAAATATCACATTAACCTATTTTTTAAGTTTGTAATGATTAAAACTCAATTAATCATACGTTATTATCATCTCGTTTTGCGTGAAACATTTAATCTTTATTTTTATTTTCAGAAGATTCAAACACCACATATGGTCCCGTTCTTTTATCCAACAAGAGTTGGATGAAGATTAAGATTTTCGTGATATGCTTTTTAAACTGTTAAATAGTGTGTTTCGTGTGAAAATTTTCTATATGAAAGTTGCTCTAAAATATTATATTAATCTATTTTTCAAGTTTATAATAATTAAAACGCAATCAATCATACTTTAATACCACCTTATTTTGCGTAAAAAACTTCATCTTCATCTTCAGGAGAAAAGAACACCACCTAAGTGTTGACTCATTGCGAGTCACTCCTTCTCAGCTTTAACTTCTTGGCTTTTCACCGGTATCTGTCTTTCAAGGGCTGTTTAGATCCCTAAAAACTTTTCCTAAAAACATCATATCGAATCGTTAGACACATATATGGAGCATTAAATATAGATAAAAAACTAATTGTATAATTTACATGTAAATCATCACTTGGGAAATGATTTTAGGACGGTAGCCGGTAGGTGCTTGGAAGGTACTTGGAAGTCCTTTTCGAGTACATTAGTATCTTCCTCTTCTTCTCGTGCTGTAGACCTGCAGTAATGTTACTGTCGTCTTCTTTCTGAAGTTTAAAGTTGAGTTTCTGAATTAAGTAACTGCAGTAATTGGTTATCATAGTCGTCCGGAAATCACTCTTAACTCGTTAATGGTCTCTCTTGAGTCTCCCCATCGACCAAGGTGACCGACTAATGGAGATCTACCAGGTCAGCAACAGTCGATTTTGAAATAGTCAATCATCGAAGTCATCTTGAATGCTCAATAAGCAAGAAATTACAAGTCGATGCATTGAAAATACAAGGAAATAGGCTGCCTTATTAGCCCTTGGAACAGCTTTGAATTATGAAGAAATTTAAAGGGCATATGCGCGCACTCACCTTGCAACTTCCACCAACCTAACCAATTAGCCCACTTCTGCGCATCCAAGCATAGATCATATGTTGTCTGGCCTTTCCTCGCATCAGCTGGTTAGCATCATCATGTAATGTAAACTAAACATAATAAAGAACAAGGAGTACCAAGATGATAGAACCCTGCAAAAACAAAGCCTCTATCAACTCTGCAATATGCCATCATCACCGACCGTCCGACGCTGTCCCAATTTTCACTTGCTATTACTGTTTCCAGATCTCTATGAACTGCCCCAATTTTCACTTGCTATTACTGTATCAGATCTCTATTTTTTTTTAACGAAATGTATCAGATCTCTATGAGATGCAGCTTGGACAGCTGTATCAGTGTTCTGTGCTCTCTGCCTTCGCAGCAGTCATCACGTTTCTACTATGTTCTATGTATATGCTACGACAGTTTCACCGTCATCTCTTTTCTTCAGTAAAGTTTCAAAAATTTCTTCTTATCTCTTTTTCTGAGATAAAGTTCACCGTCATCTCTTTTCTTCAGGAGAATTTCACCGTCAACTGCTTCTTGTGCTTTGGCCTCGGCAATATTTTCTACCTGCGTATCACCGGACTGCTGAGCTGAAGAACAAAATTTTATTTTAGAAAGGTAGCTGAAGAACATATTCAACACAGGGGAAGGACTGTAATGTATACATTCAACTTTACCTGTGGAGAGGGCGTGTCTTTGGCACCATTGTCCATACCGGATTGCTCATCAGATTGTTCCACACCGAAGACAACTTCGTATACAGTTGGCAAATCATTGATCATGTTAAACAAACGCACCCTGTTGAAAGTGAAAGTGAAAACAATAAGTATCAGCACCATATGCTACATCGCATAAAGAGCAATTCAACTACACCGACACAAATTCTTGGGCTTGCAATTGTCGAAAGAGCCCGCAAAAAACAAGCCTCAAGGGTCACCTACCTTAAAGAAGGTGATGCAAACACTAAATTTTTCCATATTAAAATGAATGCAAGAAGGAGGAAAATTTTCATCCAGAGACTTAGGACTGGAAACACCTGGAAATTCAAGCATGAGGAAAAAGCAGTTATCATCAAAGAACACTTCGAAGCCTTCCTAGCGCGCCCGGCCCCGAGACTAGTAGACTACGATTGGGATGCACTGCAGCTGCCATCCTTTGACTGCACGACAATCAGCGGGCCCATCACCGAAGAGGAGGTTTTTGCGGCCTTAAAGCAGCTACCGGGAGACAAAGCGCCAGGCCCAGATGGTTTCACAGGAGCCTTTTACAAAGCCTGTTGGGGGACGATCAAAGAAGATATCATGCAGGTGATTCGCTCCTTTGACCAGTTACGGAGCAACAATCTGCAAATCCTGAACACTGCTAACGTGGTGCTAATTCCAAAAAAGGAAGGGGCTGAAGGGATAGGCGACTTCAGGCCAATCAGCCTCATTCATGGTATCGAAAAGTTGATCTCCAAAGTTCTTGCTCTCCGCTTGCAACCCCACATGGGAGCCCTGATCAGTCAGGCCCAGAGTGCTTTCATTAAGAGGAGAAGCATTCATGATAACTTCATGTATGTTCACAATCTGGCAAGGAAATTTCACCAAACAAGAACGCCGACTCTTTTGCTCAAGCTAGACATTTCCAAGGCTTTCGATTCCGTTAGGTGGGACTACCTCATTGACCTCCTACAAAGGAAAGGGTTCACCTCTAAATGGACCAACTGGATCACAAATCTCCTAGTCTCTTCAACAACAAGGGTTCTACTAAACGGTTGCCCAGGAGTGCCCATAAAGCATGGTAGAGGTCTCAGGCAAGGAGATCCTCTATCCCCCTTACTTTTTATTCTGGCTATTGACCCTCTTCATCACCTTCTGGAGAAAGCAACAGATCTCGGGCTTCTTACCGCCCTACGAGGCAGAGCACCAAGGTTCAGAACCTCTCTTTACGCTGATGACGCGGCCATCTTTGTAAACCCGAGTGTCCAAGACATGATGAACCTAACGGAAATTCTACGAGCCTTTGGTGGAGTTTCGGGCCTTCAAACAAACATGAGCAAAAGTCAGATTGCCCCCATTCGTTGTGATAACATGGATCTTGCCAGTATTACGCGCATCTTCCCGGCAGGACTAACAAATTTCCCGATGAAATACCTCGGACTACCCCTCGTGGTAGGAAGATTGAAAAAGGTGCACATACAGCCTCTGATAGACAAGTGTCGCTCGAGACTAGCACCTTGGCAAGGGAGGTTAATGTCAACAGCTGCCAGAGTTTGCCTAACAAAATTGGTCCTCACGGCGCAACCAATTTACCACTTAACGTCTCTAAAACTTCCTGATGGTACCTTGGAGGACATCGACAAGATCAGGAGAAAATTCCTCTGGGCAGGGGGCGAGACTATCTCTGGTGGCAAGTGTAAAGTAAACTGGAAAAGGGTCTGTAGGCCAAAAGACCTAGGTGGACTAGGTGTAATGGACCTACAGCGTTTTGCGGCCGCTCTGCGGTTAAGGTGGCTTTGGAACGAATGGGCGGCACCAGACAAGCCATGGGTAGGGATGTCAGTGCCATGCAATCAACAAGATAAGGAACTCTTCTCGGCGGCAACAACCATAACAATCGGGAATGGCAAAACGGCGCGCTTCTGGGATTCAAAATGGCTAGAAAATCAAACTCCCCGGAAAATTGCCCCCAACATTTTCTTAGCCTCAAAGCGTAAAAGCAGATCTGTGCATGACGCCATACAAGATAACAACTGGATTCGCGATATCGATGTTCATCACATCACAGATGCGGACCATCTACGCCAGTACGTCCATCTATGGTCCATGATTAGAAGAATGGACCCCCTGAGCGAAGAACAAGATACCATCCGATGGAATCTAACGACAAATGGGCAATACTCGACAAGATCGGCGTATAGGCTACAGTTCATGGGAGCAACAAGATCCATTTTCTACCAATCGATCTGGAAAGCGTGGGCACCGCCGAAATGCAAATTCTTCTCTTGGCTTGCTACCCAGAATAGGCTATGGACGGCTGACAGATTGGGGAAACGAGGCTGGCGAAATCAAAAGGTTTGCCCCCTCTGCCGCACAATCGACGAATCAGTGCTTCACCTTCTGGCCAAATGTAGAGTCACTAAGAGGATTTGGGCAGAAATTCAGAGATGGACGCATACTGACCTCCAAATGGACAAATGGAATGACTGCCCCTCGATCGAACACTGGTGGAACCTCGTCGTCAAATCCCCCAACACCCCAAGAGCCCCTCTGCGAACTCTACTGATGCTAGTCACCTGGGAGATCTGGGGGGAGCGTAATGCAAGGATCTTTCGAAGCACAGCCTCAACACCAGCCTCAATTCTTGCAAAGATCAAAGAGGAAGGCAGAGCTTGGGTCAAAGCCGGAGCGGCTAGGCTGCAGGAGTTCGGATTTTTGGGAGATATCACCTAAAGAACTTCTCTCTTGTGGGCCGGTCTTCTCCGACTGGCCCTGTACATACTTTGTATAATTTTTTCCCTCTCTATTAATATATGAGGCAAAGCTTTTGTCCTCCTTTCAAAAAAAAAAAAAAACTACACCGACACAATGCCATATATCCACTATGCTCTGAAGTCTGTGCGTTGCTTTGCCATTAGCATGATCGAATTGGTTTTTCTAAAAGAAAACATTAGCATCAGTGAGTAAAGATAATAGAGCAAACATTATGTGTCAATTCCCAACCCAGCATAGCAAGGCATAAGAAAGCTTAGTGGAAGTCGCACTCTTAGTGCAACAGAACTTAAAATTTCATGATGGCTGGGGTTAATATCGATATAAGATGATTAATTAACAACAAGAAGGAATAAATAACACTTCACCCCCAAATTTCTAGTATGGTGATCCCACAAATTACATAGTAATTAATATTACTAAACGAGAAATCCTAACATAAAGTGTATTATGTCATCAAATGTGTGCATGGCCATGGCAGTAGGCATACGCATTCACCCATACGTCAATGTGAGGAACAATAGAATAAGAGCGTTCACACCAATCATCAGTTTAAGAACAAACGGTCATAGTACATGTCAGGATGGGTTACACATGTTAAACTATTGTCCATGCCTCAACGTGCATATAAACTAGTAATTTATAGTTGCCAATATATAGGTTTAAGAAGAATTTTATCTGATCAATATATCATGCACTTCGTGTAAATATAGAATATCATCAAACTGCACAGTTGGATCTTAAAGCAAATCAGCATTGCAGATACTTAAGTGTGATTTAAGTTTCCAAGCAACCTATTGCCTTTCAGACTGGTTGATATGCACCTTCATTTTACAGCATGTTATACCCAGGTTTCCACTTCAGAAGAAAAGAAATCACATCATGCCTTTTCTTCAGGGATTACCCATTGTTAATTAACAACTTATAAGCAGAACCAAGTAAGATATAACCAAAGCATGTTCCCCAAAGACTACATGCAGCATATTGATCTTCTAGTATCTAGAAAAAGGGGATGCCCTTTAGTAAAGGTTGAGTATTCTGGCAAATGAAACATCAGAAGTTCAGAATCATCGATATCGTACTTAATCCTATCCAATAATCCAAACATTGTTTATCTGAGCACCAATACCCATATGAAGCAGTCCATCCTAAGAAAACAACAACAGCCATGCCCTTCTCAATCTGATGTCAAAACAAAATCACTCACTAATTGCAGAGCTTACAGCGTTTACCTTCTCTGCCTGAAAATATGCATACTATTCCTAGCAACATCATATGATTATAGATAGCCATGAGTCCATCTCCTTTTGATCAAACATTGGTATATATCAAAAACTTCAAAAACATTGGGAATTCTACAGTGGAAAATTTCAAAAACTTCTCTGACGATATTGCCCTGGTACTATTCAACGTAAACTCAGCAATTGATCTATTTCAAAAACTTCTCTGACGATATTGCTCTGGTACTATTCAACGCAACGACAAACTCACCAATTGATCAAACATTCAAATCAACAACGGCAATAACATGGTGTGAGAGCGTGAGAGCAGCGAGGAATCAGGGGCCGTGTACCTGTCGTCGCGATCTAGTCGGGCGCCGTGGAAGAAGGCGACGGCGAGGAGCCACGAATCGGAGAAGACGGAGAGGAGGGCGACCCAATCACTCCTGTACATCGTGTCGCGCGAGAAGTTGATGCCCAGCGCCGGCTCCGGCAGCTCCGGCGGCACCATCTCCGGCGGCGGCGCCACCTCCCACGTCCCGTCCGAGTTCCCATACAGGCACAAGCAGTCCAGATCTGCTCCGGCCAAACGCGAAAACAAATCACACCACCAATCCACGACGCGGGAGAGGGGAATCGCGTCGAAATCGATCGAGAAGGGGCGATGCTGGTGCTCACTCACCTGGATTGCACAGCGCGGCGAACTTCTCGAGGTCTGCGCAACAAGACGCGCGGTTAGGCTCCGCTTCAAACTAGGGTTTCAGGTTTCGGGTTGGGGTTCGATCAAGCGAGGAGTTCACCGACCTTCGGTGAGGGCGCGGACGATGGCGGAGCGGCGGGCGCGGAAGTCGCTGAAGATGTCCTCGACGGAGCGCAGCGCGGTGACGCGGGAGCTGCGGCCGGAAGCGGCGTCCACGGTGGCGGAGGCGGCGGCGGCGGCGGCCGCTGCGAGGCCAAACTCCTCTCCGGCCATCGGCGAGCGGGCGAGGCAGTTGGGTGGCGACGTGGCGGTTGCAGATTGAAGTGGCCGTTGGCGAAGTGTGAAATGGAAGGGCGGGGAAGGAGGGAGAACGTGACAGATATAGTAGATGGGTAGGCCATACAGTTCCAGGCCCAAGGGAAGCGACGAGAGGACGAGACGCAACGCGAGGGGGAATTTCACATCTTCTATGGCCTGGCCCTATAAAATTTCCTGAGAATAGTTTGACACATAAAAGTTTCGAAAGAAATTTAACATGGGGCTAAACTTCAAATGAATTTTTAGGGGAGAAAAGGCAATTCCTACGGAATGCTAAATTTTTTTGTGCGCTTGAAGTGAACCGAACTATTTCATCGATATATATCAAAATCATAAACTGGTCGATAGCGAGACATCGGTGATGACTTCGTTAATCTCAATATATACCATCAGTCGGTTAAGACATCGATAGTGACTTTATCAATTTTAAAATATACCGATCTAGTCTGTTGAAAGTGCTCATAGAAATAAAATGTGCCGTTTACGTGCACTTGTTTATAGGAATGAGTACGCAGGTGCTGTACCTCGGAAACGCTTGTGTTTGTACTCTCTCTCAAAACAAAAATAAACTTATTATACTAACAAAACCAATTTTACCTGAATCACTAGGTGTTATTACTGCAACAGAACTCAACACTGCAAAAGGTGCAGAAATGTGATCGCCTGTAAGGCTGTACCTTATTATGATGGATATTTATGTGCACCGTAGAAATTACAGTGGTTATCGTATATCAATTACTTGACAGAATTTGTTCATTTAATTAGGCCTGATTTAGTTCCCAATTTTTTCTTCAAACTTCTAATTTTTCCATCACATCAAAACTTTTCTACACATATAAACTTCTAACTTTTCCATCACATCGTTTCAATTTCAATGAAACTTCTAATTTTGACGTGAACTAAACACACCCTTAATTCACTCGAACACAGTATGCATGTAAACTACAGTACAAGGTTGTTGAGTTCCTACATTTTGTTTGGCAAACAAAGAACAAAATGATATCTTTCTTTTGACACGGATAACTTTAGTTTCCATTAACCAGTAGCTTCGGACAAGAGACCAAACTAGTTACAAACTCCGGGGCTTGGCTCCAATAACAAAATGATGACATCTTTCACTACCATATATCCGAAACCAATCCCTGACGGTGAACCGATGCACATCTCAGTTGTGAATATTCCACAAACACCCTCCGTAGTCTTTAATTTACAATCTTCCAGGCTTCAAATGCCTCTGCCTGGCCCTCTGCTCCTCCATGTCATTCATCCAATCAGAAAGCCGGTAAACACCTTTCCACAAAAGGTACAATCCAGCTACAACGATTATGCACAGAAAAATAACCAGGAGAAATTTCAACGCAACAGCTTTGATTTCCTGCAATATATAAAGTTCATGTAAGGAACGCATGCTTAGCGAACCCAAATAACAAACCAGCACATCAGTATCTAGCACACCTGGAATTTTGAGCTTTCAACACTTTCTTGGCCACGGTTACGCCTCTTCCTGCGCTTGGGCACATTTTCAACTTCCACAGCAGGGGTCTACATGGAAATTACAGCCAATAAGCACAGAAGCAAAAATAACTACAAGAGCTGATTGTTTGCACAACAGTGTAACAACTTATGAAGTTTGGTTCAGATGGTAAGGTCCAGTACCTTGATCTCCTGAATTTTCCGGAGATGCAACTCAGAATCTGCAGCTTTAACCTTTTTAACACAATCTTCACCACAGGCAAGTAGGCCAACTGCATATTGATTTTTAGGTATTTGTTTTGGGTCACGACCAGACTGACGGTATTCCTTCAGAACATCTTGACATATCCACTCTTTTTTAAGGTTGTTGCATGCACAACGGACATTGACCTTAATGGATATCAGATAGGTAGAGGAACATGTATTAATACATATTTTCAAAAGTATGTTGTGATTTTTTTTAGGTAAAGTGTAAGCAGCTCTGCCTTCATTAAGCAAGTTCTTCAAGAAAAACAGCAAAGTTCTTGTGATAGCGCACAAGGACAGAAAAGAGAAAGCCTAGTGCCTAATTACATTACATGAAAGAGGTAAAAACAACTATGGTATTCTGTGATTGATCTCGCTAAAAATATATATAGAACATAAGTGGACCATATCCCAAAGTTCCAAACCTTACTCCAGTTTCATCAAGTAAAAATTGTAGTATCGCTAAGCCACAGAACAGGTTGCTAATAATGTCATGCTAATTATGTAATGTAAATATATGCCTACCAAGTGATATCATGCCAATTAGGTAACTCTAGTTTCACCAAGATACCTTTTTCATGCACTGATCAACTGATGGGCACTGACCAGGGTGACATATTTCTGAGCACAGATGGGGACAATTCGGTAATTTTCTGCAAAAAGAACAGATGAAAGAAACTTACAAAATCAGCAATGGAAAATGTTACCAACATTCAAAAAAGATGATAGGACCGAGGAAAAAAGTAACTGACCTATGACATGGGCCACCACAGGACCTTACTTTCTGCTGTTTTGTAGCATTTAAGTTGTTATAATACATGCACTCAAAAGCGTGTACCATAGCACCACAATGACATGGTCTTTTAACAAGGGCTTTGCAAGGTGGACAATCGTTAAGATGGCATGGCAAAGGGCAGGGATGTGAACATGGAGGCTCCCTGACCTGAAAGAAATGGTAAATACCAAATATGCTGCACCAAAGTTAAAAGATGTGGAACCATGCACAAAATTTCACATTAAAAGTCTGTAAACAGAACTAAACCAAAGTTATTGCTAAGGACAATAAAGAACACTGACCCTTTGACAAGGCAGGTTACATTCTTCGCAAGGCTCAGCGAATGCACTTGCACTAGCAAGAGACAGTATAGCCGATTGATCTCCTTCAGGCTGACTCAATGGAATCTGTAACACATGGCAAGCCTTCGTACAATAATGATTGCCACAGTTGAGAGGGTTACCACATAAATTCTGACATGGAAACTGCCTCCTTTTGGAGCAAAGTATCTGCAGGGAGAAAGAATTTGTATGCACTCAGGCACTCAGCAATCACGGAGCACACATATGAGTGTGGATGTGTGAGGAAGGGTGAAACTTACTGCACGTTCTTGGCCAAGATGATGTCCAAAGCATGGCACCAAAACAACTTCTTGGCATGGCGGGCATGGTGTTCCAGGTGTAGAGTCTATATGCTTTCCCTTTTTCCTTTTTATTGGTTTCAGTGTGAACTCAGGATTTGGAGGAGCAATGGGGCCATGACACCTGGCAGAGTGCGAGCGGATGGTTACATATCAGAAGGATATACTCCTGGGGCAAATTACCAACACTGGCACATTCAGAAAATAGTCAAAATACAAACCTCAGCTTACACCTGTGGCCACAAGAAAGTTCTTCTCCGCAGATTAGTTTGCAAGGTGGGCAAGCTCCATAGTGGCACTTGTGGGGCTAAGAAGAAAATTCTGAGGATTAATTTATAGAAGAGAACCCCAAAATGCTCCAGGATAAATTTCTAAACACAAAATAGATGAGATTATCATTAATGATAAGGTTAAAGCAGAGATATGTAATTGTTTACCCGGCATTCAAGTTTGTGCCTGCAAAGGCGAGCTATATTGCATTTTTTTGAGCATTTGGGTGGCTTCTGATTCTTCTCAGTCCCACAGGGCACCTACATACAAAGTTGTGCATACGAATTTTGGACAAGAAGTCGAGTCACAAGGCAAGTTTTGTGTGGAAGGATCGGACAAGAATTAACTTTTTTAACAAAGTACATAAAATCATATGAAAACAATGGTACTCCTAATGCTAACTGAATATCTTTTTTTCCTGTAAACTTGCTGTTCAAGTGAAGTGCTGTGATCATCAAACATGGGATGCATAAGAAACAAACAACATATTTAGAGTGTACCGAATTCCACCTCAAAAAATGTTTGCCCACAGTTGCATGAAATGGTCTTCATCAAAGGACAAGGTGCACAAGCACCTCTGTTAAACAAAATGAAGAAAAATATTGTCACATATATTAGCAGTTTGGATAAACAAGAATATTTATGATTCGGGACATTGAATTAGTCTTGAAATTTGGAATAAAAGAGAATAAAGTGCAAATGTCTGAGAGCAAAACAGCATTCTTAAATTTGTGGAACCTATCATGGCAATGTGGTACATCCATTGCAAAAATATGGCTCAAAATGGGAACATATGTATAAAAGGTATGCACCAATGCAATTAGCAGTACTAGCACTAAACAATTCAACATGGCAAGCCAAAGATGTATATTTGATTAAGAGAATACCTGTGGCATGGAGATAGGCATTTATGGTTGCCACATCTGAGCCTCTTGTCACAAACCTACAAACAGAAATAAATCTACTTTAGTAATTGATAGGTATCAATACATCACACCCCCCAAAGAAAGGATTTACCTCTGGGCAGGGTGCACAATCACCCTCGCAGCAACGTCGTCTACAAGCATGGCGGCCACAGTTTCGCAAACGCTGACACTTCCTTTCGCATGTCAATTCTTGGTAGCAAGGCACCTGATGCAGCATCACATGAACAACAAATTTGGTTTGCATTCTAATAAGAGAGAAGTACTCAAAAGCTGCAGCCCTCCACATTCAATACCAGCGCTAGGATGGTGCACAACCAGTATTTACTATACTGGCCCAGATTGAGGTAACATAAAGAAAGAAGATTTTACTTATTTTTACTCTGTTTTGTTTCCACTCAGAACGGTTGAAGCATACTTGCCTCCAAATATAGAAATAGGTCGGTAGAACTATAGAGAACTATGTGAAGTAACTTAAAAGGCATTTTAACTAATAATGTATCAAACATAATTGACAATGACATTCTCTAATTGCTTTTTGCATTTTAGACAACCAAGGAATTGATTTGTTTAATTTATCTGCTTGAAGGGTTTAAACATATTCCTTGTTTCCTTCCTTTTAAGAATTTTGACATAAAAAACGTGTGATATATTGTACCTCCTTCTTGAGACCCCCACAGCGGCACGATTTTGTGATCACAAGCCGACATGTCTCAACGCATGAACCACGATGACACCGCTCTGGGCATTTGTGCCGCCCGCACCCAAGCACCTTCTCGCAAGTTGATCCACATGTGGCAGCCTCTGCATCACAGTCCAAACTTGGATAATCTTTCTTCCCACATGGGCAAGTTCGTCGCCCTTGGAGTGGGCATCCTCCACACTTTCCAGCATGGCAACCCCTCTCACAACTATGCTTCCCACACTGCAACATCCCACCACACTCCCTCTTGCACTGGAACACCCTTTCAGAGCATAGCCTCTCCTCCATTGTTTCTCCACACTCACATTTGTGCTTTCCTCGCACCGCACAAGGCGGGCAAGGCCCATCATGGCAATCCACAGGACACCGGTGGATTCCACAGCCGAGGCGTTTATTGCATTTCCCCGAGCAAGAATAACGCTGATGTGAGCATCGACGCGTCTCACGATGTGAGCCGCAAAAGCACATAGCATTTGGAACAATTGCCGGGCACGGTGGACATGGCCCAGGGTGGCAAAGCAGGAGGCAGTTGTGCTCACAGCCAGAGTCACGGTCTGCATTGAGACGTCGGCCACAGACGTCGCCGCAGGAGTGGGGGAGGATCCAGGGGTCCGGAGCTGGGTCTACCGTCTTGGAGCAGAAGCAGAGGTAGGAGGTGGGAGTCTGGGATTTGGGATAGGGGAAGCGGCATTTGGGGCAACCCCAGGTGGGAGAAGGCGCGGCAGAGGATGACTGATGTGCCCATGACTGGATGCAGTGGAGGTGGAGGAGGGCGAAGCAGGAGGCGGAGCAGGACCAGACGGGGTCGGAGGGGCGGATGGGATCGAAGCATATCAGGCACGGCGGCGATCGGCGGCGCGCCGCGGAGCTGAGGAAGATCCCGACCTTGGAGAGGTCGGCGCCATCCCCCGCAACGGAGAGGTAGGAGGAGATGACGGAGGCGGCCGCCGGATCGGAGGCGGTGAGGTCGGTCTCCTCCCCGGAGGAGGAGTACGAGGAGGGGTCGGAATCGGAGACCGCGCTAGGGTTTGACGGCGAGGGCGCGGGTGCCGCCGCCGCTGCCGGCGAGGGCGCGGGTCGGCGGGCGGCGGCCGCGGCGACGGGAACCGGCTTGCGAGAAGAGGACGCGGAGCCAGAGGCCGCGGCGGCGTAGGAGAATGGCATGGCCGGCGGTGAGGTGGTCGCCGGAGATGACGGTGGCGCGCACGAGATTTGTGAGGAGTGTGGCCTTTTGCTGTCAGACTGTCAGATCCAAGATATTTCGTGATTTTTATAACTTGGGCTGGAATTCTTGCGCCCCCCAGATTGGGCTTTTAGCCTTCAAACTTTGTGTGGGCTGATCTGTCGGGCAACAAGTTTCTTTTTGAATTTGTAATTTTTTATCCATAGTTGGCAAATTGACTCAAAATTTCGACACGTTGTATATATTAATTCCCTTATCCTTAAAATTATAATATTAGAACTGCAAACATGGACCCATCTATGTCTATGAAATATGGATCCTATATCATTATAGTAAAAGTTAATGTTTACAATGTCATTATTGCAAATCTCCCTGTGAAGAAAATACATGTAAATTTGCCCTTCTTCGTGTAACAGATTCTTGGCTAAGTGCAAGTCGATGAGAATCTAAAATGCAGGTGAGAAATAAACTTGGTATTCTCAGTGAAGAAGAAAATTTTCGGGACGGAGGGACAACTCTGTAGAAGACATTTGGTTAAGCGGTGTGATTAACATTAAGATTCGAACACATAGCAACAAAAAACAATTTTATCCTTCCCTTCCCGAATTGATTAGAAATATCACGCAGGTTAGCTCACTGTCTATATAGAAACAGCTGCTCCAAAGTACGGTAGTAAAATTCCATCACATGCAAACGCAAAAAAGAAAGAAAAAAAAAACCCTACAGGTATCATCGGCTTCATCGCAGAAAAAAAAGAGAGAGAGAGAGAAATACTAGTGTACGAGTACTGCATAAATAAATATCGGTCAAAGCTTATCGCGACGACTTGAGTTGACCAGAGCTAGACGACGAGCCTACGCATCGGAGACCACGCCGCGCACTTGGAACGGCAACGACACGACACGAGCGCGCACGCGTCACGCCGGCGGCGGCGACGCGGCGCCGTCGCCGTCCTTGCGCCTGCCGAACTCGTGCACGGCGAGGTGGAGCTCGGCGGCGGCGATGAGGAAGTGCACGGCCTGCGACGGGCGGAGCAGCGCCACCACCTCCCTCATCGTCTCCAGCCTCAGCCCGTCTGCCATCTCCAGCACGCGCCTCATCCCGTCCGCCTTGCTCCTCATCTCCATCTCCATCCCCTCCGCGTCCATCCCGCCGCCTCCGGCTAGCTCCACCATCTTCACCGTCGCCAACGACTCCTGCATTGTTCACGTTTGCATCCGGATGCTGATCGAGCTCACCTCACTGATGAAAGAACAAATTAACCATCACTCACCTGTGCACTCGCGGCGGCGTTCTCGATCTCCCGTTCCTTGCTGACGGTTATCCGCTGAAGCTGGTCGGCGGCCTGGAGCTGCTCGGCGGAGAGGTCGCCGAGGTCGCCCGCCCCGAGGCCGCCGCCGGCGAGGAACACCGGGAGCTGGGTCTCGAGCTGCGCGCCGGACTTGGAGTAGAGCAGGTGGAGCGCGGCAGTGGGGCGCCATCCGCCGCACCAGAGGTAGAGGTTCTCGGTGGTGGAGGTCCACGACGGGGAGAACATGCGGAGCACGTCGGTGGAGGCGGCGGCGGACTTGGTCCGGTAGTAGTGCTCGTAGTGGCCGAGGACCCGGTTGACGAGGCGGTGGAGCTCGGCGTCGTCGGGCGGCGCCGCGGGGTTCGTCGCCGCCGACGCGGCGGAGCGGAGCGCGGCGAGGTCGCGGGACTGCTCGGAGATCCAGCACTCGAAGAACTTGGCGAACGACTCGCCGGAGGGCGCCGGGACGTGGTTGCCGTTGCGGTGAGGTGGGTGCGGCGACGGCGGCGGCATGGTGGTTGGCGATCTCTGCGTGGAAGTTGGCTACGGGAGGAGGCGAGCTGAACCTGTGGTGGAGTGAAGAAGAGTGAAGTGGAAGGGGAGGCGTTTATAAAGCTGGATCATGTCGGTCATTGTCTCAAAGCCAAGTTTTGAAGGGTTAGGTATCACATCTAATTTTGTTCCAATTTTGTTCCTAGAAGATAAAGAGAGGATATATATAGTACATCATATTTTCGTTATCTTTAGCATACTAATTCTAATATTTTCTCTTACAGTTTGTTTGGAGGTTATACCTTGCATATGATGTGACTCATTTTATTTTTCTCTCGCTTATCCACTTCACCTTATCATCTAATCTCATATGATATTTTTAGAGATAATACATTAAGTATTAATGTCCTAGAGCACTTGCTCTCACAAACACGGACTTTCAGATCACGTGAAAAAAGCCTTTTTGTTTGGGATTGTTTCGTTCATAAAATACCCTTTTTTGTTTTGGTTGCAGAGAAAATACTGGTGGCCTACAGTGATCCATGTATGCAGCATGCATTGCGACAGTAACGCGGGACCACGGGGTCGGGTCGGGGGATCTTTATCTGCACCATAGCTGCGTACACGTGGTGCACTGCTCTGCCTCTACCCAGAGTCCCAGACAGACTGCTTTGCTTGCTCGCTCTTCCTTCTTTTGGGCTTTTGGCACGGTGTCCGGTAGTACTTCCACGACGGCCACGCTCTCCGTTCGTGCTCAGCTTGGTGTCGTGCATATCCACACCGATCGTAGTTTGGACCGGCTCGCGTCCTCAAACTTGACGCCCACCCACGCGCACGCCAACTTGTCATATGCATGTCGGCTGGAGTTAAGCCCATCGGCGCGCCGGCGTACGTACGTGCAGAGGTACGGCGCGCAGATGAAAAACCGGTGGAAAAACGGCGGAGCGGGGCGACCGTTTTGCTAACCAAAGTGGCACGGGCGAGAGATAGAATCCAACATACGAAGATGTAAAACAAGACACTCCCTCTATTTCAAATATAGCAACCTAAAATTAGATGAGACGTATCCTATTTCCACTACTACGAATCTTAACATGTGGATTGTTTATTTTGAAAGGAAATGAGTACTAGTCTCTATTTAGTATAAAATTATTTTAAAATTTTTAAAATAAAATTGTTTAATATTTAAAGCAAATTTTATAAAAAGAATTATACGAAACGTATTGTTTAACTGTTTGAACAAATACTGGTTTCGATGGGTCTCTCCACAACAGAAAAGCTCTCGCTTGTTCGTGTGCGGCAAAGTTGATCTGCCCCCCGTGTAATTTGCTCTGCTGTGTATGTTAATTGTTAAGTTGGGATCAGATCACCCGTCCAGCTAGCCGGGATGGCCGTGACCTCTCTAGAGATGGGAATTTAATTTGGGTTTCTGGCAAAGTGGCAAACACAAGGAGATGGGCGTGTCTAGTTGAAGATCGCCGCAACGATAAGGAGGATGCACTTGGTTGGTTCGCTTGGAACCGAAGGCACTGCATCATTTGCACGCATGTGTTAATTTCCTGCTGATTCCGTCATGCAGCGCGGTTTCCCTGTTTTGGTCGTGCAACACAGGCGGATACAGTGGACGACGGCGAGTGGCGACAGCAGAGCACACGGTTTTGCGTGGAAATCCGGAAACGACGAGAAGCAGCAAAACAGCTGCAGCTGTTCGGCACGAGTACAGTACTCCCCCGATGATAAGAAGAGGAAGAGCTTAAGGCCGGTCATAGTGCGGTGAGCTGGACAGGTGTTACGCTCCTCCACGTTGGATTCATACGTACGTGGAGCGAGAGCGCGCCTGGCGCCCCCCACCAGAGCGCCTCGCCCCCAAGCTGAGGCGCGCGGTTCCTTCTCTCGCAAACCCACGCGCGGCAAGAAACCGAGGCGCGGGGCAGAGGAGTGACGCAGAGGTACGCGCGCTGTGGGCAACGTTTCTTCGCTGCCCTGTGCCCTCGCGCCGATTCCCCCAGAAGAAATCCCCGATTCGCCCTCGAGAAGTGTCGTGGTGGAGAAGACCAGGAAGAAGAGAAGGCTAGAGAAGTGGAAGCCGAGCAAGAAATTGAAGTCATCACAGATCGGATTCAACAAGATGAAAAAGAAAAAGGAAGAAAAATCATCACAAATAAAAAAAATCATCCCGCTCCCCACCATGGCCGCCGTCATGGCGCTCTGCGCCGCCTCCTAACTCCTCGGCCGTGCCCTCCTGACCACCGCCGGCTCCTCCATGGCTTGCTCCTGCTCCTCCTCCTCCTACTTCCCTGCAACAAAGAGGAATCAAATCACACAAAAACAGCTCCTTCCTTTGGCCTTTGATTTCTCCTCACCTCCATGAGCCTCTTGAGGGGGCGAGGAGGCGCGGCTGGCTCCGGAGTCTCCGGGCGATTCATCTCCTGACGACCGCCAACGAATCCAGGGGCCCGCACCGCCGCCCGGCGCCCGGCGCAACTCGCTGCCGCCGGAGCAGCATTCGCCGCCGCCGCACGGGATGCGAGGCAATAGGAGGCGTAGCGAGGCGAGGAGAAGCAGTGTGGCGTGGCGAGGAGAAGCGGAGCCGGCACCGGATGGGGAGGAGGCGCGGCGGCGCACAGACTGGAGAGACTGAGAGAGCGAAAGTGAGGGCCGAGGGGTGCGTGGAGACTGAAGACGAAGCGCTCGAAGAGAGGGTAGGTGCGGAATAAATTTGGTGCCGCTCCCTGTGACCTCGCGCAAGTAGGTCACGCCCACTGTGGGCTTCGTTTCCTTCACCTGTGTCTATATCCAATTAAGCCACACATATATGGGTACTTGCACTGTGGGGTGGGTGTCTTTGGGCCAACTTTTTGGGTTAGGAATACGAACCCCATAGCTTGTACTGTGAGAGGCCTAATTGGCTTGCTCGCTACCCGACGAGAGCGTGGGATATCCACTCTCTATTTCTCCAAGCTCCAAAACAAATGGGATCTGACACAACTTTTGACTCCTTAATTTGGAAGGTATGGACGCCCGGAAATGCAAATTGCACGCTTGGCTTATCATACATAATAGAGTTTGGACCTCTGACCGGCTTGCGACCAGCAGTTGGCAAAAAAATGGCAGGTGCCATCTCTGCCGAAGAGAAGATGAAACAGCTTTGCACCTCGTCGCCGAGTGCAGGTATACGAGAAGGATTTGGAACCTCGTTACGACATGGGTAGGGTTTCACCAGCTGGAACCCCGACGTTCGGGGTGACGCAATCGGTAAAAGACTGGTGGGAAATGCTGGTCTCTGTGTCTGGTGTCCCAAGAAGAGACTCTGCACCCTGATTCTACTTATCGTATGGGAAGTCTGGAAGGAGCGAAATAGAAGGATATTTGATCATAAGGAAGCCACAACCTCGTTCCTCCTTTCAAAGATAAAAGAAGAGGCTGGCATGTGGGCCTTGGCAAGTGCCAAGCGCCTTGGAGAGATCATCCTACAGTTTGTATAGTGTATATCTTTTCTTATTTTTCGCTTTTTCTTTATCCTTAAAGGTTGTATTTTTCTCCTGCTATATTCAATGAATAAGCATATTCTTGTGCTGGTTCCATTAAGAAAAACAAATGGGATATCCTCCCGGGCGGCCCACACAAACAATGCCTTTTCTTCAGGCGTGATTCCGCCGATGCAAACCCGGTTGCAAGCACCCGCTCTCGCGCGCGCCGCGGAGATGGCCATGGAAATCCGCCGTGCCGAACAGCCCGGACCGAGAGAGAGAACCGATCGATCCGCCGGTCCGCGGTCCGCCCCTGTGACAGCCGGTGAAATAGCGCGGCGCAACCACACAACGGCTCGCCGCGCGTCGATTCGCGGGCTTCCGCACTGTGAATGTGACAGTAGAAGCTCTTGGGCCTTGGCGAGTCGTTTCTTAATGGGAGGAAGTGGGCTGGGAATGGATTTTTCAGTGTCAACAGTCAAAGACGAAATGGTTTATCTCATCTTTTTCTTATACTTATACTTATACTTATCAGTTAAAATTTAATATTTAAATTTAAATTTAAAGCTGATTTTGAGAGTTTTTTTTTTCATCGAAGTTTGTTTTTAACCTAACCTATGCTTTTAGGCCGCCTATGCTTTTAGGCCGCTACGAACACATATATAAACGTTTTATTCACAAATTACTTTTTTTGCAAATATGTCGTTTGACTTTGTTCCACTTTATTACTAAAGCCAACCTCATTAAGTTTTGGTGATACTAAGTTTTACTACGTTTTATTTTTCCGAATTTTGGTAGTGTTAATTGTGCTTGTTTGAAATCTAACCAAATTTCGGTTAATCTTTCGTGAGAAGAAATTTCTGAAATTACCAATGTTTAATTTACTACTTTACCAATTATTCTTTCAGTGATAGGCAACGTAACCGTCGATAGCGAGGCTCCCCTGGTAACTTCGTCAATTTTAAGACATGCCAGCCTAGTCTTCTGGAGGTGCTTATAGGAGTAGGGTGTGCGTGTGTGCGTTCACAGGGGTGAGTGTGAGCGCTTGCGTTTGTACTTTCTAAAAATAATTTAATAACAACAAAATTTAGTAAGGCAGATTCTATGTGTACTCCTAACTATGCAGTCTTTTCCCTCTAAATTGTAGCCACAGAAAGCAATGCGTTCGCTATCTTTTTCTTCACTGAGTGTAAACTCCAGCAGGTGATGTACTGAACTGTGTGTAGTTCATCTGATGATCTTTTCAGTTCAGTTACGCACAACTCATGTTTATTTAGTACCATTACATTACAGAAAAATGGGAATCCAATGATACATTACATACTCCTAGCAATTACAATAATAATGGTAATGATATGACGAGCAATAATTCAACCAAAAATGGACAGAACATTAAGAAAAGAACACCTTTTCAACAACAAAAAAAATTAAGAGAGAAAAAAAACAACAGAAAAAATTATGGAAGGCGCGTACAATACAGAGATCTCGCTCAAACTTGTCATCAACCTCATCGTCACAGCCCCAACCAGACGCTCGCCAAGGCAAGAACCACCCCGACACCAGCACCGGCCGTCACCCTCGCCGCCGCGAGAGACGGGGTCGTCGCGTCCGGCGTCGCGTCGGCGGCCTCGGGCGCGTCGGCGACCGACGTGGCCGGCGTCTTCCCCTTCTTCTTCGTCGCCGGCGACAGCGGCGCGGGCGCGGGCGCCGGCGTGCTGTAGATGGCCATCGGGAGCAGCACCTTGTCCACCTGGTACACGACGAGGTTGTCGCCGGTGTAGAGCGCGTTGCCGACGGTGGCGTTGACGACGCCGGTGGAGATGTTCACCTGCTGCCCCTCCGCCGTCACGTTGAGCGGGTACTGCCCCGGCGAGTTGCTGCCGGCCTGCGTCCGGAGCGGGTTGCTGACGGTGTCGAACTGCGACATGGGGATCAGCGTGGACAGCACGTGGTACTGCACCAGCGAGTTCTTCTGCTGGTCGGACAGCGAGTTGAGCGTGCCGGAGGGGAGCGACGTGAACGCGTTGTCCGTCGGCGCGAACACCGTCAGCCCGTTGCGCGAGCTGTTCAGCTGGTTGTCGATCTGCTCCGCCGCGCCGGTGGACCGCATCAGCCTGATGAGCGTGTTGAACTGCCCGGCCTTGGCGAGCACCCCCGTGATGTTCGTCGTCTTCGTCGACGCCGGCGCGGGCGCCGCTGGCGTCGCCGGTGCCGCCGGTGTCGCCGGCGCCGGCGCGGCCGGCGCCGCCGTCGGGCCCTGAGCCGACGCCGCGATGGCCATGGACACAACAAGACACAGCACAAGTCTCTGCATGGCTTGCATGGTGGATGCTGTCACAGTGTCAAAAAAAAAACTTGGTGATTGCTATTGGTTGTGAACTTGTGATGAGCTTTCTGCATGCAATGCAACTCAACTGATCAAGAATTCAAGATCGATCGTAATGTGTGTGACAATGTGAATGAGAGGGGTGTGTGATGTGGTGTGGCTTATAACAAGGTGGTTGCATGCATGAGGAGGGGGTGTGTACATGTCAGGAGAGGAGAGGAGTGAGCTGTAAGATAGGTTGGTCTTGCATACAGTTACAGGGCACCAAACCCTGAGAGGTGAGATGCCATTGCCAAGGTGGAACAGGCTAACAGCTGGGCTTTGCTTCAGCCAGCAGCAAGTGCATTTGCATGGATGGATAGACTGCATGTGTAGTGGGGTTAACCACTCCTATCAAAAGATCTGGGCTGGTTTCCTTCTCCATTTCTCCTCCCTGTTTTTGACAAACTGAGCCGTAATGACAGTGATTTTTGAGTTGTTTTGCGTGGGAAGGAGGTGATTGAGTGATAGGCTGGATACAATGTGCAATTCTGTGGTTTGTTGGGCCAGGAGGGTCACCTCGTTTTCACATGCGTTGTGGGAGCCGGTTTGTTCTTTAATTAGTTAATTTCAGTATATAACCAATTGACTGAAAAAATCTCACCGAACATGAAGCATGCATGGGGACCTAAGCTTGGATCTTGGCCAGATGAAGATGGGTGATGATTTGGGACAAATTACTGCATTGTTAAGCTGAAAAATAAGAGGTACTTTTTCTCTAAAAGAATAATTAGTACTGTGTCCTGGGCTGTCAGGTATAAAAGTACAAAACACAGTGAGTGACTGAATTCACCTGTAGTTGTTTGCTGTTCCCTATCACTACGGCAAATTTGGCCTAAGCAGGTGACGATTTCCATGATACTGGTGTCAACAAGCAACTAAGAAAATCATATCATCATGTATTTCCCGAAGTAATTTTGTAATAGGTGGTGCTTTGGTTTCGAAAAATAAGTAGCTGGTGCAACATACTATACTATTATTATGGAGAGCTGGAAATGATGTCCTTTGATTTTTCTTTTTTTTTTTCCAGCTTGATAACATATAGCACACCCAATTGACAACGAATTGGGAGTGAGACGCATCAAAGTACCGGTATTCTCTAGCCTGCTACCGATGCTAACATTCGATCCAACACTATCTGTCAAACCAGCCGTGTGTCCCATGTATATCAGCATTACCCATGTAGGCACATCGATGTGGTCGGTAAAATTATATATCTTTCGCATATAACAGTAACCAAACACTCCCTGTAGCTCAAGGATCTGCAAATCTTGAAGCCGAAGTAAAATCGAAACCGATTATGCATTCCTAAAGCAACATCACCATCATTAGGTATGATGTGTTTCAAGGATTTCTGACATCAAACCTTCTGATCCAGAAGAGGTAAAACTTCAGGAGATCTACCTCTGATGTCTAACCATTCATCCAAAGTCCAAGGCCTTTTAACTTTCTAGATGGAATGAGACTTGCTATTGATTTTAATCAGCAATTAGGGTGAGCGGCACAACCTCTAGAGATTTTGTTAACATCCCAAACCGTTCCCTGTCAATGGCAGCGGTTAAACTGTTGGAACAGGAATTTTGTAGGATCGATTTCGCACAATTCCTTCTTTTACTCCAAAGGAGGCAACGAGCTCAACCGAGCAAGGGCCCCAAAGCATGGGCTTTATTTGGGCTAACATAGGCCAAGAGCCCAAGACCCAATAAAACCTAAACTTTTTCACGAGACAGCCACCTCTTAACCATCTATGACTTGGTAGCGGCCCTTTCTGAACCTCCCGCTTACGCATTCAAGCTCCACGACTGCTTCTTCAGACATCTACAACAAGGGAGCTCGGTTGCAGAATAAAAATGTAAACCACTTCATATGATTAAATGAATTAAAAATTGGCATTTTAATAGTTAATACATATAAAAGGATATCAGCTATGGTAACACACAAAATAATTTAATGTTAGCAAACTTACTTATTTACATGGCTGAGGCGCACAAAGAATGAAACAACTTAATTGGGTCTAAATACTAACAAATTTGAGGACCATATTGTTGTTTGTCCTCGCGTGTCCTATGCAGCAGCCGACTTGCAAATTGGGCATGAGTTCTTCTCCTTCAACCACTTCTTGACGCAGTCGGTGTGGAAGTCGTGATTGCATTTCAGTATTCCCAGCAAACTGTTGTCTTTGTATTCCTCCTGCACAAAAGGCCAACAACCCATCGATAATCAGTCAGAAATACCTAAAAGTTTTTTCAAGACAGGGTAACGAATTGTTCGACATGAAACTGGAACTAATAAACCAAGCAGTTAAAATTGTACCAGACAAATTGCACATTTCCCATCATCTTGATCATTTTGCTGTTCATCAGAACTGCAATAGATCACTTCTCTCACACAACCTGAGATTTTCTCGTCCACCAAGCCTGTGCAGACATTACCAATAGATTCTCCCAAAGCCAGCAGGTCCTGTTGACAGCAAATGATAGAGTTAAGAAAATAGATTTTCAAGTTTCCAGGGTGGGAGGCATGTAAGCAAAAACCAGCTCTTCTACCTCATAACTCATATTGTCAATGTCCAGTCTCATGGCCCTGTGGGGGTCTTGTGCTTCTCTTGATTCGCGGAGAGCAAATTGTTGCATCATTATCAATTGCTTCAGAAACAACATCTTGTTTCAGTTCATAATTAAAATTCAAATATATATTGATTACAGTAGGAATGGAGAAGAATCTACCTGTGCATCAATCATCAAAGGCTGAATACCATAGTATGAGCTTCTCGCCCTTCTGTTCCTTCCGCTGTTAGCATGCCCTATGAGTACATTCCTTGCATGTCTAGAAGATGCAACAGCTCTGACAGGTAATGGCTGACTGGCCCTCATGGGTGTTGAGGTAGTTGCAGAGGTAGCAGGTTGGTAGCTCGGAATGATCACCTCATGGGGAATCGCTGTAGAGCTAGAGGATGCTACAGAAGGCAGATGAATGTAGCTAGGAACAGTGTCACCATGAACATGCCTAGGTGCAAAGACACCACTGGCAAATATTGCACTGCTTGAAGAGCCTTGTAAAGTTGGGACAGGAACAGATGAGTTGCTGCTTCCCATAGTGTAAGGCATTTCTCCAGAGTGCATTCCAGAGGCACCTACATAATCATTTAAATACATGTGCTGTGAGAGCAAACAACGATAAACTTAAAAAATCCAACTTGCTATATAAATACTATATATCAATAAGGAAATTAGGGACTAATAATCCACATTCACGTAAAAAGCAGCTGTAAGTATTATACTCTATGACTAATATACCATGTCATAAAACGCAACCACAACAAAACTAAGATGCCTTGGGTTCTGTTCCACCATTTACTATATGAACCAAATAATTCATAAGATGTAAATTGTTGAAGCAACACAGTGATGTCTCTTCATATCTTGTCATAAGAAATAAAACACTGGCAAAGAACACTTTACAAAAATAAGGGTCGCACATGTAGCAAATTTAACTAAGCAGCAAACTACTAACCTGAAGGCATAGTTCTCATTCGCGTAGAAAAGGATGGTCCATTCCTTTTCATTGATGTACTTTGGGAAACATTCGAAGTAGAATGGACTGGTCTAGGTTCCAATGAAATATTATTAAAATTATGACGTGCCCTCACATTTCTCTGACTTCCTTCTTGATTTACCAAGCTCTGGTCATTCCAATTAATTGGGCCAACACTTGGAGGCATTTGACGATGCAAGGACTCAGAAAATGGAGCTGGCTGTGGATAATTAGAGAACTGGGTACTTGATGAGCTACCGGCACAATAACCATCACCATTGATGCTATACTCTGGATAAATGACAGGATTTTTTCGTTTCACTGCAGCAGTTCTGTTGTCGATTTGGGAACTCCCTCGAGCAAATTCTCCCTCAGATCTATGTGGATAAGTTATAACAGGTTCAGTTTGAGGATTGTAGGATACATGGCCACCAGAGCTTCCAGCAGGATAGTGAACATAGGAGTTATGTAAGGTTCCTGTGTTTTTAACTCTATGACCTGAATATTGTGCCACTCGACTTGAAGATGGAAGATCATTCGATCTAATTGCCACATTCCCATGGTATGAAGGGCCAATTTTAAGGGCTGCATCATTTCCAGCATGCACAAATAACTTCTGACCTGAGATTAAAACAAAATAGGACACAATTTTAATCACAATTCAGACATGTACAATACAATAGATAATAATGAAGCCAAGCTACCTAAAGGCAGAGGTTGGTTGAGTTGCTCATTATTGGGTTGAACCATCTCTGGCAGTAGGGAATGGTTTCCATGGTGTCTAGCCATAAAACAGTCAGTCCAGTATGCCTGTCCTTAACCTGGTAATCACAAACCGAACATCGTTAATTAAGTGTAGCACAACATTGAAGATTGTAATGAAATGATGCATTAGCTCGTGGAACATGCTGCGCTGCTGATTGTTACAATTCAAATACCACAACATTTAGTCAATTATTCACTGGCGTAAGGAGCATGAAGCAAAAATACTGGAGTTTGAATAGGCACAATGATATACAACAAAATGTGCTAGAACAACATAGAAGTACATGAATACAGAACTTTGTCAATAAGTTTGTTTGAAAAGCCAATGGTGCCTATCACATGTAACGATCTCCATGTATGTATTTGACATGTATATTTGATAAAATCCAGATGGTGTGGCAACTAAATATGCCATTATGCACCCTGTTCACTAATTAGTTCCCAACACTAGGAGTTAAAAAAGTTATTGTGGTTCAAGAAAAGTCAGAAACAAAACTAATTTAATGTCTTCTCCCTTATTTTTCCCTAAAGATATATTTTTCTTAACATTTAGCACGACAGGCAGTAAAAACATGTAGGAGGCAGATAGACACAAAAATAAATGCTCATTTCTACCTTGTTCTAAATGTACAATATCATTTGTCAGTAACATGTAAGTCTAATACAATATTGCAGCACTTACCTTACATAATTTTTTATAAGTATTTAATTTCCAGAAAGATTAAATGGGAGGATGGAAGAGCGGTATTCAAAACACCAAAAGGTTTTATTGTGAACGCATGAATAACAAACCGAAAGATTAAATGGGGACTGATAACCACATCTTATATCATATTGTTCCTTCCTATGCTACAGGTCTACAGATTTTTTTGCCAACATTTGTAGTACAAAAATTTATAAACGAAGCAGACATCATTGCCAAAAAAATATCATGGAAGCAGATTTTATACATAACAAGGAATAATGGAGATGCATCGGAGTATAAATAATGTGAAGCCAAGTGGTATGAGCTTTGAAGAGCAGCAGAATTTCATGAATGCAGGTGCAAATCTCATCTTTTAACTGGATGAAGATATGTTCATGAAATAGATGCCATGGATAATTGCATATGGCATTTCTAGATCTTTTGGCAAAAGCATTTGCACCTTATCTTTCCGGACAAAGCGACCACATCTCTAAATCAGCTACATTTGTTTCAAAGAATAACTAGCATCCTAGATATGCAAATTGGAGACAGACTAAAGATTTCCTACATTACTAAGAATCTTTTTTCCCCTAATGCTAGACTAACATCAGGATTCAACCAGTCTGGTTTGAACTGTTTGTACTTAGACTTTTAAAGATTTCTCCTAACGATAAAATCAATCACCCAAAAAAAAATCCAGGAGTGGGTACTAATGCTCATCCACTAAATCAACACTTCAGACAAAACCAATGAATATATTTGATGGCATAAATTTTCTCTATAGTAAAGCAAAAAATAAAATCTGCACCACCACCAACCAACTAGAACGGAAGCATAAATCATCCATCTAGATTTCACACTAAAAAGGCTCTCCTATGCACATTATAAATCATCCATCTAGATTTCACACTAAAAAGGCTCTCCTATGCACATTACAAATGTAAATTGTAAGGCTCTTCTATTTCCCCATATTACAAGTTAATCAAATCTACCACATATTCCTCCTCCCTCATATATCATACAGAACAGTAATTGGTAAACCGGCAGGCAATAATATACAGCCTAATGTCTAGAAAAAATATATGAAAAATAAAAAAATGTTAATCTATATTCTCACTATTCATTATTAAATTATGACTGAATCCACCTACTTGATTTTCGTCTTCAGAAATGTTGGATAATTATTATAAATTTCCAACCATATGTACTTTGGCTGATGCAGAATCGATGAGGACTCGCCACATCATGATAGTACAAACTACAAAGTCCTAACCAAATCCACCCTACTAAAATCAATCCTACCACGCCAAACTCCAAAATCGATCAACAACCACGTATCAACACCATAACAGAGCCGAAAGTATCTAAATCGCAACCGCTGATTTTTTTTTCTACATAACAAAGCCGAGCCGCCGAAAGCATCAACAACCACAACCACAACCACACGCACCTGATTTTCCCACACCAAAAAAATCTCACCCAACAACAAGCAGCCGATCCTAAGATACCGTGGTCAAAAACTCAAAATCGCAGCGGATCGGAGGGGCGTACCTGCTCACAAGTCGTCGTTCGCTCGCTCGATCGATCGATCGATCCACCGATCCAAACCCCACGCGACCGAATAAATTTCCAAGGGAGTAGATAGATAGAGGGGGAAAGGAAGGAGGCGCCCGCGATACGGAAGCTTCGGGGAGAAGATAGGAGGAGACGCGACGCACGCGGCCACAGTTTTCTCCTAAAATTAAAATTCTCTCTCTCTCTCTCTCTCGTAGAGTATTTGTCTGTGCGGTGTGGAGTAGAAGGGGAAGAGGAGATGGGGATGGAAAGGGCTCTCGTATTTATAGAAGAGGAAGAGATGGGCGGGGTGGAGAGGAAGGAATCGGGGGCGGAGAAGCGGAAGCGCATCGCGTGCGGATTGGGGCCCACGGCTCTGCGCCCACACATGGAACTCCACGATCCAAATACTCCTATATAAAAAGTCCCTTTTACTACTACTAGTATGCTCCTACTATGGATACCTTTCGCGATCTGGGCCCACAAGCCAGTGAGTGATACGTCGAGAAGTAGACAACCAGATATATCTAGCTGTGGGCCACACAGGGAAGTAGGAGTAGAAGTATATATGGAGTATAAAAGGCTAGAAAAAGAAAGAGACGTGGACACGTACATAGACGTACTATTTGTTTTGATACGTGGTACGGTGGTATTGTAGTATATTTGGATGTGCGGTAAGACAAAGGCATTGAGCCAGTAAGCCATGGGCAATATGGCAAGTAAATAAGAGTTCGGCTCAGATGAGGCACCACTCTATCCTAATAATAAAGTGCGGTTTGGACCTTTTGGTTTCTTAACTATAAATCCAAAGGCTCAATTCTAGACAAAAGCTCTTTTGTTTTGGACTTTTGGTTTCTTAATACAAAGGATCATTTTACAAAAACTCTTTTGGGGGACTTTTGATTTCTTAATCCAAAGGTTCAATTATATAAAGAGGATATCTTTTTTTTGGGACTTATGGTGTCTTAATCTGAAGGCAAATTCTAACATATTTTTTTCATCGACAAGGCTCGAGACTCTGCATGAAAAAAAAATGGAGGATATCTCTGGATATATTTTCGCTTTATTCAAAGCAATAAAAAAAAAGAAACTCTATTGCTGGTTTTTTTCTTTGAGGCTGTGCTTGTCAACCAAAATGGAGGAGAACAGAGTTACCCTCTCCATTCCACATTATAAAATGTTCTACTACCTCCATCCCAAAATATAAGCATTTTTAGTTATGAATCTAGACAATGCTTATATTTTGGGATGGAGAGAGCAGTATCTTTATCTCTCGTTTAGATTCACTAACATTTATATAACTTTGATACATACATAAAGTACATATATGAATCCATGCATAACTCTATTTAAAGATCAAATATATTATAATGGGAAACATAAGAAGTGCAATATTAAAATATCGCATAACGTGAAACAGTAAAAGTGCGATATTTCTCGCTCTGTTTTGAGTGCTTGAGATTAAAAAATAAGCTGGTGAGTAGCCATCGAAGAGGAATTTGATAAAATCTAGTTATTTTTCAGATTCTGGCATCTACATTATTTTCTAGATTTTATAACTATAAAGTTTTAAATTCCAATGAAAATGACAATTGTTTGGAAAGCTGAAATCACCAAAAAAGAAGTTGCTAGAAGCTATAGCTCCCAAAAAGGCCCTAACCTCTAAACAGAAAATACGGCACCTCTTTGGGAAGAAAATAAAGAAAGAAGACCCATCACTAGAAACTGCAACAAAGGGCCTTGTTAGTACAAGGCTGGGCGTGTAGGCCCCACATGACAGAGGACGAGGCGATAGCTGAGGAAATGAAACGTGGATATGGCTCGGCGTTGCTGATTCAGCACATGCGGCTTCTCTCTCTCGCCGTCCGTCCAGCCATCCAGACTCCACAGGCGGGGGCCGCGAGACGCAACACGTCGTCGCATTGATCACGCGGGGAAATGCTAACGCTACGCGTGGGGTTGGGTTGGGTTGCGGGTGCGGGGGGGATCGCGGCGTGAATTGTGATGATGCGTCACCGCCTGCGCCACGAGCCCACGAGGCCGTGTGTACCAAACAAATGCGTCGTCTGAACCTTCTTCCGCCTCCTGTTCCTCTTGGGGCTGTCAGCGTCGGATGCTTGGCTGCGGTTGTTGCGTGCGTATGACTGCGTCTGCGCGTTGGCGCTTCGGTGACTGCTCTATACGCTTCTTCGTAACTGGGCAATGCACTTATCCACTACCAGAAGAATCATGCTAGTACTAGATAGAAAAGTCTATTATGGCTCTGTTTAGTTTTAAATTTTTTTTCCCAAAAACATCACATCAAATCTTTGGACATACTAGTCTGTTCCAAAAAAAGCCAAACTCTGGCTATGAACCTGGCACATTAGGATTGGACCTTTTTTTTAACGGAGGGGGTATATATGGAGCATTAAATATAGATAAAAAGAAAAACTAATTATACAGTTTGCATGTAAATCACGAGAGGAATCTTTTGAGCCTAATTAGGCCATGATAAGCCATAAGTGCTACAGTAACCTACACATGCTAATGACGAATTAATTAGGCTCAAAAGATTTATCTCGCGGTTTCCAGGCAAGTTATGAAATTAGTTTTTTCATTCGTGTCCGAAAACCCCTTCTGACATCTGGTCAAACATCCAATGTGACACCCAAAATTTTTCATTTCACCAACTAAATAGGCCATATATATGAAAAAACCTATAGAACTCTTACAAACACTGATGTGATGTGGCATGCTGTTAGAGAATTTTAGGTCTCCTCGAAAACAAAGGGAAAAAAATAAGGAATTTCAAAGAATTTGGATCCTATATAAAAAAAATTCTATGAGGCAATTTGAAATAAAGAATTGGATCTTTATAATTCCTTTGAAATTACTATAGAATGACATGTTTCATGGGGATTTTGGAGGATGCATAGCATGAGCTCCAAGCTCTTTGTAAGTTTCTTTGAAATGTGTCTGCCTCTCTATTCTAAATAAATCCTGTGTTTTCCCTGTGCTCCATCCAAACGGTTACCTATGTAATTGTAATTTTTTCTGTGCTTTTCATTTCTTAGGATTCAATATGCAGTGACACTCCAACCCTCTTTTTTTTTATTATGTTTTGAAAATCATATTTCAAGGAAGTCCTCATTCGTAAAAGTTGTCTTGAATCTTTTAAGCACGTGTAGCAGTGCGCATGCTAGATATACAGAAGTTTCCTGTCTAAAGTCAGAAAATTTACTGACAGAGTAAGGCAAACAATCGAGAAAGGACAATTATTCTCTGGACCCATGCTTGAAACAAACCAAAACAAGAACAGGCAGTGTAGGTTTGAAAGAGGTAAAATTCGACACTACTGTTCTTGACCTTTATTCAGATTTTACAGCGTTCACAAATGTATACAACAGTTAAATGCCAAGACTTGGCATACAGGACGGAGCTTTTATTCATGCTGTCCTCCACCACCGGACACGATTCCAACGAGGTGATTCGGATACGTTAGATATCCTCTCGCACGGCACAGCCTTCTAGCCAGCCAAGATTGACCAGAGAATTTTCCAAGGAGTCTATTTGGTCTGCATCATGCTGCATTAGCCGGCCAATAATCGGTGCATGGGGACCTGATTTTTATTTGCTTCCTGTAGTAGCAATCTGAGAAGAAATTGCAGTGAGCTGTAGCTTTATCCTCTTCGGAAAATGATGGTTATAACCGAGCTTTTGCTAATGCGGCAGGTTTGAAGCTTGCGATCCCAGTTATTTCTCTACCAGTCACCAGGCTGTTGATGTCGTATGTGCCTTCGTATGAGTATATAGGCTCCAGGTCACAGAATGCCTACGGAGATAATAAAAATCATTAATTAAGTATTGAATGATGGCATATGAATATCTCAATATCCTACATGAGGTCTATCTACCTTTGCAACTAGAAAATCAGCCAAAATTCCATTTCCACCCAACAATTCTCGACCGAGAGAAACCACCTCACGAGCCATTCTGGAAGTCCAACCCTAAATGGGAGCGAGGAATCAAAAGTTAAAATCACTGATATATCAAAGGAACACAAAGTTCTAGTTACAGAGGAAGAAAGGCAGCCTTTGCCAGCTAGTATTTCACAAACCTTCCCTAAACTAGCATGCCCTGGTGTCATTTTCCCTGACTCATAAAGCTTGCATAGTCGCCAGCCAACAAGAAGCATCGCTTGGATGTTACCAAGCATTCGCACAAGTTTTTCTTGGTTCAGCTGAAAAGCTACTAGAGGAACTCCAAACTGTTTCCTTTCTTTCAGATACCTATTTCAATTCGTGCAAAAAAGAAGAGTGTGAAAATGCATATGATGTGGCATATAAATAACCAAAAAATGGTGAACTGGTCCATACCGATGGCAGACATCAAACACCCCCATTGATATACCAATCGGTTGCCATGCCACCATGACACGTGAAATAGCAAGGACCTGTTTGGGCACTCAAAAGTTGGTACCAGGACTGGATTACTCTATGCAACATGTTAATGTATCAGTATAAGCGAAAATGCTATGAAATATCAATACCTTGCTTATATCCTGAAATGAATTGACACCTGGCAGTCGATCTTCCTCAGGGACAAATACTTTATTAAAAACTATATCACCGTTCTGAACCATTCTGAGACCAATTTTGTTCTCAATCTTTGTAGCTTTCAAGCCAGGAGCACCCTTCCTCACAATAAATCTACAAGGAGCCAAATGAATTATTAGATAGCAACACTAGCTGAGTCATTTATGCTTCAATTCCAAAGATCGAATCTAAAGCTGATGGTTTACCCATTTAGTTGTTTTGTATTGGCATTCCTAGCTAATACCACGAGCACATCAGCAAAAGTACTGTTACCAATCCAGCGTTTTTGTCCATCTATGTGCCACCCACCAGGTACCTGTTTCATGATAAGCCACAAAATTTATGCTAAGCACAATTACTTATTTGCTTGCCCATCAAAGGTTCATACATCCAAAAAATGTACCAAGAATACTCAATTTTAGATCTGCACAGTATGACAATGAGGTAGCATGATATATTATCCAAATGTGGAGGTGGAATAGGTACTCAGCGGGGAGGCAAGATATCTAATCTGATTTATGCATGGAAGCAGCAGATAAAAGCAGGCTTTGGGTTTCAGTTGCAACAAAGCAACTTTGTTACAGTATCTATCTTGCTCTCCACTTATGTTACTACAAAGCTGGAAACCAAAAGAGTTCAACAAAAAAAATTAAATCCTAATAAAACTGGAAGGAACAAAAAAATATTAGG